TACCAAGGAGCATTGACACTTCTCCAGTCAAACAATACCTTCATTTGATTTGAAAAAAAATGACTATGATTTTGCTTGTGATGTGTGATAAGCATGTTACCACAGCTACAGCCAGCAGCTACAGCCAGCAGCTACAGAGCCACAGCTAAGCCCGGTGTTGCCCAGTTCCCCAAACAACAACTCTGGGTGACCAACAACTAATTTGCCCTTTAAATTAATTCTATACCTTTACCACTACCTTCTTTGACCGATTTGAAACTCTTCAGTAGATTAGTCCTTAGCTCAGCTAGTACTTTAACTGCTGTAAAGGAAATTCTAAAATTCCACTGTGGACATTAAGGTGACTGGTATTGGTAGTCGTATTGTAATATTTTAAAGGATCCCCATCACTGTCATTACTACGCTGACTCCACCCTCTTTGTCTGCACCCTGCTGCAGTCCCAGGAGGCCCTGGTGCTGAAGCAGCTGGCAGAGAAGAGGGAGCGCGTGCAGGAGGTTCTCCACAAGGCTCGCGAGGAGAACGACATCTTCAGCAAGAAGACGGAGGAGAAGCTTATCCAAAAGATGGAGGTCAACAAGGAGAACCGGGAGGCCCACCTCAATGCTCTCAAACAGCGGCTGCGTGAGAAAGTAAGTCTTCCTTTCTGTGACCATCTGTGAAGCAATATTAATGTTTTGGGGTTTATTATAAATCAAAGGAGAGCACCATTTTCATCCCTCTCTCAAAATTTAGATTATGTGACAGTCGCAAAAATTAGACATTATTCCCATTTTTACCATATAAATTGTAAGTGTTCACACATAATAACAGTACATTTGGATCAAGGATTGTGCCTTAATGTTTAAGACTGGGCAACTAAAGGTTGGCTGTGGCTCAGGAGGTAGAGCAGTGTTTTCTTGGCGAGCTTCTGAAATAAAGATATCAAAACCAATAGATCTTTATGTGATTTTATTTCTTATAAGAAAGGTCAGTCGATCCAACAAAGCATCTGGCAAGTGCTGGATGGAAAAGACAAAGAAGCACAGAGTAGCAACTAATTTATCACAACTTTAGGGCAGGGAAGATGCAAGGAAGATGCACAAAAAGAGTTGTGAGAAAGTCTCTCTATATCTTATCAGTTAGTTCCTGTGGGCCTCCAATTACCTCTGCTGTAGGGGAGTACCACCAGGTGCAGGATAGATAAATCTGAAGCTTTCATTTTCTACACATGGATAGTACATTTACTGGACTCTCTCTCTGCTAGAGTAAAAATCAACCTAAAGCCCTTTGGAAGGAAACAGTGTAACTCATAGGTTATATGTTAAATAACATGTTGCACAAGCATGGAGCATAAAGGATGAAAAGGATACATTGTATAAGGCACACGTCATATAAGGTACTCCTTAAAAGGCAATCTAATAATTTTCCATTACAGCAGGTTGTCCACTGATCAGAAGGTTGGTGGTTCAATCCCTGCCTCCTCCCTCTGCGACAACCTTAAAACTATTAGATTTTAGAAAGGCTATACAAATGGGTGTGACAGTTACAACAAACAATACCTGGAGGATTACATTAAAAATGTAATCTGATACAATTACTAATAACCTTCTGAAAAAGGTGGATAACTGAGTTTCCTCATTTTTATAATTGAGTTTACCCCCCACTACAGCCCTGCTCCGTAGTTCTCTCATAGTTGTACTAGCTAACTAGCAAAACTATATACCGGCATAATAAACAGCATCCAAACAGGAAAGAAATGTTAAAGTAGTAGCCTGCTGCTACTGCTTCTTGCTTGATTTAATTGTCTGTATGGGCCAAGTGTGACATTGATGAGCAGCACCTTGTGCTGAGGATATTTGAACTTTTATCTGAACAAAATCTGCTAGGAAAACGTAGGTTGTTGGCGATGTACTGTATTTCTAGCGATTCCTCTCCATGTGATTGGCCCCTTGGAAACCAAGATTAAAAATGTGTTTTCTTTTGTGAAGCAAATTCTGGCAATAGTCTAGAACATTTTCACAGAACTTGCACTATACTGTGATGTTGTTCCATTTCTTCTTTAAAGACAAATTATTTTTGGAATTTCCACCCAATAAAAGCAATGTTTACACTAGAGGCAGTCCTGGTGGCTGTAAACTAGAGTGAATACTAGTTTGACTGCTGTATGGCAACAGAAAAAAAAGTTTGTGGGTGAGAGCAGGTACTATATACTGTTGAGGTTTTAAAGTGCAGACCTCAAACTAGACATTTTATTAAACAACCAACAACTCAGGAAAAACAGGTTGCACACTTCCTGAAACACAAAGTTTCTGCATTATTGCATAATGTTTGAAGAATGTTTCAACTGCTCAGCAGTCGACAGTGTTTCTGGTTTTAAGAAGTGAAAAAAAAATGTGCAGATAAGTTTCATGTTTCCCAGAAGCCCCACCTCCTGACATTCTTTTGCTCATTAAGTTTCATTTTGATCCATGTGTAACTGGCAGTTTATTGCTTTGTTGTACAGGAAGTACACGCCGCTGAGGTACGCAGGAACAAGGAGCTTCAGGCTGACCTCTCCGGCTGAAGATACCTTCCATACTCCAGCAGCGGCTGCTGCTTCTGAAAATCTTCTGTGTCTAAGTTTTCCTGTTGTTCAGCATTCACCACTATCATCCCACAGTGCACCTTTCAGGACTCAAACTAGTAGTTAATCAGCACCGAATAACGTTACTCATCTGTTTCAGTTTTGGTAAAACACACACATTTGGAAGTGCAGAAACATATTCTGATAGCAGAGTCAAGAACAGCTGAAATAAAGTCCGATCCTGAGCCAAAGAATGTCTTTGTCTTATGTGTTGTGGGTTTTTCCTGAGAGCGAGAAGAGCTGGGTAATAACATAACATAAAGAGGTATAACTGAAAAAATATAGCTAACTAAAGGTGAATAGTCGGATAAAATCAATACCTTTCCACATTAGTTTACTGTGAGATTGCCATGACTCCTACCATTTTATGGGGCAGAAAATGTACAATCTGGCCTGTGGATGGAGCCAAAAGAAAATCCATGTTGTTACAAATATTGAAATGGTTTATCTTCTGCACAGTGACATTTTGAAGATGTTAAAAACTTGTTTATTTTCTCTGCCTCAATACACCTTGATTACTGACTAACTGACTTAAAATTCTGGCTATGACTATAGTGACAGACCACAAACTCCCACAAAAGGATCCCAAACTAGAGACACAGACTCACAAACAATGAAAAAAATTGATGGTTTCACTACTTGTGTGAGGTTTATTTGCATCAAACGGATGCAGGGAAGGGCGCCAATGAAAATCTTAGGGTGGAACACCGGGGAGGTTTGGAATTGTTTTTTAAATCAAATAGCCCAAATAATAACATTGCTATACATGTATTTAATATACATTGGTTCAAATTTAAGTCACTGATTTAAATGAATAGTACCTAATGTAAATATATAAATATGAGATAGCAGCATATTATGCATTCAGCACTCATTACTTGGATTTCACCCCAGGTCCCCCCTTGTTGGCACCCCTGGCCTGTAACACACCTCAGGATATTTGCTTTCAGACCTTCTTTCAATACATCTTAAAATCAGTCTCATAGTAAATAAACACAATGTTAGGTGTTGTTTTTCCTGCATTTTAAACCTGCCATAGATGAAAACCAACATTCTCAGTAGGGAACGCACAGGTGTTACCAATAACATTATTCATATCTGTTCTTATCATTGTCACAGCACTTTGGCACAGATCCAGCATAAACAGGACATATTGTACAGCAGCGAGAACTTTGAATTGAAGGGCAGAAGTCATAGTTAAACGAGTGACTCTAAATGTTTCCACTTCGGACGCATGAATAGCTTCATTTCCATAAATGTTTACATAAAGGGTGTGGGAGCACGTACTGCACTTACTTTCTATAATAATAAAATATGCAGTGTGACATGTTTGGTAGAAAACAGGTATGAGGAAAATGCTTTGAGGAGTAAGAGGAAGGTGAAAGATGTTGGACAGGTGGTTGGTGGGTACACAGGAAGAACATGGATTTAGGCTACTAGTTATTAAACACTGGTGGACTCAAAGGGGCAGCAGTAGGTGCCCCCGTGTAAAACAATATCTCAAAAGTTCCCTCTTGGATGCCCCTATGGTAGATAAAATACAATAAAGTGCCCCGCAAGGCTTCCAGTGGACAAAACACGCTAGGGTGCTGATCCTAACCATGACTAAGCTGTTTCACAATAAATGCAACTTTCTGTGCAGTGGTTTTTGCACCTGCCCCTCCCTCCAGCGACATGATGTTAAAAATATAATATAAGCCGGGCTTCAAGAATATAATTATTATAATTTTCTTGTTGTCTCATATGAATTTTAAGCTACCCCTTCATATAGTGTTAAAATATAAACACACTCTATTTTTAAAAATGTATTTCACCTCACAAAATAATGGCAAAAAGGCCTGAGGTTGATAAGGGGAGAGCAGGATTTGGTTGCAAACAACAAAGATAATACAAAATTGTATAGTTTGTCGTCAGTAATGGAAATATTTTCAGAACATTGCACTTTTTTCTAGGATTTGAACATTGAAGTGGCCCTCTATAAGATATGCCCCAAGCCACGTTGAGTTTGAGGGCCCTGGTTTACAGCGTGAAAGCGTTACAGTCATTTTGACATGATCTAGAAGGAATTAACTTAGTATGAAAGCCCATTTCCGCCAATGTGACTTACATTGTACATTTACTTACATTATTTTGAGAAAGTTTCTTATTATAACTTCCATAACTTGAGCTGCACAAATAATAAATATGTCACTAACATCAAGAACATGTTGAAACAAGCGGATTTGTATTAAACAGGTGCAATCTTGTCCCAAATGTCAAATTCTTTTTATTTATCAATCACGAAGGTTTTTCTATGCAACCACACCAGGAAGCTATTGTTAAAATGAGGAAGCCCGAAAAGGGGAGGGTGTGGGGTAGGTCAGTGGGGGGTTGTACAGAGCGCATGCCTATCATCCTAACCTGATGCTGCTGACGCAAAATATGGGAAACGAAACTTAAGTGATGCAGGCTATCCTCGGTTTAGCACGAGAGAGTCCCGAGTCCACATAAAGGTCTGTGAGAGTTGAGACGCTCCAGATGTGCTCCGGTTCAGGGAGAGGTTGCCTTCACGCAGACACCCGGAACGACGAGTGCCCGCGGCGCCGCACGCTCACACCCGACTGTGGATGCTGATGAGCGGCCAAGTCTCACGTTAACGTCAGATAACATGGAGGAAGCTCAGTCCGTGTCTGCGATATTACAACCTGCACGGAGAGCTGCCTAATACACGGTAATTACTATGATTATTATTATTATTGTTGTTGTTGTTGTTGTTGTTATAACGGTTATTTTTGATCAGTAGTAGTATTTGTAGGCCTGGTAGTTGAAACAGTATTTTCAAACTAGTAAACTGTAAAGCTGCAGAAGTTAGAATTGTCAGTCAGGCCACAATAAATGTTTGAATTGTTTTATTGTAGGACGTGTATCTACTACAGTTCCTAGTTTAGAGAGCACTCCCTGGTAATCTGAGCCACTGGCTTCCTGCTGTGGGTCTGTTCTCTCGCCTGTTTGCTGACATGATATAAAAACAGCACAACTGCGCCATCTGGTGGATTTAAGATGAAAGCTGGATATTCTGGGGGGTGCAGTTAGGACTGCACAATTAATTATGGAAATCGCAATATGCACATCTCGATGCTGCAATTTTGAGGTGAAATGTGTGATAAACAGCATTATAATGAAGTACTGTAGTGCTGCAGAAAGGCCCTGGCCTACAAATCTTTTGGTGCAGACCCCAAACTATTTCACATCATCATGATTTTTATAGATTCTTCAGTGACAATTACATTTGTGATGCAAAAATGATCATTCTCACTAACCATGAATCATATTGCAACATCTGTTAAAGTAAAGGCAATAATGGCCCTAGTAAATGCACGCATTGTGATCAGAGTGCGATTGGGTCTTCTAGAACACATCTGGTGTCGGTCAGACTGTGATCAGATCGCATTGTTAAGGTCCCCTCCAGTCAAAAATGTGTTTTTCCTTCTTGTTCCTACAATTATATGTTTGAACTTTGAAGAGTTTGACTCTGGAAGGAAAACAACCCAAATGTCATTATCCAGTTAATGTATCCTGATACAGATCACATGTTAATACCAGGTTTAACTAAGGCCATGTTGTCTTCACAGGTGACCATAGCAACAAGCACACTTTGTGTCCTTCCTGGCAGGCTGGACCTTGAATTTGAATGCTATGCTTCAAGCTATTCTGTAGATCAAGGACGTACACAAGGCTTTAAGTTGTCCAAGCAACAGTCCATTGGCCCTAATTGGCTGCTGCTCTGAAAGACAATAATACTAATACTAATAATATTTTTGGGTTATGACTGCATAAATACGAATAGCCCATAATTGGCAAAGTTAGTGCATTTGCAGTAAAAATGTTAATCTTATAAAATAAGCAGTGGTGGACTGTAACAAACTACATTTACCCAAATACTGTACATAAGTACAATTACGAGGGACTTGTACTTCCATTTTATGCTTCTTTACAAAGCAAATATTGAGCTGTTTAATCCACTACATGCATGCTTTATTTTTTATTTTTTATTTTTATTTATGCATTATTGATAAAATATTAAATATATACATTTTTATTCTGTTCAAGCCCTCTCAAGTGAAAATGTAGCATCCTTGAGTGCTAAGGCTTGCAGTGTGAACGCAACCTTGACTCTCTGAAATGAAAGCATTGAGCACAGTTCTTATCATGCTGTCTTCTCTCTTGTTTTCTTTTTCAGACACATTTGTGCAAAATTGGACATTTCTCAGACTTCAGCTTGCCAAAGAAAGCAACAAGTTAATCCACTCTGATTCCAATCTGCAGGGGCATTACACACTTTCCTGCATCCAGGTGCTGGATTAAGTATTATGAATGTATCACAATGTCAGCTAGTGGATCCCAACTGGTTCCACTGTTATCAACACATGAGCTTAAACTTGTATGCGCTCAGTGCTCTGTCAAGGAGAAAGAAATTACGTATACGTTAAAATCAGTCCACCACCAGTGTGCACGTGATCTCCTGCTCTGCAAGGCCAAGGGTGGCAGCAAATGGAGGCCTGTTTCTAAGCGGCCCACATTTCCAAATCCGAGCCAGTATGAGGTATGCTACTTCTTTGTGGAGGGCTCTGGTTGCACGCACCACAAGAACCGGTGCACCTTTGCCAGAAGCAGTGAGGAAGCTGCCGTGTGGACATTTGAAAAGCATCAGAGATTGGACCGTGTGCATCTCTGTCATCTCATAGCTCAGTCTGAGAGAGGATCTGATCAGCCTGAGAACCCTGAATGTCTGGGTGACATCATAGCAACTCTAGATCTGAAGGCTGTGTGTGAGCTGTGTTCTGTCAAGGAGAAGGAAATATCATACACAGTTCAGTCAGTTAGTCACAAGTGCAGCCGAAATCTGCTTTTAGCCAAAGCCAAAACGTCTAACCAATGGAGGCCTGTCTCTGAGCGGCCTGCATTTGGACAATTTGGTCGATCGGTTCTTTACCAAAAGTGTACCTTCTTTGATGAGGACTCTAGATGTACGCGACACGGACAGGCATGCACTTATGCCAGAAGCAGTGAAGAGGCCACTGTGTGGAACTATGTTAGAGACAAAAACATTGACAAAGACAAATTAATCAGACTTGTAATTGAATCTGAGCCTACTAAAATAACACCAGAAAGCTCAGCTGAAAGCATCCTTCAACAGTTTTCAGGCGAATTCATTGAGTTCTGTAAACACTGCTTTCATGAACGTCCACAAAAACTGACTCCCAAAAGGTGGAATGAAACTTGCTCAGCAGATGCAGCGCACACCTGGGATCCAGTCTTAGTTTATCACCTCTCAGAGAATAGTGGAAAGCAGATTTACAGCCAGGTGCGCCCTCTTCCCCAAAAATGTCAGTTTAATTACTGCAGTCACGTCAAGCAAGGCAAGCCCTGCTGGCATGAGGCCGGCCACTGCCAGTCTGCCCAGAGTGAGGTGGAGATGGCCGTGTGGAAGGCAGAGCACAGCGGCCTATCTGTTCGGCTTCATCTCCTTCAGTTGAGCCGGCAGAAGAATACGGAGACCAGACGGGTCAGCATGTACTGCAAAGTTTGCCTCCTGGCCCTGTCCTCCCCAGAGAGCTTCTACAAGCACTGCTCTTCCTTGGAGCATGCCCAGTTACTCTCCGAGGACACTACCACCAAGTGGAGAGGACGGCAGCCTCCACACAATATCCGAGCTGAGTTTTGGCTGTGTGAGAGGTAAACAACACTTCTACCCTTTACATGTGTTACAACTATACATGCAGTTTCTGTATCTTGGCTTTGTCCCACTCTGGAGGGCAATCCTAAAACCCATTCCTTTTACCAAAGATGCCTTACATTTCCAGGATTACATATAGTTTTATAGGGCTCTCCCACATTTTTTCCTGTCTCAATGTTGTTGATATTCTATATTTTTTTGTTGTCAACAATACGGTTTATCTCTCAATACTTTCTGACTTCCCCAGTCTGTCTGTGCTCTAAGCCCATTCATAACCACTAAAGACAAATCTAAATACATTTGTCATAAACAGTGTTGGGCTCGTTATTCAAAAAATGTACTTTATTACTCATTACTCTTAGTCCCTGCCAACAGTATTTAACTGCATTGCTTTTCAGCCACACCTGACAAAATTGGTAATTGTGTCTTTTTTCCCCAAAATTCAGACGTTGCATGTGCACTTCTGTGAATTTCAGGGTGTCGCTGCAGTTTTATTCATCAGCCTATGAATACATAAAAGTTACAGGCTAGATCAAAAGCTCAAGTTGGTGACATTCTTTTGAACAACTTCTGTTTAGAGACATAGTTTATCTTTCAAATAATTTTTACCTGTGACCGATATCTTTCCAAGGATCCATCTGAAAGACAGACGGACAGTAAAATATTTAATCTACCATATATTCAGCCCATTGGTTTCTGGAGTACCGTTTTGAAGCCTCGAGTTTTGGTATTATGTTTGTCACCAGCCGACAGTTTGTCGGAGCCAGCAGAGGTGAGGTACTGCAAGTTATCATCTAGTTCACTCTAAATGGGACCATAATTTAATAAATGAACATCATGCTGTATGGAAGAAGAATGAAACTAGAGATTGAGACCAAAAACTCATTAGGAAACTGTTTACTGAACTCATAAATCAAGTTGTCCATAAGATTCAATACTATTACTATTACTCTACTATATGTGATGAAAAAGATTGCAGGTCTAAGACACATGCTAATTGCACAATGATTTCAAAAATTAATCCCGGATTTGATTGGATTGTTGGATTTCAAATCAGTAGGGGGGTGACATCAAAAGTTGTCATTACTGGGGAAAATAAAATTATAACTGTAATATTATTACTAGTAAATGCCCAACACTGATCATGAATATATACTTTGATTTCTAAGAAACAGAAACATTTCTGAGACAGCATTAAGTTTTTTGGGGTTTTACAAACAGATAAGATTAAGTGACAGGTTAATTGACGTAATTGACTGTGTAAAATTGCAATTTCACCCTAGACCAAAAACATGTGAGTACGGCAACAAGTGCCCAAAAGCTCATTCTGTGGAGGAACTGCAGGAATGGATGATGCGTGCTGAGGAGGAGAAGGAGATCCGACAAAACATTGAAGCACAGGGTCTCATGTGCTATAATGAAAGGCTCCTGGAGGAATACAAAAACAGCAGTAATGAAGTGTACATTGTGAGTGTAATCTTTTGTGTCATTTATTATGATTTCTGTCACAGATTGTTTATTTGCTGGTCCTCAGTCAACTAAGAGGCACGCCACGTTCTCATAGTCTTTGAATCCAGCCTTCATCGCATACACACCCTGTCTCAAGGTCATAGCAAACTTTATTACTACCCTAAAGATAAAATCATTTACACACACACATACACACTTTAGATAGTTTATAGAGTATTTGTAACATCTCAGCTGTTCCGCTTTGTCTGTAAATGTTTAACAGATTATAGAGTAAATTTGACAGTTCGTGCAGAAATCCTAAGAGTTGTTTTGTGCCTAATCCTAACCAAACCTTAACCAAGTATTTGTTGAATTTTAACTGAGGTGTTGAAATATTAGATACATATTTACATCAGAAAAAGCAAAAATAAAATCAGAAAAATAAATAAAATAAAAAATGTTTCCATCAGTCAGTAGCCGATGCTTTTTGTGATTTTGTGTAATTTGATAAATGACAGTAGAACTAAAGATACCTGGCTGGATGTGGACCTTTGGATTTGCATTGTGGGTACATAGTAACCTGCCTGAGCCACTGATCTCTGGGTATTATTTAAAGGACCAGTTTAGTGGCATCTAGCAGTTAAGTTGCAGATTGCTGATGAATACCACTTGCTTGTAGTTTGTAGGAGAAACTACAGTGGCCGAGAAAGGCCCTGTTGAGAGCCAGTGTTTGGTTTGTCCATTTTGGGCTAGCATAGAAACATTATGGAGCCAGTTTGATGAAGTGCCTCCAACTGTCTAATTAAAGCAATGTTGTCTGTCATGTGATACTGGATCAAAAACACATCTTCCTATTAGCTTACATTGTGATAGAAGCAGTTGTAAAATGGTGGATGGCCTCAGCAGATAAGGGTGAAGCATCAACATCACTGCAAAATGAAAATTGGATCCATTTGGTGTGATAACATTTGTAAAGTTAGAACACAAGATTAAATCATTTTATCCTCATTCAAGTTAGCAGAGGGCAAAACTAGCAGTAAGCGGCTCAGCCAGCGGTCTCTAGTGTGATTGCTCTATGGGCCACACAATACAAAAGCATATGTGGAAGATAACTTTATTTCTATTTTCAGGTGATTACACACTAATGAAAACCTACCTATAAATATTATATTCCCTTTCTAGATCCTCCTAAATGTTACACACAGGACTTTTAAGTACATTGATTTCTTTCTTTCCAAAGACTCCCAACACTGTAGAAGGCTCCCTTTAAGTTTTATTTTTTTTTACTTGATTACACTTAGAAAAAGTAAAACTAGATATCATTAACTATAATAAATGATTATACAAGTTTGTAACATAGAACAAAGGCAGCTGGTTAGTTGACTGAATGCAATTATGTGTGTTACTAATTCACAGATGAAGCTATTTATTCTTTAGTTCCTCACCGTCCTCAATCACAATGTTTTGATTCACTATTTCAAACCTTGAACAGATCTCAGAACAAGTCGATGATGTCAGTATCTCTTGTGATGAAGAATTAACTCTGGAATGTGAACAGATTAATTCAACACTGCAATGGAACTTCCATGTTGAAACAGAGGTAAGAGTTTTACGATAAAGAAGTGAGTTACTTTCCCTGTGTCAAATGCCAGCTGCTGAATACCTAACTTCAAACAACTGTATACAGAAACTGTGAGATTCTGTATATACTGCTGTGTTCACTGGAAGGTAGATGCTGAAGCTAGCTCATAGCCCTAGGTGCATAGCAGTAGGGAGGTAACACACGCTCAGCGCCATTGGCTGATGTAAACCAGTATCTACGACAAGTACCTCCCCGTAGCTGCCTGGTTTTACAGGAAATACGTAAACATGTGGAAGCAAATAACTCTTTTCTCTATTTACAGAGACAGCTTGTGCATGTGGCGCTGTTGAAGCAAGAGCCAGGAGCTTCATTCACCCTTGGTGACATCAGTCCTGTGCCCTGTATCTACTCTTCAGGTGAACACTTTCTAAGTGATGACGCGACGTATGACGTCACTGTGTCTTTTACAGCCATCAACCCAGGCCTGTATGACCAGTGGTTAGTGCTAGATTTTGACATGAGACCAGTGCTCTTGAGGAAACTCAGAGTAAGAGTAGGCCAGCTGCCATTCGATGACACTGAAGACCAAACTGTGTACCGTGGAGCCACCTTTCAAAGTGTTGAGCGTTGGCATCGAGGGAACAGGGTTATCATTCCATGTTCATCTAGGAAAGAGGAACAGGAGGAGCTGTTAAAGGAGTACAAGCCTCCTCAGATAAGCCTTCTGTACAAATCATCAACAGCCAAAAGCCAAACACCTCTCAATAATGACAACTACAAAGAAAGAATGCACCACTTCCTGTACAATGAAGAACGGGCAGAGGACCAGGTTGTTTCAAGGTAATATGCTTATCTCAATCAATTTCTTTTTACAATGATTGGAATATGCACATATTTACAAAACAATGCCTAAGCCTTTTTCTTATTTACTTTAGACTAAATGTTTGCGGAGAAATTACAACACTGGATACACTGGACAATGATCAGTTTCCAATGATGATTCCTCCTTGGGGTCAGCTGTTCTGTACTGTGTCAATTCCTTGTAATCTCACACCAGACACGCCTGAGGGACAGGTGCTAAAACGAAGCATCCAGTCTGGCCTGATAGCCCCTTTATCTTCAGCTGGTCAAAACCGCAAAGTCTATGAAGCCATCATTCTGCAAGGCCAAACAAGTGAGAACAAAATGTATTTGCAACTGTCCAAAAAATGTTGCTCCGATCTTACACTCAAAAGCAATGAATCATATCAAATGGAGGTGCAGTTTCAGCTGGACCGCAACAGCTTCTGCACCATGCACAAGGCTGTAGATCTTCTTCCTGATACAAAAAGAGTGCTACCAGACTTTAAAAGATGTGGAGTTCCTGTGAATAACATCCGCTATGAGAAGCTCAATACAAAGCAGCAGTCAGCAATAGACTTTATCACAGGTACCTCCACTGTTCAAAAGTGTGTGGCACCACTCCTCATTTATGGACCATTTGGAACTGGGAAAACATTTACCCTTGCTACAGCAGCCAGACAGCTTTGTAAGCAGCCCAACAACAAAGTGCTGATTTGCACCCACACCAACAGGTAATGCATACTATTGAAAGCATACCTAAAGGTCCAGTGTGTAACATTTAGGGGGATCTTTTGGCAGAAATGGAATTATAGTTTTTTACTGTATATCTACACACACCACGGATCACTTTCCATGGAGGCTGCCATGTTGGACTGCAGTATATCTTAGCCCAGAACAGACAAACTAAAAACTAGCTCTAGATAGGTCTGAGTGCAGATGCAGTTGTTTCTCTTTTGCACTTGGGGAGGGGGAAATCAGAGGACTGCATTCTGCAACTACACCACTAGATGCAACTAAAACCTATACACTGGACCTTTAATAAAATTTTGTAATTTTTAAAATCTTTGCTTACTTTCAATTTGCTAATCTGGCTAAACTATTTGCTGTACTGTTGTATAGAAGTTTTAGTATGACCAAAATAACATTTTCTCTCTCTTTCAGTTCTGCAGACCTGTACGTCAGAGATCACTTCCATCCATTCTTCGACAAGAAAAATGAGGAAATTAGGCCTATTCGAATAAAAGCAAACAGTAAAGTGGCTTTGTATGCCACAGATGAGATTACTTTGAAATACTGTTTTTTTTCGGAAGATAGACAGAATTTTCTACCACCTACAAAAGCTGCCTTAGATCGCCACAAAATAGTCATAACCACAACAACAATGGCAAGACATTTTCATGACCTAAAGCTCCCAGAGGGATACTTCACCCACATACTAATTGATGAAGCCTCTCAGATGCTCGAATGTGAAGCCTTGATTGCCCTTGGCCTTGCTGGGCCAAACACCAGAGTGGTTTTGGCTGGAGATCATATGCAAATGTCCCCCAAACTTTTCTCAGTTGATGATCATCACCGTTCAAATCACACACTCCTTAATCGCTTGTTCCACTACTATCAAGATCACAATTGTGATGCTGCCCAGAACAGTAGAATCATATTCAGTGAAAACTACCGCTCAACCAAAGAAATTGTGGAGTTTGTCTCCACCAATTTCTACGTTGGTAAGAATGATGTTATCAAAGCTACTGGAAATATTCCAGCTCCTGCAAATGGCCGTGCCCTAAAGTTTCACCATGTTAGGGGAGAGTGCCTCTTGGACGCAGTGTCTATGTCTTGGTATAACAAAGAAGAGGTTGCAAAAGTGGTTGAAGAAGTGCAAGAGATTCTCAAACACTGGCCAACGACCTGGGGGACCATTGACCAAAGCTCAATCTGCATTCTATCAGAGGGATTTCAGGTAAATTAAAACTTTGCAGTTGCCAAAAAGATTAATTACATCAATGATACAGTGAAGAGTTCTGTATAAATGTAATAGCACAGTCGTTGTTGGATTTGGTCAGAGTTGTAATTATCTTAATTGTTTCTTGTGGTTTGTAGGTTCGGCAGATTAGGGCAGTGCTTTTGAGAAGAAGCCTTGCTAAAGTCCATGTTGAGAATTTAGCAAATGTGCAAGGTAATTCAAATTTTTATCTTTAAGAATTCCTTCATGATTATGCCATTATGTTAGACATAAAGGGTGGCTCAACTTAAACTGAGCATCCGTCTGACTATTCAAACATTATACTTCCATTATCCTACATACACTGTAATAATTGTTGTCTTCATTTGTTAACAGGCAAACAGTTCAGGGCAGTCATAATGACAGCTGTGCAAACACGTGACAGCCTAAAAACATCTCACCTGCCTGGTCTGGAGCTGTTCAATGATGCCCGTGTGTTAAACACTGCAATGACTAGAGCTCAGTCCCTTGTGGTTGTGGTTGGAGATGCTGCTGCCCTCTGTTGTTTTGGGAAATGCTCAAGAGTCTGGAAGAGCTATGTGGACCATTGCATCAGCCAAAACAGTGTTGCACCACAGCATTTTACCAAAGACTTTTTTGAAAAAGACATCATGGAAACGGCAAGGTTTCAAAAGTCTGAACATGTGGATAAGAGCAAAACTCACAGTGATGCAATTCTTCAAGAGTTGAAAGATGAACATGAACAGCAGAAAACAGAATATAGTTCAGATGAAGAGAGTTCGAAACTTGATGACTTCAATCATCTCAAGTTAAGATCTTCACACACAACCACTGATGTTGACACAGACTATTTGGAGTTATGTAAAAAACAACCAGAGATATACAAGCAAGGAAAGTTGATCAGAGAGTCATATAACAGAGGTTATGTCATACCACTTCAAAATCCCACTAGTCGAATAAGCATTAATGGAAGGGCAAACCTGAGTACAGTCTTCACTGGAGATGAAGTGGTTGTACAGACAACAAGGGTGGTCGGCATTACCAAGGAAGAGGAATCAGCACGTGTACTTGTGTGCCTGCTAGAGGATGAGGATAACAGCAAACCAAGACAGAATTCTGAAGAAGAATTTGTCACAAGGATGATGATGCCCATTACAAAATCTGCACCCAAAGTACGCATACGGATCAGCAAGAAAAGACGTAACTTCCTTCCAATATGGGAAAACACTAATGGATGGTGGACAATTGTATCCTGTGTCTATCTCAATGAAAAGCTAAAACAGAACAATGTATTTGTGGTGCAAGTAATTTGCTGGAAAAGAGGGTATGCTTTTCCATTGGGGAAAGTCATAGATATTCTTCCAGTCGGAAAATCTTTGAACGATGCACTATGGATCCTGAATGAAGAATTTAAAATTTTACCCACTCCATATACATCAGACGAGGGTTTCTCCTGGGTAGATGAAGACAGGACATACAGACAGGACATACGTGAGGTAACTACTTTCACAGTTGACCCGAAAGGAGCAAAAGATTTGGATGACGCTATCAGTGTCAGGGACATTGGAGACCAATATGAATTGGGAGTCCATATTGCAGATGTGGCAAGCTTTGTGAGTCCAGCTAGTAAACTAGATGAGGACGCAAAAAAACGTGGCACTACATATTACTGCGGTGGGGAAAAACCCACAGCAGTATATCATATGTTCCCCCAAAGCTTGAGCACTGGACACTTTAGTCTTCTGTCAGGTCAAGATCGCAGGGTGGTTTCATTAATGTTCAGAGTAAACAAGAAAACAAATGAGATCATTGGAAAGCCTGAATTCCAGCTGTCACTGATCAATTCTGATGAACAGTTATCTTATGAAGAGGCAGAGGAAACAATCTCCAAAAATTATGGGATGATACAGAAATTTGACACAGTAAATGACTGTGTCACAGTGGCTTATTGTTTTGCAAAAGCTCAAAGGAAGATTAGACTTGGCCATGACTGGGTTTATTCTCAACCTGATGATCAGAGATTGCCCGGAGAGCGCAAAGCCCATCTGATGATTGAAGAGCTAAGTGTGTTATTCAATGCACATGCATCTGAGACTTTGATTGGTTCAGAAAAAACCAGGTCTTACACACCCCTTCGCTGCCAGGCAAACCCAGATCCTGAAAAGATAGAGGAGTTAAGAAAAACAAAATGTGCAGAATTAATACCACTGTCTTTTCATGTGCGGCACAAAGTTGACCATGTGGAACAAGAACCAAACCATGAAAACTTCCGCATCCTCACAAAAGTATGGAAAGAAATCCAGTCAGCTGCCAAAAAAGGTGATATAGACAAAATGGTGGACCTGATTGCTGCAGATGACATCCACCCTCTGCTTCAGTCAGTCGTTCAGCAGTTCAGAAGGTGTTTTAGTAAATCCTATGTCATCCGTTCCAACTCCTCTCCGAAAGCAGGGGTTGGGCATTATTCTCTGAGCGTAAGATCTTACACCCAAGCATCATCACCGATACGGCGGTACATGGACATCGTCGTGCAGAGACTTTTGCACTCCATCATATGTGACAGGAATGTCCAATACACTCGAACTGAGATTTCAACTTTGTGCAGTCAATTTGATCTCTGTATCAAGAATGCCAAGGAGTATGAACAAAAGGCTGAGCAGATCTCCTACGCAGTGAGCATGAAAAAACAAAGTGCTTCAAAGTTAGCCTTTGTTGTGAGCACAGAACCCAACAAAGATAGTTTTGCGGTCTCATTTCCTTTTAACAAGAACATATTTGCAGAGCGTTTAGCAATTATGTACAAAGATTTACAATTGTGGGACCAACCATTGTATGATGAAGAAAAACACTGCATCACTCTTACATGGAAAAGGCGGATCTATGCAGTTGACACCATGCAAATCTACCAAGAGTTGAACATGCCAGACTGTGATCCCTGTGTTGAGCTTCCACTGACAATATGGAAAGCCACTGTTGAAGCAATTGATGAAGAAAACTGGGATCATGCACAGCGTCTCATAATGGAGGTTGAAAAACAATATATTCTGCCACAATCATCTGATGAGATTCCTTATTCCAAGACCAACACGTGTACCTCTGAGGAGCAAGAGGTTCCAAAGATACAAATGGGTCATGAGGTTGACATGAGCCTCCAGTTGCAAACAGGTGACATCCTTCAAGTCCAAATGACCTCAGAGTTAAAAAGAGGTTATCACATGCCTGCTGTTCAGTTGGTGCGCATTAAACCAAAGTTTGAGATTTGTGTTGATCATGTCCACAGCCCTATCACATGCTTCTCCAGTTCAGCCGATTTCCCATCAAGGATTCATTATAGTGACATAGAGGAGTATAAAGAGATCTGGGAACCGTTGTGTGACATGGAATCTGCTGCCACTGCAGTTGACGAAAGCGAGGGCATAGTCATTGAGAACCTGGTGGTAAACTTCAGTCAAGTACAGGAAGGAATGCTAACAGGAAGCTTCTTCTTACCTCTGGCATGGATCAATGAATGTGCCATTGGATTTAACCTTTCAAAATGTTTATTGTGCATAAGGAAGAGAGGTTTGAAGTTGACTTCACCCTTGGAACATTCTGCATCGGTGGACCCAAGCGAGTACACATGGGTGGCTCATGGTGTCACAAGAAAAGAAGAAAGGAAAAACCCTCCAAATGAAGGAAGTAAAGTGGAATTCTACATCAATCACCTGCCGATGGAGATAATTCCTGATTGTGTCTTTCAGACAAACTCTTCTTTCACAGTTGAAATAATCCCAAAGCTCCTGCCTGACATGTAAGTTCAAGTGTAGTTCATTTTGACCACACCAATGTTACATTGCTTATTGTTTGACTTTTCGTACTTTCCATCTCACACTTGCTTGCAATAACATTGCGGACAAATGCTGACAAACTTTTTTTTTTTCAGCTTGAGATTAAACTGTTGACGTGTGGTTTTGTATATTTTTTTTAGCCGGAAAGAACATGCTGTGCGCAACATTGGATCTGCATGTGATCTTGTCAAGGCTATAGCACTTGGACAACGCATTCCAAAAGAAGGTATTTCCATTATTCAGCAGTTAATAAGTGCATAGATTTTAACTGTTTGTATTCCTGTAAATCCCACATAAACTTGAAAAAGAGAACACTTGTTGTACATTCCTGTAGTGTTATTTAAATCTGATTAAATTATTGTACATTTCTTGCAAAACTATTTTTAATTTTTCTTTGCAGTAAGAGCAACATGGCTGGGAGGAAAGAGGAAAGAGCTACCAAATGTACTGCCAGAGCTTAACCTGAGTCAGCGTCTTGCTGTGGATATCGCTCTAAATAATACCTTCACTCTTATACAGGGACCACCTGGTAAGAGCTGGAACTTTCACCCTAATGCATCAAATTTTCTTACAAAGGCTTAAGCCATTTTTCCTATCCGTCTCTTAGGAAGTGGAAAGACAGTAGTGGGTGTGTACATTGTGTACTGTTTCTTGGAGCTGAACTCTAAGAACCCAAGGAAATTTCATGATCCAAAGGATGGGAGCAAAAAGGAAGTTATTCTCTACTGCGGCCCATCCAACAAGTCTGTTGATGTTGTTGCAGGCAAGTCACTTTATTTCTCAGTTGAAATTTCAGCTGCTTTTCCTTCTGTTAATATGACCCATGTTGTTTGTTTTTTTACTTTTGTAACACAGGCTACCTGTTACGGTTTGAGGACAGTCTAAGACCCCTCAGGGTCTATAGCCAACAAGTGGAGATGCTTGATTACCCTTATCCAGACTGCACCCTTCAGTTTTCCCGGAGGACTCTCCGCCAAGAATGTGCTAAATTCGAGCTCAGGTATTATAATCACACCAGCTGATGAGACTCTGAGAGATCTTTTTTCTGAATTAACTAACACTGGCATATGGTTTTAGGGGAATCACTCTGCATCACCGCATGCGACAGGACCAAAACCCATATTCAGGTCAAATAAAAGATTTTGACCGACGCATAAAACTTGCCCTGGTGAAAAAAGAAGAGCTCCCAAGCATTCATCTTTCACTTAAGAAAAATGAAGAGCTGCTACGCATGCAGCTGACACCTAAGAAAAAAGAAGAGCTGCTACGCATTCAACTTTCCCTTGAAGTAAAAGAAGACCTCCAACAAATTCAACATACCCTTGAGGAAAGAGCAGAGCTCCAACGCATTAACGTGGTCTTAGGAAAAGAGAGGTCAGACGCATCACTGCCCTTGGGAAGAGGTTCCTGATTACTTGGCCTTGAGAGAAAGAAGAGCTCCTACGATTCCCTGGCCATGAGGACACCGAAGGGCTCCTACGCATTCAACGTAGCCTTAAGGAAATGTTAGAGCTTCAACGTATTCAACTTGCCCTTAAGGAAAAAAAAGAGCTCCGATGCATTCCACTTGCCCTTAAGGAAGAAGCTCCGACACAACTACGTGTGTAAGAGAGCCCAACGCATTACATGCCCTTAAGGAAATAGAGAACTCCGAGCATCACTTGTCGTGGAAAGAAGGGTGACTTCGCTCGCCCTTGGGCTCATACGCATTCACTTTCCATTAAGGAAATAAAGTGTCAATTTTTTGAAAGTAGAAGAGCTGACTGCTGAAGAGGTGAAAGAGTAAGTTCATATGCATTATTGGTTTAACAAATTTCAAAACTCCATGAAAATTATGAAAAGTCCCTTATTAGTCGGTGAGAGGAGGAGTCCAACATACTAACTTTTTAGTAGTCAAGGGTATCTTATCTAATATTATAGTATAATAATCACATCTGACTTGTGACCTCTATCTAAAAAAAAAATCCACTGTCTCTGCTCTACGTGTGTAGCTCAGCCCTGCCCTCAGTCAAACAAGACACAGACCTGCAGCTTTATACACATCCAAGACACAGATAGAGAGCAGCAGAGACAGCAAGATAACCTGGTTGCTGCATTATTATCGAGTCCCAACCTGACCCTGCAAGCTGGCCAATAGTTGACGCCAAGCAGCACATTTTTACTCTGTAACTGATGAAACTAGAAATGTAACAATACTTGTTATAAAAAGTACGCAGTAAGTAAAAGTTTAATTGTTGATTTTAAAGAACATTCTATAAAGTACACAAAAGCTCACTGATGAATGTTGCGAGTGAAGGCTGGCCCTAGTGGTCAGATCCAACAGATGAGCTACCGTAGCTCAAACTGCTGAAAAAGTTCATGCTTGTTCTGATAGAAGGTGTTCGTTTGTTTTGTATGGGGCCGCGTAGCCGCAGACCAGTCAGGGTGCGCAGGTGATTATAACGTTATGGCTTATTGGTGTAATTTGTTACTTCTACCTCCAGTAGTGTCCAATCTAGCCCTGTTTGGGACCGTCTCATTCATTTGAAAAATAATTTTAAAAGAGTAAGATAGAGAAGAGACACAAAAAACTGGAACATTTGGATTTGAAGAACTTTATTTGAAGCTCTAACTGTATGGATTGTTTTTCCTTCTAGATACAAAAAACTTCTCACCCTTGCTCGGACATATGAGCTTGAACGACATGACATCATACTGTGCACATGTACACAGTCTTCCACCCCAAGCTTGATTAAAACAGTCACCGCACGTCAGATCCTCATTGATGAATGTGCAATGGCCACTGAACCACAGGCCTTGATTCCATTAGTCAGCAACAAACCAGAAAAGGTGAGGTTTTCATTTAACATTGGTATCCTGCTTGTGCATTAACATTATCCTTAGTGTGTCTGCATGCTAATGATCAATGTGGCTTTCTTCGTGCCCTGAAATTACATTGTCAAAGCACAATGTGCTTTAATGTCAGAATATCTTTTATATGTAATGAGATTATTTCATACTATGTATTATGTAACACTGGAGTGACAAAGGGGCTACAAGCTTTGTCATACTGTCCAGCATGGAAATTCATTTTTCTCAAAGGATTATTTCCAAGGATAATTGTACAGTAACCACCCCAGTCGTTTCTCGAGTCTAACTGGCAATAAACTATATATATATAATAAACTACTGGCGACATTTCCATTAAATTAGTTGTAAATATTGTCGACAGGGAATCAATCCTTATGTTTCTGATGACCTTTTTGTCTGATGGAGGCTCATGAGACTTTCCACTTGTACACAAGAAATATCAAAATATAATGGGGAGATTTGTTGAGCACATTCATGTCCCCAGTAGGATCAAGCCTTTGCATTTCAGACTAGAACAATATGTCGGTTGGCCATTAATGGCCTATCACCAACAAATCGGTATTGTATCAGTATTGGCCATATGTTAACCCATATGCACAATTACTTATTAATTAATAACATTTTTGCCCGGTATATAATGCAGAAAAAAATACTTGCTTATGTAACATCTTAAAGAACATTTAACTTGGTAGAGCTTGTTTCCTCTCTCTCTTCCCCCTTTCTTGTCAATCTTCAACTTTCCTATCCAATGGTATTTTACTTAAATATTCTTTAAGAAAGTTTAAGAAAGCAGCCTTCTCAATACCTTTGCATCAGTGCACAATCCACATAGAAAATGTTTATTTTCATTCTAGCTCAGAAATTCACCAATTACTGATATCACGGCCAGTCAGTAATTGTGAATTTCTATTTTTCCCCTCTGAAATCGGTATCGTTCTCAATTATCTCATATTGGGGATAACTGGTAGAGCTGGTGCCCCATGTACTGAGTCCTTGCAGCTGGGGCCATGGGTTTGACTTCAACCTGTGGCTCTTGGCTGTGTGTCATCCTCTCTCTTTTCCCCCTTTCCTGTCACTCTTCAGCTGCCACGACTGATTAAAGGCAATAAAACCCCTCCTAAAAAATATTTTTTTAAATCCAATGTCGGTTTGGCTCTATTTCAGACACAGGGTTCTCCGAATGCTGAATGCCAGCTAACACAATTACAGGGGTTTAAGGCACTGGTTGCATCATTGCTCCCCATCATTGGTGTTAAAGGCATTCACTCTAATGTCTTACAATGTCACTTTTAGATTGTTTTGATCGGGGACCACAAACAGTTACGACCCATTGTGAAGAATGCACGTGTGAAGAAGCTGGGAATGGCCAAGTCTCTATTTGAACGCTACTATACAATGCGTGGGAAAAGGACAGTGATGCTAGACACCCAGTACAGAATGGTGAGGACATTAAAACACTGTTTTTATACATACAGTATATATGCATTATGTTTTATGCAGTATTGTATATTTATACATATGTACTTACTGTTTCAATATTGTATAACCTTATGTCTTTGTTTACTCTTTTAAATTGTAATCAACAACTATCCATTATGTACCTTCATAGCATGTGAACATATGCGAGTTCCCATCGAAAGAATCTTATGAGGGAAAGCTGAAAACTGGGGTGGAGCAGCCGAGCAGTGTCCTGCGTGTTGGAGATAAGACAATGCCAGTTGTTTTTGGGGACATCGAAGGAGAGACCATCAGACTGGTTGTCAACACCGCCAAGGGCAACGAGAATTCTAAAGCAAACAAGGAAGAGAAAAGCAAAGTGGTACTGTATTGGGCACCCGTGCATTTCCTTGTTGATTTTAAACAGTAATATTAATATATAGGGCTAACGCATATTATAGGGGTCTCCAACCTTTTTGAGAGTGAAGGCTACCTAAAGTAAGAAAATTGTCGGGAGGGCTACTCTGTGTACTTGACGAACATCAGTGTTATGCTTTTAGTAGAATCATCATCTACAGCGGTGAACCAGTTGGAATTGGAATTGCAGCTGTGGATTTTATTTTTTGCTCTGGTCGTGGTATTACCACTGAAGGCTCTTATGAGAAATCTACTATGTTGGAGACCCCTGCTATAAAGTCATTAACCTGATTGTCAGTGACATTGTTTATTATTGCTTTACATCACTGTTTTTGGTTTGGTTCTTTTGCAGATTGACATTGCTGATAAGCTGGTGAAAATTGGCAAAATCGAACAGCAAAGCATTGTGATTCTGTCGCCCTATAATGCCCAAGTGTCAGAAATCAGAGATGCGCTAAAGGAGAAGAAAATGGATGAAATCCTTGTTACCACAATCACTAAAAGCCAAGGTGACAGTGTACCACTCTTACATAACAATTCCTTTTCTGAAATTAAAGTACCACAATGGAAGAATATTCTAGAATAGCAGAATTGTTCCTCTTACAGTGTGACACCGATATGTTACCGCAAGCATCAAACTGTTTTATGGAGCATATCGGATAACATACATGCCCATACCATTCCGATACCAATATGTCTGCAATGATATTTACTGACCAACATATCGGTTGGCGTCAGGTTTTTTATGATTTAGACACGTTTTCTGGCCATGTAAATAAATGTGACTCAACTGGTATTTTGGTGCAGTTCAGAGAAAACTAAAGAAAAACCTCCACTCTGTTTAATGATCATCATATGTATGACATTTTGTCTTCTAGGAAGTGAATGGCGTTACGTCATCATATCGACAGTGTGCTCTCTGCCAAGTGAAGAGATTGAGAGTGAACCCAACGGAGCTTGGCTGTCCAAACATCTGGGCTTTGTGGGCGATGCCAATCAGATAAATGTGGCCATCACCAGGGCCAAGGAGGGACTGTGCATCATTGGTAAGATACTGCAGCTCACCTCTTATTTCTGCCTATGCTTGAGGATCAAAGCTCATATGTGGCCTCATAACTCACATGTTTCTGTCCTCTCAAAGGAAACCAGAAGCTGCTCAGTCGGAGTAAAGCTTGGAAAAATCTCCTGGACCACTACAAGAGCCATGATGCAGTGACAGATGCAAACAAGATTTCAGTGTGTGCCAGCTAGCTCGTCTCTGTGTTGTCTAGAGATTTGATTTCTACAAGCAGCAGATCAGAGCCCCCAACGCTTACACAACAATATGACTTCATGTAAGATGTATATATTTATAGCTTTTTTCTATGGTTTCCCAGTAAGCTTGTGTGCATTCTTTTTACATTTTTATAACAGATTTTGGACCAACATTTTAATTGTTCTCTTTAATATGTGTCTGTAATTATGAAATTATACAAGTTCTATACCAGCTGTATCTAGATTTTTCTTATTTACATTCTAAACGTTCAGGTTCACAGAGCTTTTTGTTTTGTTTTTTCTATTTTTCTATTTTGTTACCACAAGTTAAAATATTGTATATAAGAAAAGTACAGTACTGTGTTTTTAAGAGACTTGATGTCTACAAGCAGCAGATCAGAGCCCCTGCACTTACACAACAGCATGACTTCATGAAATATCTTTTATTTCTATGGTTTCACAGTAAGTTTGTTTGCATTCTTTTACATTTTTATAAAAGATTTTGGACCAACTTTTTATTGTTCTCTTTAAATGTGTCTGTAATTGTGAAATTGAACAACTTCCATATCGTCTGTATCTAGAATTGTATTATTTACATTCTAAACCTTAAGGTTCAAATAGTTCTTGTTTTGTTTTTTGTATTTTTCTTTTTTCTTACCACAAGTTAATGTACAGTTAATACTCTTAACTATGGACAGCTGACAGAAGAGTTCTTAATGTTTGGATCTTTTAATTCATTTTTATGGTTCAGTTGAATCACTTCCAGTGAAGCACTGTTCCTGTTTACTGAATGCGTCAGCATTGTCTTTATTGTAGGACAGCTGGACAGTGAGGCTAGTCTGTAGTTTCTTTATATTAGACCACTCATATTTTTGTTTTTGATACTTTTAAATGTTCAGGGATTAGCTTTGGCTATGTGTTAACATAATTTGTATTGTGTGAAATTGAGATTGTTAAGTCTTATTACATTCAGTGACTAGTTAATGTGTGTACAGAAATGTTAAAGTAGATTTATTCGTGGTTTGTTTTAGTTTTTTGTCTTGACCCTGAAAATGGAATTTATGCGATTTACATTGCATTTTGTTTCAGAAAAGACATGTCATAGCAGGTTAAGCACGGATGTGTTTTAATAGCAAGTGCATCACATGAGGCCAAGCCACTATATCCTACACTTTGGAACTGGGTCATGAGTTAATATTCATCCTTTTACTTAAAATTTTATTTTATTTTTTTCTAAAACACTTTGTACCTTGGATTTTGAAAAGTGCTCTATAAATAAAGATCATTATTATAACTATACTATTATTTGTTTTTTATGTCTGTTCTAAAGTCTAATTTCTGGTGTGAAAGAGCTCTTTTGGATGTGATTGAAAGTATGATTCTTTATAAACATTCTCAAAATCTAAAAACCTTTTTCTCAAAGTGTCTTTATGTTAATATTCAGAACTTTTTATTGTAAAATACTGACTTTATAGCTTAACGCTTTTTGCAGAATTATTCTCAAAATCTATATTATATTTAGTTTTACCAAACATTCAAACATATTAACTGTACAGACATTAGCCACAGCTAGGAAGCAACGACCCAGATAAAAAAAAAAAAAAAGCTGTTAATTCTGCTAACTGTCCCGCCAAATATTTAAAATTAAATGAGTAAGCTGATGCATGCATCATGTTTGGTTTGGGATAAAGACAGTTGAATCATTTTCCTAACGAGGAAAACATTAAATATAAAAAAATATATATTGGTTCTATCCATGTTTACACACTACAGATAATGCTTCATGGGGAAGTGCTAACATTGTTCCACAGCAGCAGCTACACCGACAAGGACATTTTCACTTAGGGGTGTACTCATTTTTGTTGCCAGCGGTTTAGACATTAATGGCTGTGTGTTGACTTATTTTGAGGGGCAGTAAATTTACACTATTATACAAGCTGTACACTGACTACTTTACATTCTATCAAAGTGTCATTTCTTCAGTGATGTCCCATGAAAAGATATAATGAAATATTTGCAGAAATGTGAGGGGGTGTACTCACTTTTGGGAGGAAAACCAGAGATTTGGATGAATTCTGAGCAGATTATTTCCTGTGAATATTGATCAGAGATGAGTTTTCTTTTTCCTTCCTAACCTTCACAGTGTGGCTGCTGTGGAACAATGTTAGCACTTCACCATGAAGCATTATCTGCAGTGTGTAAACATGGATAGAGCCGTGTTCTATATATTATAATATTGGATTGCTACAATAAAATCTAGCAGTACACTACTTTCAAAAACAACAAAAAAACCCTCAAAAAAAAAAAAAAAAAAAAAAAAAAAAACCAAAAAAAAAAAAAAAAAAAAATTAAAAAAAAAAAAAAAACAAAAAACCCAAAAAAAAAATAAAAGAGCTTGAATGTCTGACCAACCTTTGTCTCCATTCTTTCAGCAGTTTCCTGTCTTCCTTTAACAGGAACCCTTTATGTGTGACTGTCAAACCTTTTGAGATCTGACCTTCAAGATTCAGAAATACGAGTGAATCTAGTCGTCAGAGAATTAATTTGTCATGTCATTAAAGGGATGCTGGTTTTTCACGTTAAAAGTTGTATAATGTCTTTTGTGGCTTTAGAGGAGGTTTGTCAAGTCTGAGAAAAGAAAACATAACCTTATGGAAATGTGTGTGCATCACTATCAGTTTTGGACTATATCAGTGCTGAGCAACACTGTAGAGTTGCTTTATGGGAAGTGTAGGATCCAGTGTTTTAGAGGTTGACCCATATGGGGATTTAAAGTCAGACATCTTCTGCACCAGTTTTGATAACCCTTTTTTAATCTGTCTCTCACAATTCTCCAAACTTCATGGACATGCAATATTAATTTGCAGGAGAGCCCGTTTAATGGTAATTTAAGTGTAGCATTATGTTATATTAATTTCTTTTTTTTCCTATTTAAATGTGTCAGATATTTAACATATGAACACATGATCTCAGTGACCTCGTCTGCATTTCAAATGACCACAAATTAACAGCAAACAAAGAGATCTCCTTTCTAAGCAAAATCTAATTCAGTGAACTGTAATGCCTGCACAGATAATGTAGTTCTGCTGATGAGTACACGGGGGCCTGTGGTACCTGTGAGTGAATAAGTAGTTGCTACTTACTTACACATAGTCACATTACATATACAGTCGAGACTGTAATGGAAAAATGCATTCTGGGATAAGGTTCTGTGAACATGAAGCTATAATTCCTATATGCAAACACACCCCAGTTGTGATTAGGGGGAGAGGGTAGAGATGGTGGACACCTACAAGTTCCTGGGGGTGATACTCAACAATAAACTGGACTGGACGGATCACACTGAGGCCCTCTACAGGAAGGGACAGAGCAGGCTGTTCTTTCTGAGGAGGCTCAGGTCATTCAACATGTGCACTCAGCTACTACAGATGTTCTACCAGTCTGTAGTGGCCAGTGTCATTTTATCAACAAATAAAATTATATTTTAATTTTATATTAGAAATAGCGAAATACTTTGATACTTGCCATTGTAAAACATTCATGGAAGCTTAAGGAATGTACTTGACTAGGCTATAACATCTATCTTTTTTCTACACATCAAACATGTTAAGGCCTGGGGTAAAAATAAAAATCAATGATGCAAAGTCTTCTGTCTTTTGTCTTTGGTTTATTTGACTTAGCTAATATAATTGAGTGTACAAAATAACATGTGTCTATGTATATACGGTTTGTCACTCTCAGGAAAATGCTATGGTGTATATATATATAAGTGTAAATATATATGTAAGAAGTTGTATGTGAAGTTGTGAGGGCTCATGAAAATGGATATGCATTACCATTATTTTATTCACAAGATGAGACAAAAATGTATATCGAATAGTATGTATTATTATTACTATTATTATGTAGGCTGGTATTTACATTTAAGATACAAAAAGAAACATGTTTTCCCAAAGAACTACATTTTGGCACCAGACCTGATCCTGACCTGAACCCAGAGGTGTAATTAAATTGAAATTGTATTAACATTTATATATACTATATAGTTATATTATATATTATTATAATAATATATAATTATTCGGAGTCAAACGTTTAGCTCCGCCCACATTTAGCCCAACCCCGATCTGCGTACTGCAGCCAGGCGCAATTGCAATTTTGCGCCTTTACGTTTAAAGTAATGAGTCACGTGCACTAACGTCATCAGTCTCCTCCCTTTGCAGGCAGCGTGCTCAGACACGTGTCCCCGAGGGGTAGGGACGTGCGCACGTGAACTACCATGCTGTACAAGAACTGGAGGGACAAAACCATCCGAAAAGTGCCGGGGGGGTGTAAACAAAGTCCTGTAAAGCGCTAGCAAACGACGAATACATGTCCAATGTAATAAATTCAGTATTACTACATTATATGAAAATATGTAAACCGCGGCTGAGCTTTGTTTCACGTTAAATTGACAGACTGTTCTGTATGTCATGATGTTGTGATCTGTCTCGAACGAAGTTGAAATAAAATAAATTTATTTTCGTTGCAAAAACGTATGAGTTAAATTAATTTTGTGATGATAATTTTACAAATCATCGTATGTTCACAGACACAGAAAAAGTGAAAAAACGATATTTTTGGTACAGCATGTTCTTTCGCAATGGTACAGTCCAACTCGGCAACCGGACGCCACCCGGGTGGTGTCAAGCAACCACAGCAGAGGCCGACATTGGCCGGAAGTGTCGATGTTTTTGCATTCAAAACTAAAAGTATTAGATTTGAATAATGTGGATAAATGAACACGTGTTGATGTTGAGAAGACAGGAATATTGTATTTAAAATATGACCAGATAAAAAGTGGGATTCGTAAAATAGTGTGGGTTATTTCTTTCACCATTGATAAACTAAATAAACTTTATTTGAATTGTCACTGGCCTTAACCATGTGGACATAACCCAGTTTAACATACTCAAGAAGAAACGTTCAACATTGCAGGTTTTATTTTGAAGGCCTTAACCGGAAATCCTCTTATACTGAAGGGATGTTTCCTCGTAGGTTACACTCCTCCTCTCTCTAGCCTACATTGAGCCAGTTCTTCTCTGTAATAAAGGAGAGCGAGGACGCCGCTGGTGTTGTCAACATGTGGACGTGTCTCTATCTCGTGTTTGAATCGTGAAGGATTCACGCGGACGTATGGATACGGTCGGCGGCGACAACCTGCGGAGACGCACGAGGAGCGCGCGAGCCTTCTGCAGACAACAAATCGGAGCGCGAGCCGACGAGTCCAACGTGCTGCGCTGCCTCAGCGTGGGAAACACGGAAGAGGACCATGACATGAAGGGGGACACCGGCCTCTACAAGCAGGACAACCTGGGGCTGAGGGTCATGGCGCCCCGCTACAGCCTGCTGCGGGAGGTGGGGAGGGGTACATACGGCGTGGTGTACGAAGCGGTGGCGCGGAGATCCGGCGCTAAAGTCGCCGTGAAGAAACTGCGATGCGATGCGCCGGAAAATGTGGAGCTCGCCCTGCAGGAGTTCTGGGCGCTGGCAAGTCTGGAGAAACGGCACCAGAATGTGGTGCAGCTGGAGGAGTGTGTGCTGCAGAGGAACGGTATGGCCCAGAAAATGAGCCACGGGAACAAACGGTCCAAACAGTACCTGCGACTGGTGGAGACTTCACTGAAAGGTGAGGCTCTGTTTGAGCTGAGTCACTAAGGCACTATTACACTGAAGCAACTGCTGCTTGTGGATCTGGATCCTTGGTGTTGGTGGATGAATGCCGAACTGAAAAGCATTAACTAAGATTGAAGAACCTGGTATTTCGTGGCAATTAGTTTTTTGGGGTGAACCGACATCGCCAGTCTAATGTTAAATGGCAGGATTTTTAAATGTAGTTTGGACTTCCTATCCAAAGCAGGTCATATTCCGTCAGATGTAGGGACTGATTTACTGTGGATGGTTTTGCTCGGGTCTGTTTAAAAACTAAAAGCAGCTTTAGGGTCTATCAACAGTTTCGGGGAGTGTCTGGAACTGTTACATCATTTGATTTGGCTAACCCGGAGGAGTGTTTCATCTCGGTGCTTTTTAGTTTTATGAGTTGTTGTGTTGACTGCTGGCTGGGCTTCAGCGGCCCAAAAGACAGGTCGACGCTAGTAAGGTTTAGTTTGTAGGGTTGGCTTTGTTTTTAGGACATTTCCTCTCAAGTAGAATTGTTGTTGTCGCCATGACACAGGCTCGCTGGGGGGGATGGGTAGATATTGTGAAGGAGCTCCGGAGGCTGACTCACTAAAATGGAGTCTGCTGTGTTGGCTGTAGTCACAGAGGTATTGTCCACATTCCTTTGGCCGTCAGCGCAAAATCCACCACATCAGCCTTTTGCTTTCTGTCTATAAGTGTAAACTTCATGTGCCTTGCTGCTTCACTTCTGCTTATCTAGCGCACGTTGTGTGCTCTTTGTAATATTGTGAAAAACCGGATTATTAATTTCAACTATTACAAAACAACAGTGAGGGTCCAGATGTGTACCTCCTTCACAGATTGTTCAAAGCTACTGGAAGTATGCATCTTAACTAGTGACCTGTCTGAATAATGGGCACAGCTCTCCATTGTTTGCTATACAGTGGCTCATTAATCAAGGACATGTATTATGCATCACAAGGTTGTATAACAAAGTCAGTGTTGGCAGTCCCTTTATGCTACACACACAGAAAAAGATAATTCATTAAATTATAAAATAATGTAGAAAATACTGTAAAATGAAACTACACACACACACATACACATACACACCCAGGAATGCAGTTTCTGTCTGGTTGAATGTAAACAGCAGCAACAAGATGGTGATGATGATATGGTTTCATCTTCACATAAAAAGAAACTGTGTGCATCCACTTTGACTGTTTTGGTGCATTAAGCATCATCGATGTAAACAGAGTCCGCCTCCAATCATCTGCTCCGAGCACCGTCTGCCCGCCCAGTTCTCCAACACTCTCTGATTTCCCATTGTTTGAGCAGACTGGACATTAGAGCGGTTAATTGGCAATAATTTGGTGGTACAATGTATACATTTTCTATTTTCTTCCACTCCTCTTGGGTTAGCCAGGAGCAGCCTTAAATCTAAGCTTGGTCAGCATGGCTCCTATCGGGCTCTCTTCCTTTTTGTGCAACAGATATTTGTAATGCTAACATCCAGTCAGATGCCTTTCTATTTGCTGAAAACCTGAAATTCAAGCCACATCGTGTTCAAGGTACCCTGAACTGTCTCAGCCCATTCAATCAGATAAATACCACCCACACCCTGATAAAGGAAGGACAATGAGGTTGGAGTGGAAACGCCTAATGTCAGATAGTTAGTGTGCCGATTCACTGGCTTATGGGAACTGGTGATCATTACAGCCTGGTATCAAATGATCTGATGTGTTTTCACAGTGACATGTCTAAATCATTATCATTGATCATTATAAAGATGTGTCTTAGTTTTAGTGTGTATCATTGCACCACTGTGTGAATGACTGGTGTGCGTCTGTTGCAGGTGAGAGAGTGCTCGGCCCTCCAGAGGAGCCGTGTTACCTCTGGTTCGTCATGGAGTTCTGTGAAGGCGGCGACCTCAACCAGTTCATCCTGTCCCGGCGGCCCGACTCGCGAACCAACAACAGCTTCATGCTCCAGCTGACCAGTGCTGTCGCCTTCCTGCATGAAAACAACATCGTCCACAGAGATCTCAAACCCGACAACATCCTCATCTCAGAGAAGTCAGGTGCTCCGGTTCTCAAGGTGGCCGACTTTGGCCTCAGTAAAGTTTGCGCCGGTTTAGGAAATGCCAGCGAGGGCAAGGTTGGTGAAGACAAGAATAAAAACATCAATGTCAACAAGTTTTGGCTGTCGTCAGCCTGTGGCTCAGACTTCTATATGGCTCCCGAGGTGTGGGAGGGCCACTACACAGCCAAGGCTGACATATTTGCCCTAGGCATCATCATCTGGGCCATGCTGGAGAGAATTACTTTCATTGATGCTGAGTCTAAGCGGGAGCTGCTGGGTACATATGTGAGGCAAGGAGCAGACATTGTGCCGGTGGGTGAGGCACTGCTAGAGAACCCAAAGATGGTACTGGACATCCCACAGAAACGCAGGTCGTGCATGTCCGACGGAGTGAGGAAGCTGCTGCAGGACATGCTCGCCGTCAACCCTCAGGACCGGCCCAACGCTTCAGAGCTGCAGGCCAGAATGGACCAGGTTATGTGTGCTGCATGACCCTCAACCAGATGGTTTTACAGGTACTTACACCTTTTCCTTAATATAACTCACAAACAATGTAATGATTGCAGTTTCTCCATACGTCCATAAATCTGTTCATTACATTTTTGACAACATAGTTCATACATCCCTGGAGTCTCCTCCAGCCATTCATATACACACATTTGTGTCTTATGGTATGTTGTAAACCTGTGGAAATGCAGGCAAAAAAATCCAAATTATTTCTATTGAAGGAAACTTAAAAAATGCTGATTTATACTTCCACGTTAAATCCACGCTGAATGTGTGGCATAGGTATATTAAATATAGGACTTTCTCCTGGCGTTCGTTACTAAAACTGGGTGGGAACAATCGTAGTTTAAAATAAAACAAACCTGCACTGGAGTACCAGTCCAAGTCTTTAGGGCGGTGTGGAAGTTGTGTGCTTATAAATACTGTTGTACCATATAACATCAGGACATCCATTTTCAGTGTTTTCAAGTTTCCCACACATCCAGGAAAACTGGAAATTTAGAGACTAGTTGTCATGCAAACACCTGGAAATTGATTAAAATGACCAAATATCCAGGAAATAATGTATGTTGTCTCAGGATTGCAGTGTTAATGTGGCCTCAGTGGTCGGACAAGCACAAAAAAATTCTGCTATCCCTTGCCCCGATCAGTTCAATGGTCGCACACACCATCTACTCTGATGTTTGTGTTGCAGTAATTACAGTAAAAGTAACTGCATTAGCTCATTAACATCTTAGTTTCAGTCCCCATTGTATGAAGAAGAAAGAAATGCAGTGGCATAGAAACCCTAGCACCCGCTAATGTTTTAGCAGGGTAATTGCAAAGTGACGCAGATATACCATCACACAAGTATAAATGCTATTGGTAGAAGTTTGGCATTGTGTGGTTGCCTGCAGGGGTTTGTAGTTCTCAGGGACTAGTTTGAAGTTGCTAGTGGCTCAAATAAGAAATTGTGAGTATATAGTGATAGTGAGTTGAAATGCTCCATGTTCATGGCTGTCAGTTAGTGACATTTGCAGTGTGAGCTGCTGTGGAACGTTGCATAGACTTTATTATGTGTGCAAGTGAATGATTAGGAGCGGGGGTGGGGTGGCTGCTGCTGGTGTCCTGCCTGGGGCACATATTTTGTAACTGCAGTAACAGCCCTCAGTGTATGTGCTCTTGTACTGTCAGTCATCTTGCCTGGATAAGCGTGTGTGTGTTTGTTGTGCTTGAGCTAACAGGACACCTTATGCAACCAACCCCCCCCCACAGATCCACAGATGCCTGTGTTTCAAAGAGGCTGAGCGAGCGTGCTCTGGCTCCTCCTGTTGCTTTTTGTACATAAATAGTTCATGTTATTACATAGGATGGCGGCCTGCTTGTTGCTTAACTGAGCTACCAGAATCACTTTCTTTAATGTGTCTTGGCATTTTCCTTTTGTTTTGCCTTGCTCTTGAAGGAGGTGGGGAGGATATTATGTGAGCAGGGCCAGGATAGGAGCTACAAAAATCCCAGCTGACCCTCCCTCTCCTGCTCTGCTTTTTGCCTGTAAGTCTGCTCAACCTGCCCCCCCCACCTCCCATTCACCCATTCCTCCATTCCCCAATCAGCTCCCTGCATGTGCACCAAATGCTGAACAAGATATTTGTCTTCTAACTTCAGGGAGCTACAGTATAACTGGCAGCTATATTCACTTTAGTATTGCAATGGTATCAGATTTTGACAGAGAATATCACGGTATAATGACACTATAGAATTATTATCCCAGAACAGACAAACAATGACTCTAGATAGGGCCTTTCGTGAAGGAGAAGCGTGCTCTGGACAAGGGCAATCTCTGGCACGGCTTGGCACAGCTCATTTCAACTGGTAATGGAAATGCAAATCAGTGCAGCATTGTTTGAGTGTGGTAGTAAACATTCAAGCAGCTTCTCGCTAACCTGCGCTTTCATGTTCAACAGTAATTCCATTGGTAACGTGATAGCAGGGCCCAATTCATTGTGGCTGTTTGTTTTGTGTGTCTGCAAGCTGGTGTCCAACAGAGCAAGTAAGACGTCTTCTCTCTAGCTTGCCTTCTCCCAGTTAATCCTTCATTCACATCTTACCAATAACTTTTTAAATCCATATTGGTTTGTTTGAATCAAGTAGCATCTCCATATGTCCAATTCCCATGCCACATAAAAATGACATGTCAGCACTGGTCATTAAAGCGCGTTGTCTCTATGGACTGCAGGATAAAGCTATAAATCCCTGCCGGCCCCTCTTTTAAGTCAGTTATGTAACTGAGTATGTTGGCACAAACCGTATCTGTGATGGACGAGCCAAGCGGCTGCACACTTCCATACACAGCAGTCCCCTCACACGGTGCTGCAGGTCACATTTAACAACTGTATGTGCAGCAGGATTCACCAGAGGCTCCGTCTCCTCACCACTGCTCACAATGGCTCAACATAATCCCCAACACAGCGGACATATTGACATATTGGCAGTGTTGATGCAAGGCAGCGTGCAGGACCTCCCAGGCTGTTTGGAAGTGTTTTCAGGCCCTGCAGTCAGCTGCCCTGTTAGTGTGATTGACAGCAAGCCTGTGACCTCCTGTTGGTCTGTCCCACCACACCTCTGTTACAGGCTTCAGTTACACCATGCACTGCTTTACTCACTCTTGCTAGCGTTTACAGTATCCTTATTCAACAGCTACTTTTTTTATGTTTGCATATGCTACCAGACATTTGTATCGTTGCTGCTGTTTTGAATCTTTATACATGCAGCAAATGTGCACGTCAGTTAGCCTGCGTGCATGCAGCAGGCAGGGCACTCTGCAGTGGCCATTGCTGTAAAAGAGTCTGAGGCAGTTTGCTGCAGCAGTCTGACAGTGCTGCACTGATTCAGCACATCTCTGTTTATAGGCTGCCGCAAACTTCACATCCTCACTGCTGCACAGTGAGAGTCAGTGTTTAAAACCCCGGTTGAAAGAACATCAGTAACGTCTCTCCAGCTGTCTCTGTGCCACACACACGTTGCTCAAGCTGTGAAATCCTCCAGGGGGCTTCAGTGTCTCCTCAAGAAAAACAGTGTTGTAACAGAGCTGCTGACAGATGTTCTGCTAGCAAATAAAGACCTCTCAGGGGAGCAGCACTTTAGTATCTGAGCTTAAGATATCAAGACAAACATGTAAAGCACCACTTGCAGCTAATGCAGGCTTCAATTTCTGTTTCTTCCTCGTTCCTCCAGACCAGGCTAATTTGCAAATATATAAATTAGTCTAGAACAACGGGCATTATTAACGGGCCCTGACTCAAAGCCTGCTGAATATAACTGGACAGATGTACAAGAATTAAGGCAAAAACGTGACGCAGCAACGCATGCCTGTTGGGGAGGTGCTTTGCCTGTTTTTAAGCAGGAAGAAAATGCTCCCAAACTCAATCTGACAACATGTTTTCAAAAACATTTGAGTAGAGAAATATTTAACACAGTGACAGAATCTGGATCCATATTTGATCATCACAGCCTAGTTTGAGTTTGTTGTGCCTGTGTATAGCTCTAGATGGACCTGGTGACAATCCTCTGTGAATCATTGTAGAAAACCATTTACTAGGGCCTTTCCATTAACACGTTAGCCGTGCCGAATCAAACCACACAGCTGAGTAAAACGGAGCCAAGCAAAGCCAGCATACATATGTATGGAAAAGAGCTATAGCAAATAATAACACACTGCCTAAGCACTGACATTACATGTTCTCTTGCTGATGTAAATACAAGCAACATATTCCTGAGAAACCATCTTTTCAAGCTCACTCTCTGAAGTTACTGACGCAATCGTTGGAGCTCTTATAATCGTAGTGTCCAAAATGGGGAAAAAAGTCATATTCTGAAGAGCTTGGATGCATGTTAGTGCTGCAGCTAAGGATTGATTGCCTTTAGTATCGCAAAGGAAGGCAGCAAAAACTGAAACTAAAACAAGAAAATGTTTTAGAAAAATGACTTCAGTGATTAATCGATTGTCAGAATAGTTAATTAAATTAGTGTCAAATGACCTTGGTGTCAATTTCTTGTGCACATGTGGAAATTCCACTAGTGTTGGTAGTTGAGGAAAGGTCATAGGTCACCAGAAATATTCACCCGGCGGCCATTAATGTCAAACTGTGAACCCAATGCTGCCCAGCACATCTGGCTTGGACCTTCTTGAGACAAACAGTTTGCAGACGACTGTTGGGATGTTAACATGTACACAAAGAAACAGGTTACTCAGTGACATTAGGTTACACAGGCAGGGCTCCAGACTAACTTTTTGCATTGGTTGCACTGGTGCGCCTAACTTTTTTTTTTTTAGCACTAGCACAAAATGTAGGTGCACCCAAATTTTTCATTGCGTCGCCTTTAACGCCATAAGGTCACCTTTTTATCGCTCTCCATAACTTTCATATAATGCCAGGGAAATAGTTTCAGCCAGTCCTGTCTGAAGGAATATATTTTGGCCTTTTTAATTTGGGTCTTGGAGCCGGGCTCTATCCCAGACTCGGTTGTCTCCTCCTCTGGTTCCGAGTCTGATGCTGTTGCCGAAGGACCGGGGCTCAGCAATTTTTAAACACACACAACTTAGCGCGGTGAACAGGACCACAGCCAATCAGAGGCAAAGACCTGCCCAAGCTCTGTCTCTTATTGGTTTAGAACACGATATGATCCTACCATGAGTGTGTGAGTTCAGTCACAGGAGAACAGAGAGATGATGCGCTTGCAAAATAAATGTATGTTTTCACCCGGGCAGCGCCAGGTGCACCAGTGCGACCTCGAAAAATTATTAGTCGCAAAATTTTGGTCACATGTGCGACCAAATTGGTCGCACTCTGGAGCCCTGACAGGTAACCAGACTGCACATTTACATCCACTGCCACAAGCTTCCTCTCTACTCAACACTGCATGTAAAACCTCATTTTGTGCCTGTTGCTGTTGAGTCATTTGTTTTTTAAACATGTTAAATGTTTTTTGTCTTGTGTTTTTCTGCAGATTTGTGACTCTACCTGGAGCTGCTACATCAGCAAGGGTCTCCTGTTTTAATCTGAAGAATGTGAAGATAAGGGAGAAGCAAGGGAGAGCAATTACTCCTGAAGTCTGGATGCTGAAATGGGATTTTTGTTTACAGTGAAGTCATCTGCCACTTCTGCTAGAGAATGTTTGTCTTGCCTTCAATATTACGATAAAGCAAGAAACATTAGGTCTGCTGCTCGGCGTGAAGCTTGAGGAAACTGATGTACTGATCGATTGAAGGGAGAGTTCTGGAGAAATTCCCATCAGAGAACATGAGTTAGTGGCACTGTGCCAAGGCCGGTGTAGTGACTGACTCTAAACCGAAGCCACAGCATTAGTTTAAATATGTGTGTGTGTGTGTTCACAGGGGTGAACGTCTCCATGTGTCTGGCACTTTGGTTATATTTAATGAAAACACTGTGACATCCTCTTGTTTCTTGTGAGTTTCTGTTATTTTGTCTAAAACGTCAGTCAAGTCTGGTCTGTCAGATGTTTTACGTTGCTGACAGTTAGGGTTGTTCCACATGCTTACCTGTCTTGTGTTGGTGTACTTCCTGTTGTTTGCCTGCGATCTAGTAAACAGACTGCCACGTGTTCTCAGTGAGATTTGACAGCTTTATGTGATGGTAGAAAACAGTGTCAGCTGCCCCTTTTCTGTTACTGGAGCTCAGTTTCTCCAGACATCTGTTGGTTTACACTGAGGTATTAGAGTCATGGTTAGTTATTAGCAGTGTGTCATATGTGGGAAATCCATTGCCATGGGATATGTAACTCTTTATTACGATATATATCGCAATATAATCAGTTCAGTTGAGGCCATTTGGGCTAAGCCCTGAATCAGATACTTGCAAAAATCTTGTATATTCTGTCATAAAGTAGTCATGCTTATTGATTTGCAGCATTGCCCACAATGCCCTCCTGCATCCAAAGCTTTTAAAGTAATAGTTAGCTAGTATAAACTAGAGCAGAATTAATAATGCCTGACAGATTTCTAAAGTGTCCCAGTAAAAATAGTCATATCCCGTCAAATAATCGTCATATAGATAATTCTATATATTTGTGGCCTGGGTTTTGTTTTTTGTTTGCATTGTTAACAGCCTAACTCCTTTCCTCAGCCACCTTTCTGTGGTCCACATCAGTGTTGCTAACGGTCCTTCTATTCAGTGCTCAAATACACATCCTCAGTGAAATGCAGTTAGCAGACCAGCTTTCACTGAAGATGGAGAGTAATTTCAGTTAGTTGTTGGAGTTTCTCCTGAACATGTTTGATACAATTTTTGTCGCCACAAATGCAAAAGCTAGGAAGGTAAACCCAGGTCAGATTTAAGACAAATTGAAGTTTAGGAGCGCATTTTTTGTTTTTAATTGCCCCTTTTTGGTCATAAAAGGTCAATTTGAAACACTCTTTACAAACTGAAGTGTGTTAATTAATACATTAATACATTGTGAAAAGCTATATGAGCAGAAATGTCTCAAACTAGAAATGCCTGTGATAGAGTGAATGTTAGTTCTAATAAGGAGTGTAACTGGATAATTTCTACCCCCACTTTGCCTTTTGAAAGCCAGTGTGAAGAGCAGGTCGTGGGCACATTATTCCTTTTTATTTTCCACTAATCTAATTCTTTATACCTATGGTGCCTTTAAATTGCTAGTCAGGTAAAATTTGGCTCAAGGTCAGCTGCTGTATTGTTCTTTGATTTGGCACTCCAAATCCTTATTCAGGGTATATGGTCTTGATGATTTCCTTTCTTCAGTGTTTAGAGTGTAATTATGGATGAGGACCGATGCACGTAATTTGCCCTAAGAAAAATGTTTTTTTTTTTAAATTGCCATGTGATCATTTTTACATTTTACTGTGGACCATTTACTTGGGGGGTAAAATCATAATTTTAAAGGGAATGATGTTTGAACAGCCATGTTCTGGGAGTGCAGTTATTTCATACTCTTAAGGTTGCGTTGAAGGTCTGAACTGCGATGAGCAGGTTTTGTTTCTTGTTGAGAAGTAATCACTCTAAATGTAAAAATCAGGCCTGTTGTGAGATGTAACTGTGCCTGCGATCAAAAGTGGAATGCGAAAAATAAGGAGTGTGGAGGCATTTTGGATCATTTGTACAGCTGTTGTAACTGTTCTCGCCCTGAAACCAAAAGTCAGCAGCTGAATGATTTCTCCTTAAGTCTGTCGTATGTTGAACTGAACTGGGACCCTGAGTGATTGAACAGAATCCCGTTTCTTTGTGATTATACTACCTCATGTTTCTGCACATGTTCACCTTTTCTTTAATGAGCCATCGTTTCATTTTTTCCGACAGACATTCCTCAGCTAGAGACGAAACCCGGCAGATTTCAGAGCGACGGCTTTATGTTTCACATCATCACAGTGTGCGTGGGTGTGTGCAGTTTCCCTTCGATTGTAAATGCATCACATGGGTTTGGAATAAGCTTTTGACTGCTGTCAGTTGCTTGTCGGTTTTTTAAGGATGCTTTGTGAGAAATGGGTTTACATTGATGCAGATGTTTACACACCTTTTATGTACTTTGGTTAAATTCTTGAACTTCTGTGAAAAGTGTACCTCAGTTCCTCCCTTTGTTTCACTACTGTATGAATATGTGGTTGTGTGGGGTAGAACTGATCATCTTGAACTAGCTGACGGTAGAGCAGAGCTTGAGACGGTCAGCTCACACACAGTGTTTTATTCTGATTTCTGAAGAAATGTTACTTTCATTAAGTTAAAAGATAAAAATATTTAAGCAAAACCCTCAAAATGTTTTCTTCCGTGCCCATGTAGCTGCCTCTGGATGGTTTCCTTTGGTGTTGGAATAATGCACCTGTAAAAGTGTGTTTGACTAATGACAGGTGGGTCACTTGTTTAACATGCAACACTCGTCTATGCAACTCTGCCTCCCTGGACAGACTGCGGAACAATCCAGGCCTGGTTGGTTCTGGTTTAGTTCTCCCTGCTTCTCATCCTGACAGGAACTTTACTGTACAACTGGACCTTGTTGTGCTCAGATGACTTGACCTTTTATTTCAACAGATTTTACAGTCCTTGGTTGTTCATAATACTAAAGCCATTTGCTTGAATGAAAACGTTTGTTTTTTTCTATTGCTGACTTTGTACATATCAGGGCTCTGTTTCAATAAAGGTTGGAAATACCTCTCCTCTCTGAATGTTTGACATTTGTATGACAATGACTGAGGTGTGTAGGAGGCGTGGGAAGGAATTTAATAAAGCTAGAGTGCTGAGGAAATCATAAGCATGTAGTTTCCATGACGGATAGCTGGGTGTGCCTGTTTTGCCCCTCCCTGTTGAGCAAATAGGAATAACTGACAAGAAGTTGTTGACTCCCTCACTTTGAATGTTTACTGATGCTTATTAATTAAAACTTGATTTCCTTCTGCCCCGCTGCTTAAAGAGGCAAGTAGAGCTGAAATGACTGTCAATCGAATGCCACATCAGGCTAAGAAGTCCAGCAACTCACATGCCTAATCAGACAAGTGGGGAAAAATATTTTTTTCAGTGCTAATGATGGAAAAGTAGCTAAGGAGGCTAAGGAGTGTGCCATCTTGCTTCCTTCCTATCTTTGCTGAGAGTTGCACATGCTTAGTTTGACTAGGAAAATGGCAGTGGGTAAAGACAGAGTTTACAAGCTGAAGGGTATGTGAGCATTTAAGCTATCCTGGAAATGGGACTAGCCGTGGGTGATAAAGGATGTTGGTTAAACTCTAAACTCAAAAGTTTGTCACAAGTTTGAGAGCAAGGTAGCAAAAACTTGACTGAAGTGCCATAAAAGAGCATACAGCATATGCCTTGCATGGCAGCTAAGAGGGTCATTGTTCTTTATTAACAACTAATAAAAAGGCCAGTAAAAATTGACTTTGGGCAAATATATTTCTGACTGAATCCTTCAATGTAAAATCTCTTATATGTCTGACATATACAATCCCAGTATAACTGCCCAAAAACCCAATAAAAAGATCAAAACAGTGTTAGTCTATTTCTCAATACTTTCTTTTATTCCTACCCTTTCTGTGGTTCTCATGCCGCATTCATGTCGTATTGGAATTACGAGATTCCAACTTGAATCAACAAACTAAATAAATAGCCTTCATGTAAACAACCAAATCATCATTCTTAGAGGTCTGGTGTGTAGGATTTAGGAGCATCTAGTGGTGTAGTTGCAGATTGCAAGCATCTGAATACTGCTAACCATCCAAGCATGTAGGGTAAACTACGGTGGCCTCAAACATTATCTGAAATATCACATTAACAGAGAGGTCAGTCAGAGATGATGCAAATCCACACTGACAGAATGTCATGTATCCCTGTGTGAAACCAGTCAGGCAAGTTCACTCTGAGCTATACACACATCACAGCATATAAACAAAAATAAATAATTGTTCACTAACGTATGAGTTTTTAATGCATATTAAATGCAGAAGTAATTGATACATTTGTAACTGCTTTATTAACAGATCCCAGTTAAACTAGAAAAGTCAGTAATTATTACGGTGGCACCATCCAGACTCCATACAGGTCTACATGGGTCATACTGTTTCTTCAAACGGACTGTGAGATGTTAACAAAGTTCCTGTCATGAACAAATATATATACCACTATAACTCCTACATTTAGTACATAATACTTATGACATTCTTGTGTTCATAGAGTAAATTATTTTTGTACCAGAGGGTTTTTTTCTGCAGTTGTTCAAGCATCATGTTCTCTGCAGCCTGACCATGAGTTGTGACTGGTCTTTGTGTCGCAGCTGAACAGAATGTGGAGTTGACAAGCCGTGATCTGTGTAATTAACCGCCAAACAATGGTGCACTCATTCCCCCTCAGACTTTCCCAGCCCTAAAAGGATGCACAGTTGGAATGTCAAACATGGTCAGGCAGTCAGCATGCCAAAGCCGGATCCCTCTGTCTGTGAACCTGCAGTGCAGACGTTGTGTTGTTTAGCACTATGCATGTCCCCAAGGGCCGTAAAACCACAAAGGTACAACTATGTTAACTACTAATGTCACAAATCTGTTTAACCTGAACACAAGTGGTGTTGTTGTGAGAGAGAAAAGGATAATTTGCTCTGGAAATATGTTTAAACCCAATGGTGGACAAAACAGTAGAAAGGGCAGCATGCAGAGAGTTGTGATGCAATTATGGTGAAACAGCTTAGCCAGAGTTAGGATTAACACCCAAGTGGGTATTTTGTCCACCGGAAAGGTACCCCAGCGGGCGCTTTGTCTTGTTTTGTCCACTGGAAAGGCACACTTCAGGGTGCTTTATCACATTTTTTTCACTAGAAGGGAGTTTTATCACATTTTGACCACTGGAAGAACACCCTTGAAGGCACTTTTGCATGTTTTTTCAAACATCACTAGTGTCCACTAGTACTCAAACCAAAGTGCTGTGACAGTTTTAACAGATTTTCGACGGACACCACAGTTTCTATTGCATAGTGTATGAATACTAATAATGCATTTTATTTGTAGAGACACTCAAAATGTTGTGTAAAATAACACAATACAATAAAAGCATACAGATATATAAATAAGTGGGCTAAATCCTTCCTCTACACAGTCATCCATCCAGTCTTGAGTTAATCATCAATAGCAGTGTAGCAGTAGTTTGAGCTGGAATTGATTATCTTAATGTCCAAATAGTATTCAACTGTGATCACACTGAAAACAGGCGCAGAGCTCTGAAGCAATCAATCAGCCACTCATCCCAAAGTAGCCAATCAATCAGCACCGATAAGAACAGCTGTGTCATTGGCTCAGTGTTTGAATGGAACTGTAGAGACATCAGCATGAGTCAATTCCACACATAACAATGGATGATATGATATTATGTCCTTAAAGACCCCCTCCAGACTTGTTTTAACACATATATCCAAATTGTCTGCTTGGAACAATGTTGTATCATTTCCACATTAAAATCCCTAAAATATGCAAATGTTGTTGATTTCTAAAGTTTTCCTGCTGGACACAAGATGTCTCCTCCTTCACTGTAAAGTCCATTCTCAGTGGATGTGCACTGGTGGCTTCAAGTTTCTACATCACACTGTACAAGTTGCATAGTGCTTCCAGTTGTGGTTCGGGAGGCAGACACCCTCTCCACATTCAAGAGTAGGCTTAAGACATTCCTCTTTGATAAAGCTTATAGTTAGGGCTGGATCAGGTGAGTCCTGAACCATCCCTTAGTTATGCTGCTATAGGCCTAGACTATCGGGGGATTTCCCATGGTGCACTGAGCTCCTCTCTTCCTCTCTCTCTCTTTCTGCACTCATTCATGTTCCATTAATGCATGTTACTAACTCCACTTCTTCCCCGGAGTTCTTGTGCTTTCTCGTCTCGCAGGTTCTCATGGATCCTGGTGGAGCCTCCTGCCATGGTCCTGCTAGATTTCCATTGCCAATACTGTTGGTACTGTGCGTCTGTCTGTCTGTCTGTCTGTCTCTTTCTCTGTCTCTCTCTGTCTGTCTGTCTGTCTGTCTGTCTCTCTCTCTCTCTCTCTCTCTCTCTCTCACCCCAACTGGTCGAGGCAGACGACCACCCACCTAGAGCCGGAGGATCTGTCCTAGGTTTCTGCCTTTTAACAGGCAGTTTTTCCTTGCCCTTGTCTCCAAGGTCTTGCTCATGGTGGTACTGTTGGGTCTCTGTAATTAATGTTAAAGAGTTCGGTCTAGACCTGCTCTATTTGAAAAGTGTCCTGAGATAACTTCTGTTATGAAGTGGCGCTATACAAATAAAATTGAATTGAATTGAATTGAATAGTGGACCGGGAGGCTTAAGTTGATTGTTGAGTTTCCTTCCCAGAGTCCCAGAGTGTCTGTATTTAATGGCCTGTATCTGATTGAATTCGGTGGATTCTTGCAAATACCATTAGGAGCACTACAACAAGTCAGAGGAACCTGATTTTTTCATTATTTATCTGTCTCATGTTCTACATGTTGATATATTGATTGTTCATATATTTTACAAAGTTTAAAGGACAATTCCGGCGCAAAATGAACCTGGGGTTAATAACACATGTGTACCGAGTTGGTTCGTTCTCTGGGATATGTTTTCATTCTAATCGAACGTGACCAATTTTAGCACAAACCGCTAATTAGCTTATAACGCTAGCCAACGGGTCACAGAGTAACGTGAAAAGAAATCGCTTTTTATACCACTAACAAGACTCAAAATAGCACCACACTTACATGGTAGCATAATGAGGGCCCCTATGTATAAACCGCAGCATTGAGAACTTTATAAGTGTACAGACAGTTTATTAAAAAGATAGTTTAGAACAACAGTAGCGTTCACGTATACAGACGGGCGCCATCTTGGGAAAACAGTCAGGGGTTAGGTCATTCATGCAGATCAATGATAAAGACTTACAGCTGGCAATGTGAACTAAAACAAACGGAATTTGCTCAATATATCAGAAATAATCGCACCGATGTAAAACACAACTTGTCTAGTGTACTTACTCAGTGGATAACTGTCCATCTGGTCGCTGCCTCCAATTTATTTTCGGGACATGGAAAAAAGTTTCAAGTACAGCTCTGTTTATCAGAGAGAGGAAATCTTCACACTGTACAAAACACTGCGTCTCTTGGGTGTCGCGACGCAACAGGTCCCACTGCGTGCACCACAGACACTCCTCTTCGGTGGCCATAGCTTCACAATGTCCGCAGGTACACCACCAGTTTTCCGAAGTACGAGGCTGTGCGGTATTGACTACCGGTAGCTCTCTCTCTCTCGTAGCCCTTTCACGGAGCTCCCGCAGCTCTTTCTTTTCACGTTACTCTGTGCCCCGTTGGCTAGCGTTATAAGCTAATTAGCGGTTTGTGCTAAAACCGGTCACGGTCAATTAGCATGAAAACATATCCCAGAGAACGGACCAACTCGGTACACGTGTGTTATTAACCCCAGGTTCATTTTGCGACGGAATTGTCCTTTAAGCAAATATGGCAAAACGTTATTTTTATAAAAGTTACCTACTGCAGCTTTAAGAATAGGGCTGCTAACATTCTCTATCAGTGTTATTGTCAAGAAATCCCACAAGAAGACCAAAACCAACGTGTTAGTCTGTTTTTCAATAGTCTCTGACTTCCCTTGCTGCTATTGTGCATGTTGGCTCACTGGAAAGGCTTTGCTACACTAAATGGAACAGAACCATTATTAGTATCATTGGAAACAGCTGTGTTTGCCCTACGATTTCATGTAAAAATGGCTGCTGTGAAAAAGGTCTTACAGCTAAAAATGTCCCTTCCATTTCCTTAACTTTCAGGCAGAAGGAAGTTCAGAAAGCTGTTATGCCATATCAGGCCAAAACATATTCAACAGTGCCACCAAGTGATGGAATATCTGTACTACGATAGCCTACATTCATTTACTGTGGTTTAGGCTCTAAGATAGCAAATATTACAAAACAAACAGAAGAATAGGTCAAGTAAATCAATTCAAAACAAAACTGTATTTGCAGTTTTTTGTGGACGTTTGACTACAGTTACAAACAAATGACACTGGGTGGATTTTGAAAGCTGATTTTGATATGTTTTAGACAAACTAAGTTTAGGCAGAAACATTTAAATTAAACTTAAATAAAAGAAGGGGTTACATATTCAACCACCAATTCTCTTTACAAAACTAAGACAATTCCTTAGGGCAGGGGTCACAAACTGCTGGCCCATGGGCCATTTCCGGCCCTCTCTCCGTCCATTTTAGAAATGTGTAGTGTTTTTGCACAAAGTGATGGCAAAGGTCAGCAGTGCCAACAAATGCGAGCAAACGCTCGATAAAAAGAGAGCAGGTTTTGAGGCTTTATAAGCAAAGAAGTATTTGTATTCATGGAATTATTTTCAGGATATTGTGCTGTCTTATTGAACTTTGAAGTGGCCCTCCTGTGGGATGATGATACCAGCAGTGGAACCAAACCAACTTGAGTTTGAAACCGCTGCCTTAGGGAAATACATTTACAGAGAATGTAACACGTAAAGCTGCTCTAAGTGAAATCTGCATTTTGGCTAACTCCCTGTCCATTCTCACAGTAAGCAGTCCCATCCCTCCTCCCTACGTCACCACACTGACATTCTGCTGCCTGCCCTTGAGGACCGCCTCTTTGTGGAGTTCTCTCTCCTGATTGGATAAAGTGGAAACGGATACCAGAAGCTGTATTCTCTGTTTACTGCAGATATTAGAGACTGAGAGACTCATGTGACTGGAGCACTCTATATCAGTGACGGCTGTCAGAATGTGGAGCTATTGAACACAAAAAAAAAATATTACATTACTTACAACTCCTTTTAATAACAACACACATCACATGGAAATTGCCTTTTGGTAAAAGCACACTGACACAGGTGTTTTCGAATGGAAGGTCAGAGAGATGTCAATACAACTCAGTCCAGGTCAAGACAGACCAGATCAAGGTTATTATAGTTAACTAAACATCTGAAATTATGTGTGCAAAAACATTTTAGTTTACTGAAATAAGAATAAAAGCCAGACTTTTAGAAACATGATTAATTCATGTTGAGTGTTGTAGATAGCTATAAGTTCTTAGTGTGTTGCTTTTATTACCTTTTTCTTTTCCTTTTTAACTTATGTAAAGTGTCTTTGAGTTTCTTTAAAAAAGCGGTCTATAAATTAAATGTATTATTATTATTATTATTAAAAACAACTGAAACCATATTGTGTACTCACAAAACCAAAAAAATAAAAATAAAAACAGGAAATGTCTTTAGTTTTAGTCAACACAACAAGCATGATTGTTTTATTAAGACTGGGATGTCTACAGGACTGTGAGTCAATGTTTGTACCTAATACCTAATACCTATAAAATTGAATTAAATGAAAAACACCTGTCCAAGAAACATCAGAGTAGCCAGTCATGATCTGTCTATTTTTCTACTGTCAAGATATAGTGAAAGTTTTAGCAAATATGACAAAAGCTTTTTTTTAATAAAAGTTACCTGCTGCCGCTTTAAAGCTCCCCCTCCTTTTAGCCACTTGGGGGAAGCAGAGAGCTGAGCACAACATTAGCAGTGTCCCAAACATCCATTGTGTTTTTGCATCATCACTGAGAGGAGAGTCACACAACACTAGTTTTCATATTTATGGAATGTGACTCATTGCACTGTGCAACTGACACTACTTTTTGATGGCAATTTGCTATGTTCGCCATGACAAATTTATAAATCAGTATTATGTGGTTGCTGTGTCATCTTTCTTTGATATTTTTTTTGATATATTTAACAAGCTAGTGATGATAATATGGTTTCATCTTCACATAAAAGGAACAGTCTCCATCCACTGACTGCGTTTGAGCACCAAGCATCATCCAGTCCGTCTCCTCTCTTCCTGTGCTCTGTTGGCTTGGAACACGGTCCGCCCATGATCCAAGATGTTGATGGAGCAGGTCTCTTTAAAGATGTGGAACAACAGTCTATGATTTGTGAGTCAAATTTTGTTCAGACAAGACATTAACCAAGAGTAGTAGTAAGTCCAAGGTTGGCCTGAATGGTTTCCATCGGGCTCTCTTCCTCTCCTCTTGGGACGATCACAGCACCTGCCATAGTGAGCTAGTCCGGCCAATTTGGCTGGGTGGATCGTCTTCACGGTCCACTGTTCTTAATCCAGACTCCATGCTTTCTTTTCTGATTACACATCTTTTTCTGTTTTAGGTAATCCGTGTTTCAGAAATAAACTGGAAAAAAACAGAAATTTGAAGGAGCTAGTCAATCGGCTGCAGCGTCTGTATGTGCAGTTGTTGTCAGAATCTCCTGATCCGGTCGATTTGAACAAGTTTGGCTTAGTCCTTAAAAATCAAACCCTATCAGGTATCACTCAATGATGGTTTTAACAATAAAGCTGAAAAAAATAACAGATTAAAACAAAAATGTAGCAAATTTTACAAAGCTACTGACAAAAGGGGACAATGTTGAATAGTGTTTAAGTCAGACATGGAGAAAGAAATGAAGAAAAAGAAAGGTAGGAAGTCTCAAAGATCTTCTCTTTAAAAGGAAACTGACATTGTGAATCAACAGAGGGATAACACAGATTGTCCTACATTACATTCAACTTAGGTCTATTTCTTCAGCCAGGCATACTAAGCATCTTTGAGCAGCATCAGGGGCAGAGGGTGGCAGTGGAGAAGGTTTGCTGCAGGAATGTAGAGATGAGCCTGAGAGTTTTCAAAACTATTTACTTTGCAGTCCACTGCCTGTGACATCAGAACCTAGACTATATAAATGAATGGAGGTAGGCAGCTGTAATAAATACATCTACACCCTTCTCCAGAGGAGGAGAAGAAGAAGGGAGGGGGACTGGACAAACGAGGATGAAGGTGATGAAGATGGACAGTCGAGACACCCAGCTGGTTTGCTCTTTGCTGCTGTGTATCATCACTCAGGTGAGACCTGCTGAAATGAGATTGTATCCTCTCTGTAAATGAACAGGCTGTATTGTTAGCCCTAAAAGTACTCATCTCAGCTCTCTGCAGTGACGTGGTGAACTGTGGTGTGTGTGATGTGTGAATGCTTGCTTTGATGATGGTGGTTGGGCTGGGGATGTCCCAGTTATTTTCCATTTTAACAGTTGGTGAAGCAGTAATACAAAGAAACGGACTGGCATTAATCACCATACCATTAGGGCATTCACAGGAGTACCAACTTCAGAGCTACAACTTCAGTCTACACTGTAAAACCAGATAAGCTCATTTAACTAAAAAAATAGTTGAAACTGATTACATAGAACATTTTAAGTAAAACTAAACTTAATAGCTCAATAAGTAAAAAAAAAAAATACATTCTTGATCAAGTAGCTTTAGTCATTTTAAGTGACACTGACTTAATTTTGTAATTTCTTATTTGTACCAAGAAAACAAAATACCTAGTAATAAGTACTTAATCAGGAATAGTTCTTACAAAACTAAGTTAGTGTCACTTTAAATTACAAAGAATAAGTTTTTTTCTTTCTTCTTTTAAGTCAAAATAACTTTATAAAAATAATGACATAGTATCTCAAAACAATGAGAAAATTAGTACAAAGTCATTTGAGATGCTAAGTCAATATTTTGAGAAAGTTTTTCACTATAATGAAAGTAAAATCCCCTTTTTCCCTGTCACATCAGCAGAAATTACAATATGACAGACACAGCAAAAGGATAGCCAAGATAGCAGAATAGAAGACATAAAATTAAATTAAATTAAAACACAAAATAGATAATAATAAAATAAAAAGATTATTATTAGATTTTTTTTTATTATCAGAGACTGGAGAAAATAAAAAAACAGAAACAAAACATTTTATATAAGAGTAATCCATCTAACTGGTCCCATGTCAGACAGTGAATGTGAATTAACATCCCTTAACTGATGATGTATTAAGTGTAAACCAATCAATAAACTCACAGTGACTTGATCATTAGTTAGTGGTGAGCAACAGAAATTCATTATACATTCTGCATTCATACATTAAATCATCATAAGTCATGCATTAGTTAAGCATCACTTAAGTATATGATTTGTACCCTTATTGGAGTGTGAACAAATATGAACCAAAGCTGACTTTAGTGGAGAAGATGGGATGTGGACTGTATGAGGTTTGGAAGGCGGCCTATGTTTAGGTCAGTTACGTAACTGCAAACTGCTACTGAAAGAAAACAGGCTGACAAAAAGGATATTTATTTGGGATAAGCAAATCAAGGGATTGTGGTCAAAAGAAGTGTTGTGCCTGATTTTCAATAGTAAAATGGTCAATATTTGTATGTTAGCTGACAGTGAAGGGCAGTGGACTGATAATATGTAGACTAAACTAAAATGGTACAGAAAATTATTATTAATTATGAATTTGTCCAAGAAATGCAGATATTCATGTGCCCAGCTGAGATGTGGAAACTGAACAGTCTGGAAGAGAGACAGTAGATTTGTTCAATGTGCCATCTCAGTGATGGCAGTTATAGAAAGTTATATCAATTTTGTTTTCAATTGCTTGTTTTTTTCACTGGGAACCACAAAATATATTGTTTATTAAGATAAAAACAATAACCTCATATGCATGGCTGGCTGTTGGAAAAAGAAACATTACATTAGCCAATTGGTAGAAAGTCTTGGAAATGAGGGAAACATAGACTTTTAGCATTTCTTATCTCTTATCATACGACATGATATATAGCATTGTCTTGTATAGGATGAGCCAAATGTTTGGCATGACATGGAAATAAGAAATAACATAAGTCTATATTATGTTATCTATGTACTAGTATAATCTAATGTTGGTCAACTAATAGTCATACAAATAGGAAGTAGACTTGCTCCCCTCATACAGTAAAAAAAATCTGTAATTCTTTTTTTTGTAGTGTAGGTATCTGACTGGGATATCAGTTCAGATATAGCTTATCAAAGACCAGAGCATCTTTTGTGCATACTATGATGTCAGAATCATTTCTGGGATGTGATTAATCTTTTTACTGTAATAGCTAATAAGTAAAAACTCCCCCTCCATAAAAAGATTAAAGGAAGCTCATGTTACCAGCGAGGACAGGGGGTTTTTAAAGTCTGACACTGTGGACCTCCCCTCAGACACAGCTTGGAAAAAGCTTATCCCCCACTTGTTTTGTTCAATTCCAGGATGAGATCATGATTATGTTGTTTGATCCCACAGACACTCAACAACTGAACAAAAGATAGCCTAATATTGCTGTTTGACGTAACTTCAGACATTTATTAGTTTCTGACTGGGAAAAACCGTACACTTCCACAAAGCTACCGTATCTCTTTAACCAAATCATTTACATTTATGTCTGTGTGATATTAAATGTGATCTCCTTTTGATAACCAATGCCTAACGCCTCCAGCTCACACGAACAGTTTGTGTGCTTCCCGTCTATCAGTGGTTTCACATCATTTAGACCTGAGAGGTTCTCTTTGTCAAAGGGAATTTGGCTTAGAAATATCTGATGAGCTAATATATGCTGCCTTCAGCTGAAATACCCACCCAGTGGTTTTACCCAGTGGTTTCACCAGGGGCCGTCCCTTGAAATCACATTTAAAAATAAGAAGTAGACTACAACACATGTCTACTTCCTATTTTAAATCACAGCCTTATCAACAAAGCTCCATTACGAAAGTGAGAGCTGACTGCAGCCGCACCTGTCGTGTAACTGCTTTTTGCAAGCTCCTGTGTGTGTCTGTGTGTGTGTGTGTGTGTGTGTGTGTGTGTGTGTGTGTGTGTGTGTGTGAGAGAGAGAGAGAGAGAGAGAGAGAGAGAGAGAGAGAGAGCATGTGAACACTGGCGAATTAATCAATAATACACATTTAAGAATAAAGAGTAATCAATATTTCACATCTTTATATTATTGATTATCTGTAGAGTAACATGTCTGTGTGTGGTTATACCTGTTATATACCCTTATGTGAGATGCCATGTATCCTCCAAGATATGGACATTTAATGCCTAATTATCAAGGCTGTTAACATGTAATTCTTTATTTTTCAACAAAAATATATAAAAGTATCTTTAAGAAACAATATTGTCTCAAACAAAGTCCACCCAAAGTTTAATACACCTGAAAAAAAAGCAACTGCTACCTCATGACCAGTGCTTTTTCGTGTATTTTTGAATGCTGGTTTGCCCATCCCCCCTTTTATTGTTTCTGATACTGTCACAGGAACACACACACGTGGTTACCATGCGTCTGTTGAATGACAGCTTTACATGAGGTAGATAGAGAATACAGGGCCTCTTCCTGTGTGTGTTCTATTTTTTTGTTCTGAAAAGTCAAATCTACAGAAAACAGCACTCAGCAGGTAATAAGACTTACTGATCTTACAGGACTACCTGCACTAGAAGGAATGGCTACAGTTACTAAAATCTGACCTCAGTGAGTAGAAACAGTGACCTCTCCCATCCAGGGTAAAAAGAAGCGATTTAAAGAGATTTATAATTCTTACCACCCAAACTGCAAAAAAACACATTGCATCACATAACCCGAGAAGCACCTTGAGCAGCAGATACTTCCATTGTTTAGGTGTGAAAGTCCTGCTTCCGAAAGGTTTTTAAAAGGTCAAAAGAATCATGTCTTTACACAATGTCCCGCTTCCTCTGGTTAATCCCTCGCTGAACTATTAGAACTATTGCGTCCACAGAAAGTAGTTCTAGTGAAAACTGCTCACAGTGGTGTGTGTGGGGTTATGTGTATGTGAGTCTTAGTATCAAATCCACTCCTGCACATGTTTTTAATACTAGAGGAACTAGATACACTGGAGCATATCAAGTGAGGCAGTGTAAACAGCAGCTGGTATTTTCTCACTCTTACTTTAGGTGTGGTGCCAGCTGTGCACTGGGCGGTGTCAGTGCCCACCCATCTTGCCACGCTGCCCTGCCGGCGTTCCTCTGATGTCAGACAGCTGTGGGTGCTGCCAGGTGTGTGCCAGGCAGGAGGGCGAGGCCTGCACCGAGCGGCTGCCCTGTGACGGCCACCGAGGGCTGCAATGTGACTACAGCGCCAGCTTCCCAGGAGGGCCGGGCCAGTGCGTTGGTGCGAACAGAACACGCTCCAGCTGTAACAGATTAGTTTAGATTAGAGCTGCAAATACCTGCAGTACTACTTCTAATACTGACAAAACTGCTACTGGGAAAAACTTCATTCTTTGTGTTTTATCAGCAATGTATCTAGTAACACATGTTTAACTACACAAAATGTGGCACTATCAATCTTGGAGTGACAGAATTTTTAGCATCTTTTAGCAAATACATGAAATGTCGACACATCAGTGCTAACACTTAGCAACTTCAAGAGGTTTATCAAACCTGGGGCTCAGGACACGCCCTAGGGTCGCCAAAGCTTCACAGGGGGCCTTATTAATTTTAAAGGGTGTAAGAAAATATATTATTTTTAGATTATTATTCAAGATCTAAACTTTAAAGACAGCCTTGTTCTGTATTGGGAAAGTTCACAGTTAGAACAACAGAGACCTAATAGAGCAATATCGTGCAAGCATCAGGGAGAATTCGTCAAAAAATAAGTGTGTATGGTTATATATAAATGTAATATATATAATACAGGCAAAATAGATTTAAAAAAAGAGATTTTCAAGTTTGAAGTCATCAGTCAATCATCAAAGTCCAACCCACTCCATGATACTGCTGCAACATTTTCCTGAGAATATCTTGCTCATGCATGTTGTAATAATAATGAGTGGCTATCAACAGATTTTTTTTGTTTCCCATACTTGCTCCACTTCTAATGTACCAATCACATAGAACCCCCCTCTCCCCCTCTTCTTCCCTCTGCTGTGATCAGGTCTTAATGAGCTGGGCTGTGAGATGAATGGCAGGAGGCTGGAGGAGGGACAGGTATTCCAACCCTCCTGTGCCCAGCTCTGCTACTGCCTGGGGGGAGGGGTGACCTGTGTGCCACTGTGCAGCGATGATCTGCAGAGGCCTGCTGATAGGTGCCCCCACCCTCAGCTGGTGCGACTGCCAGGGCGCTGCTGCAAGGAGTGGGTGTGTGAGGGCGTGGACAACAACATTTCCTCAAATCCATCAGCAGGTAATGGGGGGGTGACGATCAACAAGACTGAACAAAGATTGCTAGAAACATGTTATGACACATTAGTCAGAATAATAACTCATGAAAAAGTAACAGCATCAGCTAGGGCAGCAATAGTGCCCTCTTAGATCCCCTATGGTAAATAAAACATGATAAATTGCTCTATGGTGCCCTCTAGATGAGGGGTTCCCAAACTTTTTCGTTGCAAGAACCCCTACAATAGTTACACATTAGACCATGGACCCCCAATTTGAGATTTTTATGTTTCAACATTATGGTAAATGATAAATGGACTGTACTTATATAGCGCCTTTCTAGTCTTTCGACCACTCAATGCTGTACACTACATGCCACACTCACCCCATTCACACACATTCACACACTGTGACTCTGTCTCGCTCTCTCTCTCTCTCTCTCTCTCTCACCCCAACTGGTCGAGGCAGACGACCACCCACCTAGAGCCGAAGAATCTGTCCTAGGTTTCTGCCTCTTAACAGGCAGTTTTTCCTTGCCACTGTCTCCAAGGTCTTGCTCATGGTGATACTGTTGGGTCTCTGTAAATAATGTTATAAGGAGTTCGGTCTAGACCTGCTCTATTTGAAAAGTGTCCCGAGACAACTTCTGTTATGAATTGGTGCTATACAAATAAAATTGAATTGAATTTATGGCAGTGGCTGCTATGCAAGGTGCCAAATGCTCACCAGAATGGAAACTACTCATTCACACACACCGATGCACAGCATCAGGAGCAACTTGGGGTTCAGTTTCTTGCTCAAGGACACTTTTGACATGCAGTGAGAGGAGCCTGTTTTAGCATGCCCTTCCAGTGGAGAAAATGTGATAAAGCGCCCTCTAGGTTGCTAATCCTAACCCTAACTAAGCTTTTTCACCGTAAATGTATCACAACTTTTTTCATGCTGGAGCCCTTTTTATTTCCACTTAAAGTCCACTTCTGCTGTTAATACTTATATGAAACAGTAAAAGCATGAAATGTAGCTTGTTTGAAGACTGCAGAGATATTGCTATCTCATCTCTGCCAGGATGTGAGCAAAAACACAGAAACATTTGATGATTTTCAGCTATTTCCTGTGAGCCATTAAAAGCTGGTGTTAAATTGAGGTCAAGCAGCTGTTTGGACAAATGGACCCACAATCAACTACCAGAATGGGTCAGGTCGCTTTTAGGTTGTGTTGAGAACAGATTTCAATACCAAAGAGGTTGCAGGAAGATCACATAGGTGTGAAACATCTGTGAGCACTATTTTTAGCAACTTGATCCCACCCGAGCAGCAGTTTACAACATTTCAAACTGTATACATGCAGAATATTTGGACAAGCTCCCATCAAAGCTGTTCACTTCAAACAACTTTAAGCTTGATGCACACAGCAAATATTTTCCTCTTCTGTGTTTCTTTCCAGCTGAGCAGGCGCGTCAGGACTATGGGGGTGGACTGTCCAGCCCGCCGTTTGGCTCTATCGCCAACTGTATCGAGTGGACCTCAGACTGGAGCCCCTGCTCCCACAGCTGTGGCCCAGGTGTCTCCACCCGCACCACAAACAGGAACTGGGCTTGTCGCCTGCAGACTGAGACCAGACTGTGCCAGGTCAGGCCGTGCCAGACTCTGCTGCCAGGGCTCCGAAGGCCGCAGCCGGTCAGTGCACAATAGCACACATTAATCAGTTCCACTGATCAAACACTTGTTCATACATTTCCAAGTAAAGTTCCACCCAAGAATGTGTATAGGCCTATCGTTTACAAATGCTTTTGGTGATGTAATGGATTTCTGAGCTGCCACTGTGCACCATATTGGCATCCACATCATGTTTTATCTTAAACTACAGGGAAAATTAAGAAATATTATATAAATGCATTCCAAAAAAATGATCAAGTAAGAAATATTTAATTAACTTTCATCGTCAGTTTGTTTTTCATTTTGACAATTTATTTTTAAAGAGCTTTTTAAGACCATTATGAATGCAATATAAGACCTGCAACGACTATGAAGGGAAATCAGTAATTGCTTCCATGATTGTTTTGTTTTGTGTTGACCTGTCAAAATCATAATGATGGAGATGTTTCCAAGATAGATCTAATAGCAGACATTTCGACTTGTTAGCAGGAAAAGCACAGATGGATAACACTGATGATGGCTCTCTTCCATTGAAGTGTCTCAGTAAGCCAGTCAGCCAGCTTACAGAACACAGGGTCCTGGAACAAGAACACCTAAACAGAGCATTGAATAATGATGTTAATCATACTGCTCTACAAAGGCAGAGTAAGTAAGTAAGAGAGTAAGTTGGGAAAAAAGGTTTTACAGTTGTATGCTGACTGGGTAAAATGTATAACAGATGGGCAGAATCTATGTTTTTATACTTATAACAACAAAAAAGCATCAATCAAAAGCCAAAGGGACAGTTGCTGTTATTCTGCTTTTCTAGGCTAGTTACCTTTTGAAGGTCTAGTTTAGCTGTTTTTATTCTCTGTGATTGAATTTAGCTACACCTCATTTAGGAAACCGATACCGGTAAGTAGCGGTGAGAGAACTACAGAGCAGGGGTGCAGTGGGGGGGTAACTCAAGTAACCTCAGTCATCCACCTCTTTGAAAGGAAGCAAGAGTTTAATCATCAAGAGCTTGACGTCTGCTTCAATAGAATCCACTATAATATGTTTCTGAAACGGAGAGGAGAGAAATAGTGAACACAGTAACAGAATCTGGATCCATATCTGATCAGCACTGTTTGACAGTTTGATCTGAGTTTGGTGCCTTGAGCTGGACAGACTCACTGAGAATGACCTATCAATCACAACCCTAAAGCATACCCTGCTTTATGGTCTGTTTTACTGTAAATGGGACCATCAGTTACTAAATGAACATCATGCTGTATGGAAGAAGACTGAAACTAGAGATTGAGACCATAAACCCATTAGGAAACTGTTTACTGAGCTAATAAATCAAGTCACAAGTCGGCTAAGAATTGTCCCAATTTAGATGTTAAAACACATACAAATCTACAAATGACTACATCACTGGACATGCAACAAGAGTGACCGCACAATAAATAGTACATTTTGCCTGTTTGTGTTTTTCAGAGTTCGGGGGTGTGCGAGAGCAGCTACAGTTCACCTCTGTCCATTCAGTTTGAACACCAGGGCTGCTGGAGCACCAGAGCCTACCGTCCCAGGTTTTGTTCCTTGACCTGTCCGGAGGGACGCTGCTGCAGCCCCTCCAACACCAGGACAGTGCGGATGGTTTTCCGCTGCCCCCAAGGCAGGCTTACCCAGCATCAGGTGATGATGATCGAGTCCTGCTCCTGCAGCATCTCCACCTGCCGTCAGTCCCCAGCCACAGCTGCCCGGAGTGTCCGGTGGTTGTGAGGTGCATGTGCATCCAGCTACAAGGAAGATGGGCAGGTCCGACAATGTGGTTTTCAAGGAAGTTGAGTTAGTGTTTCAAAATTATGGAAATATTTAAATCAGGATGTGAAACTAGACACTAGACAATAGCTGTGAGAGGAATGCATCCAGATGTACACATTCACAGATTTGTAAATGAGCACTTGCATTTGAAAGTTTGTATTAAATGTAAATGGTAATCTGTATCCAGGTTTAAAACCAAAAAGTTTTCCTCCTTCACATATTACCCCATATTATTTAATATCTATGATCCTACAAATTCTCATATCACAAGGTGTTACCATTTAAATCCTGTCCACTCTTTGACAAACTCAGATTGGATCTAAATTACTGGTTCTCAAACAATGGTATGTGTATCACTTGTGGTACACAAACGGCCTCAAGTGGTACGCGGAGGAATCTCTGAACAATTTCTTTTAAATGTACTAAATCAAAAAAAAAAAAAAAAAAAAACATATACAATACAACAAAATTTCAAATCAAAACACTGAAATGTAATTTAAAGTAAGTTTTGCATTTTGTGTAATATTTTGTTTCAACATCAGCCTGCATAGCATATCTAAGTACAGGAAAGGAGAACACTGAACAGGGCTTGCTCAACTGTTATTGGAGCACAGAGCAAAACAAATGCAAATGCATTTGCACATGCACATGCAAACAAAAACATGCCACTTTATAAGGTGATAATATGTCAGTGGTGTGCTTACATCTTGTTCCTTTGCCCTCTAGTGGCAAAAATAAAAGTCCAACTGAAAGCATACAGATTTGTAAATAACAAATAATTACACAGGAAAAATGTATAGATTGTAAGATTTAATTTCATGATGGCAACCCCAAGTCTGCACATTAAAGCTGCAGTACTTAACTTTTATAAAAATAACTTTTTGTCATTCACTGAAACTTTCACTATATCCTGACAGTAGAGCGTGAAACAGATAATCTGTGAAACAATCAGGTTCCTCTGGCTCCTCCTCTAAAAGTTACCTCCTCCATCTTTAAAGGGATGATGCTACATCTAGAGAGATTGATGTAGTGATAGAGTGCAAATTTAAGTTTAAGAATTTACAGATGCTGCACACCAATGTAAGAAGAGAGATGGTAATAGAGGTAAATTAAACTGGAAACACTTCTTTTAAATGATACAAACTGACATATGTAGGTGCACTTTTCAAATACTGCTGTATTCATTTACATTTACAATGTATTTATTTCTAAACTAATGTTTAATAAAACTGACTGTTTTAATGCCTTTTCTCAGTAGAATGGCATTTTATTATCTGCATGTGATTTAACTGTTAATCCACTCGGTTTAACAAGTTATTACATAGTCAGTGTTTGACAAAAGGGAAGGTGTGTGTGAGTGATTCAACATGCAGGGCCCAATAAACTTATGACCTAGTTAGTAATTGCATGTTACAGTGTATAACTATCCTTCAGTTTTAAGCCGTCTGTACAGCCAGATCATGCAAGATGTAAATTATTTCACAGTAATAAATCCTCTGATTCATTCTTTGTAAATGTCTGTGTTGTTGACTGATTATTGTTGTTTTATTCCAAGAATGTCTGCATGACTCTTCGTGTGTTTGACATCAACTCAGTGGGAAATGGGCGGACCTTTTTTCTTTGCTTTCATATTCTCTTCGGCATTGTTTGGAACCACTCACACGTTATCTGCCAGAGGAGATGTTTGGTCTGAGCGCCGTGCCGCTGGCTGCTGCTATTTCACTTTTGTGGAAAAGTTCCAATTGAATGAAAAACAGATTTAAAATCAGCGGGAACCCCAAAGATGTCTGGAAACATCACGCAGGTTGCCTGCGAGAGCATCAACCTGAACTTTACGCACGCCTTCCTGCCGCCCGTGTTCGTCACTGTGTTCGTCGTCGGGACTCTGTCCAACATCTGGGGGCTGAGAAGCGTGTGCAGCAGCTGGAACAACATCGGAAACATCAACATCTTCATGTTCAACCTGGGGGTGGCGGATCTGTTGTACCTGTTCACCCTGCCCTTCCTCGTGGTCTATTACGCGCGCAACAGCCACTGGCAGTTCGGCCAGCCTTTCTGCAAGGTGACCCGCTTCTGCTTCAACCTCAACCTCTACGGCAGCATCGGCTTCCTCACCTGCATCAGCATCTACAGGTACCTGGGCATCGTGCACCCCATGAAAGTGATGGGCAAAATCACCAGCCGCCACTCGCTGGCCATAAGCGCCCTGGTCTGGATTCTCGTCATCATCCAGATCCTCCCTGATATGTTCTTCGACAAGAATGCCTCAATATCACCAAACTCGTGTTACGACACCACCTCTAACGAGCGGATCAGCGCCTACTTGCCTTACAGCATCGCCTGGACCGTTACAGGGTTTGCCATCCCACTGGTGATCATTCTGGTGTGTTACGGACACATTGTTGTGGTTCTGGCCAGAAAAGCTAACGTCAACGCTGTGCTGAAGCAGCGCTGTCTGAAACTGGTCGTGATTCTGGTTTTACTTTTCTCCATCTGTTTTATCCCCTACCACGTGTTTCGGAATCTGAACCTGAGTACCAGGATTTTAAAACAAAAAGATATTTGCCACGCCAGCTTCCGCGACATCTACATAGCGCATCAGGTGGGCAGATGCCTGGCTTGTCTGAACAGCGCAATAAACCCGCTCATTTACATAGTGGGCAACGATGATTTCCTCATGAAGCTTCATGGCCTCAGCAAGCGGGCCCGGCTGTCTCTGGCCGGCCTCACAGGCGCAGTCATTTACCGCAAACCGAAGGAGAGAGACGCGGATTCGTCATCGGAGACTGCGGTTAACTCTTAACAGTCGGTTCACCCGAGAGACACTTCCGTGCGTTCGAGTCCCTGCATATCAAGCACCGCCAGAACTTCCGCGTTTCCGGGAACAAATTAGAGTAAAGACTGATGGCCTGTGGCATCTCTTGTGGCAGCGCCATCGGTCAGCAGGTCAGCAAGGTGTCAGGGCGTCATTACCAGAGACTTGTTATCTGCAGCTGAAGCTCATGCTCCCATCTCATGTACTGCACTGATTTATTGCAAGTATTCAGTATTGTGCTGTTAATATTTTGCACTTTCTGTATATTACTGCAGTGGTTCCCACCCTTCTTCCTTCTGCTTTTGGGGGAGGTCACTTTTTTGGGAAAGGGGGTGGCACTAGTTGGAAAGAAACATTCATTACTGCAATGATGTAGGCCCACTTGCTTTATGTCAGCATCTGATATATAATAATCAGTTAACGCATAATCCATGATGATAAAGATACAGTAAAATAGAAATGCATTTGCATATATATGCATATGTCAATGTTTTGGAGACCCCCCAAAATATCACAAAGCAATTTTATAGTTCGCACCCTGGGACCCGTTTTTAAGTTTTCTAGCACTCTTTAAAATCAAGAAGGCTTTGCAAGCCCCCCCCTCGTGAAGCTTCCCCCAGGTTGGGAACCACTGTATTACTGTGTGTGCTTGCAAGCGGATGTCCTGTGATGTGATGGCCTTCCTACTGTACAGTGCAGGAAAAGTCCACTCCATATATTGTGCTTACACATTGCCAGGGACTTGTTTATAGCTGATTTATTGCACTACCTTTGCATTGTTACAAGTGAAGCATTTGGCAGTAGTTTGTATTTTCCAGGCTTTATGTAAGCGAGACTTAATCAAGAGGGTTTGGAATAAAAGGCACTTATTTCATGTCAGAGTGGTCTCTCCACAGTATTATAGTGCAGGATTATTTAGATAAAGTGGACACAGCAGCTGTGTAGGTGCTGCGACCTGCAGCCTGAAGGAGTGATGGGAGAAATATCCACTGAAACTCTTCATTACCAGTCCTGTATTTAAAGGTTTATTTAAATATAAATACAGAAGTATTACCAGATGTATCAAGTATCACAAATTAAAGTACTCATTATGCAGAATGCTTCCTGTCAGAATGATATGTTATTATACAGCCTACTATTATTATGTAACAGCATATATTAGGGTTGTTGAGTTCCTTTCTGTTTGTGATGAGCCTCTGTGTGTGAATGGCTGAATGGAGCACGTACTGTAAAGGGTTCTGAGTGGTTGGTAGACTAGAAAGGCGCTATACAAGTACAGTCCATTTATTTATATTACATATATTTATCTATCTATATATATATTGTTAATGGTGAAAGAATACAACAGTAATACCTTCATGAAGGTTATAATGTTCAGTTTTTAAACTGTTTTATAGACAGGGTTGGGGGGGCTCCTTCAAAAATGTAATCAGATACAGTCACTAATTTCCTGTTAATTAAATATATATAAATAAAATAAATATATGTAAATAGTTTAAAAGCGTTAGTAATAGATAAAAATAGTAATAATAATTTTTAAAAAAGAAACAAAGACACCAGCAGGTGGAATAATAGAAACCTTGATATCGAACATGATACAATGAGTTTCAATATACAGTTGGGTGAGAATTTGGAGTCGCTGTGTTTTCAAGAAACTGTTAACTAATACCTCTATTATTACTTCTGTAAGTATGTAAAACTGTCAAATAAGTGCGGTAAAAAGTAATATCTATACATAATACCTGAAATGTAGCATCAAGAATCACAAAATGGAAGTTCGAGTAAGTACCTTTAAAATTGTGGGGTAAATGTGTTTTACCACAGGCTGTAACACTGTGAATATGGTAAGCTACACCAGCAAACCAACACACAAATACAGCAAACCAACGGCAGGGTACTACAGAGGTATTCTAACCTTCTGTGGTTACAAAACATTACAATGACCACAGCGTAACCGGGTGGGATGACAAAGTGCTGCAGGTAAAAGCCCCTTTTTAAATGTGGATATTAATAATAGTACGTGTGATGACTGGCGTAGGTGTTAGAACTGTGGTGAATTCAATCGCGAAGTGTAAAATGCAGAAGCATGTATGGTCTATGACAGGATAGCGTTAAAATCAGATAACTGTTTACAGAGGAACCTGATGCCCTGTGTGAACTTCCAGGAAGCAGTCCTGTCTGTGCCTGTCCTCATTAACTTTCTCTGTACATCTCTATAGTTGTTCAGCAAAATAGTTGTCCATTTTTTAGGAATATATATTATTATTACATTTTATAGGAACCTGATTCGTACAGTGAAATTACACTCTAAATCAACGGCTGTGTTATCAAACCAAAGATGTAAAGAAATGTTGAGTTCAGGAACATGCAATATGCAAACTTTCAGGAAATGGTTGGCCTAACCACAAACGTTCAACAACAACCTAATTTCTCTGTCACTTTAGTCAGCACCTGTAGAAATATCTGAACCTTACAAAACTAAAAACTCCAGCTATTGAGGCCCAAAGTTTAGATCAGTGGTTTTTCTCAACCTTTTTGACTCCTTGGCAACCACTGGTTTGGATCAGGGGTCGGCAACCTTTATTATCAAAACATACTTAGCTTAGCTTACTTATTAATTTTACTTAATAAGATTACATTTTATTACTTATTTAGCAAAACTGGTTTGGAGTGAAACCATGCCAATGCATTATTATGGCCTCTAGTGAAAACAATGCTTTCACTGGGAGCAAATTCTCACCATTGTTTTGTCACTATTGAACTGACACTGTTTCATAACCAGTGTTGGACTATAGTTACTAATAATAATATATTACTCATTCATTACTCAGGTACAAAAGGTAATATAATTACTTTACTTATTACTCCCTGCCAACAGTAATTATTTACACTACAAGTTATATCTCTTTTCTGCTACTCCCCACACAATTGGTAACTGTTTCAATTCAAATCAAAGTAATGGAGTATTTCCAGCTGCTGATTGTAAGTATTTCCATCTTCCAAACTAGTTCCCGCCACTATTACAAAATTAATCCAAGGGTGTGATTGGTTTGTTGGATTTAAAATCAGCAGAGGGTGACATCAAAAAGTAATATTGTAACTAATTATTTTTTAGAGGAGTAACTGTAATATTATTACTAAAATGTATTAGTAATTACAGGGAACATTTATATTATTAGTATAATATTATTACTAGTAATGAGTTACTGCACAACACTGTTCATAACCAGTGAAAAATACACTGAGCAGATACATTTTCGATCCTTTCCATTCCTCTTTTATATTGTTCTGTAACTCTTGTCTCATTAGAATTTCTTTGTCTTTATTTACTTGCATATTTGGTGTTGAGGTAATCCAAAAGTAACAGAAATTAATCAAGTTGTGTTACTTTAATATTGTGATACTTGGACTGACTGCATTTTTCTAACAGGTAATTAGTGATTATATTGGATTATATTTTTTAAAGTAACCTTATCAACTATTTATTAGGACAACCAACGTGTTATTTGCTTCTAATAAATCACAGTAAGGTCACTCAGTGCATGGTGGAAGAATCACTTTAGGCCTACAACAACGATAAATGAAAATGTAAAAAAAAAAAAGACAAACTGTTCTTCATTTCCAGATCAATTGTTCAAAGCCACAGGGAGCCACTGGAGAGGGGTTGAAGAGGTGCATATTGCCTACCTGAGAACTGTTTTAATACTGTATCATTACTGGAAAATATCTGATGTCATCTATTGTTAAGGATTCTTTGGAACTAACTAGGAGTAATGAGGAAAAGCATCCTGTCCTCCCGAGTTCCAAGCACAATGAAGCAGGAAGTCAAGGCCATAAGCATGAATTTGGGAGGATTTCACTAAATGGCTTATTAGATCTTTGACCTGCTTTGACCTTGCAGACGCTAGTTAGAAATAATGGCTCTGGCTGTGGCTTGAATCTGGCTTGCAAAGTAGACCAGGCAGGACTGTGACATAAACAGGAACATATAACACAATGAGGATATCATTTCTGAGTCCAACATCCCCCTAATACATTGAAGTTTACACAAAAGCATCAAGTGGTTTCTAGTTGGCAGAAAGATTATTATTCATGAAATACTTCTAGACCTTGCACAAATAAGATATGCACAACCTTTTTCCCACCAAAGCTAAGTATTGTGTAAACAGTACTAGTCTGCAGTAGGAAATGTAATGATGCAAAACGATCGGGAAAATCTTAGCAGTAAAGAGCGTCATTCCTTTCTTCATGGTTGCAAAATCATTTTCCCGTGGTACAGTTGTCACTCCCTCATTCTGAGTCAGAAACACTGAATATTGCAGTCCTCTTCAACAGTCTCTATACTGAAGGCTGACATGTAGAGCTCATTCCATCTGTGTCCTTTGTGCTTTTGTGGTGTCTGAGCAAGATCCTAAGACAAACGTGCCTTGCCTCAACAGATAAATATTAACATTTTGCTGATTCTTTCTCCCACTCATTCTCTGATTCTGTAAACATAGTCTGGTAAGAGAAACACAAAACAGCTTGATGAATGTGCATAAGCACTTATAGAGGAAACACCAGGACCAGGTTTTGGACTGTCACTTCCAATCTAATCTCATTCACTGCTGCTGCACCTTTTCTCTGCTCACAGTTCAAATCCTTTTAACTGCTCACAGTTCAAATCCTTTTAACTTCAGGCTGAAATGCAGATTTTACACTATATTAATTCAGCCTGACATTTTGGTCAAGTTGGCCTTGTCTTGAAGAGGGGTAATTTTGTTTTGTTTTGCCCTCACCAATCAGCAGAGATTTATGCATCCATCCCACCCTTCCCACCAAAGTTATTTTCAGTTGATCAGAAGCTGTGATTGCTTGGAGCAGTTCATTTTAAAGCTGTCCTCCAGTCAGAAATTAATTTATTTTCTTGTTCCTACAGTCCAGTATGTAACTTGCACAGTGTGATGTAAAAACTTGAAGCCACCAGTGCATATTGTGAAGTAGGACTTTAAGGAAGTGGTCATTTTAGTGCAATTCATGATATTTCTCCAGTTCCTCAAGTTGTTTTTGTGCCTAAACCACATCATTTTAAGGAAGACTAAGAATTTTTGAAGAGAAATAACTTGTGCTAGTGCCATTTGGAGGACTTGTTGTGAGTCCATTATGGATGGAATTCCAAGAACATTGGCCTGTGTATACTGGCAACTCTTACTGGCAACTCTTTCTATTATGCTTGTCTGAGGGTAAAAGCTCTAAAGGCATGTGCAAAGGGTAGGAAGGCTCTATTATTCTTTGGAGATTTCTTTTGTGCTTATATTTAAATCTAATATAATTTTACTAGCTATGTTTACTATTCTCAATTATCAGCCTTCTAATAAGCTAAAGTATAAGTGCGTCGGATTTAGTTAACCCTTAGATGCATAAGTGGGTCTAAAATGACCCGGTGAGGTCGTTTTCTTGCAATATCATGAAAAGTTGTTATCGTTTCATATTCCAGGTATTCCTCAAAAAACATGTTATTGATATAATGCCATTTAAATTTTTAACTTACCTTTTATACATTTTTCGAAATTGTACTTTTTGTATTACTACTCCAAGCTTCCATAAGTGGGTCAAAAATGACCCGCATTCATTTCTTATGGGACTTCATGGGAATCTTTGATTCTTATCAACTGTGACTGTCAGGAGTATGTATTCTGTGGACCACACAGACTATATCATAAGTGTCACCCCTTAGGAAGATTATTTTACACAGCAAGATCTGATACATGTAAGTATTGTCTTCTTTTTTACCTCAGAAATGTGTGTGTGCGTGTCATTCATGACTACTGTGTGAAAGAGTGTGTGTTATTATCATCTATCAACAAGTTAGCCTACTTTAAAGTTAGCTCACACTGACATCACTGTATGCACTGTGTGTGTGTGTGTGTGTGTGTGTGTGTGTGTGTCAATCATGACTACTGTGTCAACAAGTTAGCCTACTTTAAAGTTAGCTCACACTAGTTAGCAAACTAAGCTAGCTAACATTACTGTATGCACTGTATGGGTGTGTGTGTATCATTCATGACTACTGTGTGAAAGAGTGTGTGTTTCTTATCATCTATCATCAGATTTGTCTCTTTTATTGTTTGCAAAACTAGCTACCTAACCAAGCTAGCTAACATTACTGTATGTTATGTGTCTGTGTGTGTGTGTGTGTGTGTGTGTGTTTGTATGTATTTATTTATATTGCTAATTATTGATCAATAGGTTTGCTTATCATTCAAAACCTTCTCTTCCTTTTATGTTTTCTCATCCAAGGTGTCATGGCTGCTAGGTATACAGTTGAAATGGTCCTACAGATGCTGGATGAAGAGGCAGTTATGGGATTTGACTAGAATCTGAAATACACACACACAAACACAGACACAGAAACAAACACACACACACACACACACACACACACACACACACACACACACACACACACCACAGGCATGCACAAACACACACAAAATGGATATTGACATTGTTCTTATTGCTGTTGAGTAATTTTGTAATGTTGACAGTTTTCAAAATGTTAAAAATGTTAAAAAAGTGAAAAATAAAAATATTTCATACGTGTAATCATTCTTGTGTGGACCAAAATATAATACAAAGTATAATACCAATGATTATTCTTAACTGAAATGACAAAAATGGCATAAAAACCCATTGATTCTAATACGGGTCATTTTTGACCCACTTATGGAAGAGTGTAGGGTCCAGTTACTCATGCATCTAAGGGTTAACTGAACACTGCTGCCATCTGTATTTGACGACCTGGGAATGAGAACAGACTGTGAAGTGTGTCTGTGAAGTCCCTCCCTATCTTAAGCCAGTGTGTCATGGCTCTGCTCCCCTCCTGCTCCCTTTGCTCCTCCTCCTTCCCTGTGTGCCTGATGAGGGTGCGGCCTCCATTCTCCTCACCTGCTGTCTCACCTGCTCTCAATCATTCATCATGCCTCAGCCTTCAAGTACCCGGTTTTCCTCCCACTCATCGCCAGATTGTTTCAGCCAACTTAGTGGTAACTTTCGTGGCTCCTTTCAGTGTCTAGCTTTCCACTACATGTCCACCCGTGATTCTCCTGCTCCAGCTCCCTTGTCTAACCGTTTCTCTCCTGTGCTCCAGGAACCCTCGTGTGCAGTTCAGTTCCCAGAGTCAGTCTCCTGTGCCTCCGTGTCTCCGGTCTCCCTTGTCATTTCACCTGCCTGTTCCTGCCGCGGCCGCCCCTCTTCCCCCCCAGTGTGTGTGTGCGGAATAAAGACCCTTAAACCGTCCATCTTGTCTGTGTGTCTGCTCCTGGGTCCAGTAACTACCCCTGTCGCAGCGTTTGGTTTGACCCTTTCATTCCAAGCTTGTGGGCAAAACTATGGTGGCCGCGAAGAACGCAAAAGCCCCTCTTCATACAGTTTGATTTGTCCGTTCTGGGCTACAGTAGGAACACGGCGGATTCCATGGAAGGTGACCTGCGGTGTCTGTAGATAAAAACAGCTCATTCTAAGGTAACAAAAACGTAACAATTCTTATATTCAGGTGATTATACACTAATGAAAATTCCTGTTCCTATAAATATTATATTCCATTTCTGCAAATAGGTCCTCCAACATGTTACACATTGGACCTTTAAATTTAATTTCATTGGCTTTTAGTGAAAACAACAAAGATGATAAAATGGTACATCGTGAGACACCTGTGTTTGGGGTAAACATCTGTATACCCACCTTTTACAGACACTCCTTGTGGTCTATTTGACAGAAAACCTCTAATCCACAAGGTAATTATTTAAGCCTTCATTTGTCCCATTAGTATTATTCCCATTTCCAGTGGGCCCTATTTATTTGCAAATTAAGTGAGCGATCCTGTCCTTCATCAGACATGACAATAAACTCCATTAAAAAGACAGGACAGTTGGTTTCAAAGTGATCAACTTTGGCTTCGGGTTTGATCAAACAAATAGTTGTTTTAACCTAGATGTCAAAATTCACTGTCACAATAGAGTTTGGTTTCAAATCTTAGTGTGTTAGAGTATTTCTCTCTTAACATTAAATATACACGTGATTAAATCAACATTTAAAGTTTAAGTCAGAAAAAAACATAATCTATTCATCAACTGTGGTTTAATGAGCTAATCTGCTTCATCAGGACTGTGGGGCATGTTTTTTTTATAAAATCTGATTAACAGTGCCGTCTTTATGGCAACATAAGCAAATAACCCAGCAACTGCCATCAGATTCTTAATCACATCTTCACAGCTCATCACCATCACAGCCTCACTCACCAGAGAGGGCCTGACAGAAAAAATACACAACCATAAATCTCTCATGTAAAACCACCAATATTATTCTAACTTTTCTTATAATTATAATTAATTATTGGAATAACACTGACTAAACATCTTACCTAAATCTCCATTGAGTAGCTGTTCTAGGGCTTTTGATTACATAGCATTTTTCTCAGTGTCATAGAACTGTACAAGTTAAAATTTCTCAGAGCATTTAAAGGTCTTCTCATTCATATTGAACTTAATGACTTAAAGGTCCAGTGGGTAACATTTACGATGATCTATCAGCAGAAATGTACCTTAGAATGAGTTGGAGAAAAGCGTATTTATCTACACAGGGAGTGGGAAACACAAAAGGCCCTATCTAGAGCCACTGTTTGGTTTTTCCATTCTGGACTACTATAGGAAAACATGGCAGTTCAGCATGGCATACTCTGCCAGAAGAGGATCCGCACAAAAACACAACAATTCTAATTCCCAGGTGATTATGAAAACACTGAATATTGAATATTGTATTCTGAGATGTTTTAGCTTCATTTCTGGGGAGCTGTCATGTCATCCACCTTTATATACAGTCAGCTGTCCTCATTAAGCTGGTCCCCTAACTCACAAAAAGCGAACAAGTGGTGATAATCAAAAAGAAAATCATCGAAGGAATCAAAAGTACCCATTGTGTCAATCTAGAAATGTTTTGTAATTGCACAGGTTTTATCCAATCATTTTTATGTTCTGTGTGTGTGTATTTTTCATTTTTCAGCTTCATTTTCCACCAAGAGTGTTATTTTGGCCAACTATTTTATTACACATTTAACAGTTTTCAGTTCAATAAATCCTACAAGTTATTTTATTTTCAGTAAAGCAGTTCAAATATATTCTCTTTGTAAGTATACACAGGGTGTGAATTCTCTTCATTCTCTTAAAAAAGTTTAAAATGGGGCACTTTGCTCTAACTCGGAAATATACAAGGTCTTCAGAGTGATGGTGTCGATCCACTGTCCATAGACCAAGTTGACAGCATCTACTCTCTTGACAGAGAACTGATAGTACCTGTCAGGTTGCAGGTCTTTGACCTGTATGTTGTATGACTGGCATATAGATTTAGTAAACTCGGCATGTTCAGTAGTGGTTGGGTGAAGGCTCTTTATGTGGATCTCAAACTGTTCATCTGGCTCCTGCTGGCCTGCAACATCCCAACACAGATGCACAGTGTTGGACTTCACGCATGACTTGAGCCTGTCAAATATCACCGGCATCTTGACAGTCAGTGATACAGTGAGCTGTGGTATGGGGAAGTTGCCTGTGTTGAGGATGAGCTGGTTCTGCAAGTCCAGTGGTCCAAGATTCCGAGTCATTCTGCTCTCAAAGTCCTTCACATACTGGTGGGTTTGCTGGAGCTTCTTCTGCATAGAAGCTGCCATGTTGCTGTCCACCAAACCCTGGTCGTACTTCAGGATGAAGGTCTCTAGCTCCTGACAGCCCCTGATGATCTCATGGTAGAGCATTCCCAGAAGAGTGAGGAGGAGCTTTACCTGGGTGTTACCCAGGGTCATGGCACTCTGCAACCTCTGCTGGTCAATGAGAGACCACAGCATCTGGTCAGACAAATGTACTTGCTGCGTCTGGTCTGCAGTTGGTAGCAAATCCTCGCGCAGGATTTCCAAGTAGTACGAGCACCTCTGCATGAGCCGCAGTTTTTCCTGCAACATCTTGGAAATAAATCACATAAACTCATGAATCTCTGCATCAACTGCTCGTACTGTAACATATCCCTCAGACAGCACATGTACACTTGAAGGTTTTTAAGGTTTAAAGACCCAGTGAGTCTAATTGACTAATTGGCAAATATTAAAAAGCCAAAAAACAACACAAGATTTTATATAAAATTATAGCTAAAAACTCTATTTTACTTGTAAAAAAATTACTGTATTTTTAGAATATTACAGTTTAAAAATAAATCAATTATATTTAAATTATAGTATACTAACCATGATGGAGGTTTCACTAAGTCTGGTCTCGAGCAGCTGTAGGATTTGGTTGCGGAGGTCAGGGAGGGTGTCCATCTGAGTCCTGACCTTCTGGGCTCCACGCTCGTCTGAGCTTGAACATGTCAGCATGACTTCATCCATGGTAACTATAACAAACATTCACAGCTGTAAGGCAAATCTGTAAATTCTTTGGGCATTTTCTAAGCTCATTGTAACAGATTGATCAGGGCCTACTGTATGGTTTTCTGTGCTGTATTTGGATGAAGTGTATACTCCCACATACTCATAATCAGGCCTCCATTTATCAATAATGTCATAAACTGCCTAATGTGGAATGTGGAAATTATAATTTATAGACCCAAGCTTGTTTGCAAATATTTATAAGGAAGAAACAAAATGCTGTGGGATGTTTATGCTCCAAAATATAATGTTAGTTTATATTTCACAAGTATGAGCAATAAACAAACAACAAGGATTATTGTTTTTTTTATGTCCTACCATCAAGTCTTTCAATTCAGTTTCAGTTAGAGACAGTGTGTACAGTAAAGGGAAACTGACATTGAGCAAACCAACTTTGCATTGCTGTCATTGTACAAAATATTACTTTTATTATCCTGTCATTTAATGATTAATTAACATAATAAAAAGTGTGTGATAAAGGAAAGAATGTATGATCCGTCCTCTTTTATTGAACATTAAAATTCCAGATGTTACATGGTCGTTGTATCTTGAATGTTGACCAGCAGAGGGAACTAAAACATTCCAGCCAATGAAATTATGACAGATTATCAGATGTTTACCATAACCACTCCAAAGTCCAAACTCATGCCTACACCCAACCAGCCATTAACACACCCATTCACATCTGTCAACTACAGCACCACAAACTGAACGACTATAATGACATTCCACAACATCCTAACGTTACATAAGGAGATACATCACATTCAAAATCGAAATGTAAGTTAATTACCAGCCATCTATACATTGCTATTAAATATATATGCTATTTAATAATATTCTGTCATTTCCTTCCACTCCTTCTCTAGACATTCAAATTCATTGTTTATTAATGTTACGTTCTTAACAATATGAAGTTCTATATTTCTCTATAGACCCCTTCACGGCTCACGTCACAGGAAAACTTGAGGTTCGCACTGCGCATGTCGGGGTGTGAGTTTGCTAACTGGCAGCTATTTCAACCCTGGGGTGGAGGGAATCCCCCCTTTGAGAGTTTTCTGGGGGGTTTTGGATGATAGCTTATGATTAAGATCTTATAAGTCATTGTGTTTTAGCAATAAACTCATTAACATAATGAGAAATGAGTCTGCACGTCTGCGAGAGAAAACCACAGTCAACCTAACTGAGTTAGCAAGCTAACCAACATTTTAATAATTCCCAGCTAACGTTACTCATCAGGGAAGTGGGAATGACGTCAGTAGAATTAAGATTAATTAACATAATACATGTTCCTCAATATCCTCGATATAAGTCCTCAATATCAATGCTACAGTTACACAAATCTCTAAAGTGAACAACTTATGGTTAGCCTGATACAGCTAACTAACAGTTAGCTAGCTACTAACGTTAGATCACTACTGTAAAATTACAATAAACTACACAATACTATTACTATATTTGACATATACAACAATAATTAAGCCTACCTATTTTCCTCTGTTTTACTTCCTGCTGTATAGTTAAATGGCAACTCCTGTTTATAGTTAAAATTGTTCATGTTGCATGGTAACAGATTATCTTCCATGGTTACGGAATGACAGCAGCAGCCTGCCTCGCCTTCAGCTTCTGTTATAAAGTTAAACAGATAGTGGATTTGTAGCCAAATCAAAATAGTGTAACCCCAACTATGCCAATCACTGTCACTATTAAAATTATACCTCCAATAGATAATCAATGAATCTAAATGAACTGTAAGTTACCAATGTTTCCTGAGTTTAAAAAAGTCCAATTATGTAAGAAACACTCAAATACTGTAGGACTATAGCTTAACAATAATGAGTTGTCTACATCACACTTGTATAAGCTGCATACTGTCTCCAAGTGCTTGCTCATGATGGGAACCGTTGGGTCTCTGTAAATAAGACTAGACCAGCTCTATTTGAAAAGTGCCCTGTGATAACTTCTGTTATGATTTGGTGCTATACAAACAAACTGAACTGAATCATGATGTAAAACCTAGAAAAATGAACACCTCAACATACATTAGTGTGATAAGAACTACCTAAAATGGAGGAAACCATCTATGGGAAAAATGTATTTGATGTGATTTTTTTGTTTGGACCATGTCCCATGTTAACTATTAACATGGAGGCAGCAGGCTTTATGACCTATATTGCAGTCAGCCACCAAAGGGCGATCAAGATGTTTTGGCTTCACTTTTGGAGAGCTCTTATGTCATTCATCTTTATATATGTCAATGCTTTAAATCTTTTGGACATGAACGTCATTGTGTTGTCTGTGAGACCATATCACAGCTTAGAAATGTTTTTATCATAACCATACCACTGCGAAGATAACCACGTTGAGGTCTTATCACAAGCATTCCAAAGAGATAGCCTTCTGATAACTACACTACAAGAGAAACCAAAAGCTGAGTTCAGATAGAAATGGTGATAGTTAGCCCTTTTTGGGAGGCCAAAATGGGAAACCACTGGTCGCAAAACAACATTTACAGTACAGTCTCAAAACAAAAGCACCACAGAGGAAAGCAGAACACATTGGCTAATGGGCATCTAGAACAGATGCCTCCTAATGGAGGAAATGCAGGCCTATCAACAAACATCCAATTAGAGTTCTGCAAATGACTAAGCCCAGTGGGCCGCAAAAGTAGGTCTGTCTCAACCTATTTTTGGGTTTTATTATTGTTTGTTAATTGTTTATATGAATCCGCATAGCAAGAGCATGAATGTGCCTCTAGTCTTCCTGGGGTCGATACAATCAATACAGTACGAAACATACTATGACTATTCTGTTACATCAGATGAGATTGGGTTAGGCCTTGAAATTGTGAACAGTGAGTGTGTGAGTGTGTGCATTCCGTCATTATGTTGTACATGTTAAATGACTTCCACAGACGAGTAAGACATGTTTCACTTTCCAAATGACATTCATAACTGTCATATTTTTTATGAGCTGGTGGGAATTAGTCAACCTGTAGGCTTGTTCTTGATTGACTCAAATTGAGCAACATACAAGGATAGAAGGTAATTTACTTGTCATTTTACAACGCAGGGTTGTACACCAATCAGCCATGATACTGTGAGCTCTGACCGTTGAAGTGAATAATAAATAATAAGCACCACAAAATTATTTCTGTTAGAGGTGGAAACAATCCACGAAAAAGACGTGGCTACACAAGACAAAATCAAAACTCTTGATTTCACATGTTTGTTTTGCCTTAATTGGCAAACAAAGTTGATTTTCTGATTCATTTTCAAATTCTGATCAAAGATAACTCCAAGATTCCTGACAGTGGTGCTAGAGGCCAGTTCCTTTAATGCCAATTTGATGCTCAAGTCTCTGTAAAAGAATATTATGGTCAATGGTGTCAAATGCGGCACAAAGATCTAATAATACAAGTGCAGAGACAAGTAATTAGATTATATTAGATTAGATAGATACTTTATTCATCCCCAAGGGGAAATTCACAGTTTCCAGCAGTATCCACAGACTGATAATAATAACAATAAAAACAACAACAGGAGGTCAAATGCAAATAAAATAAAATAGAATATATAGCAAAATAACGAGCATTGGGTGAGTGTCCTAAGGTGCATGGTCAAATCCAGTGCTTGAAAGGCCTAAGGTGCAACCTCCCCTTCCTCTCTAAGATTCTGGAGAAAGTAGTCGCCAAAGAGTTGTGTGACTTTCTACATAACAATAGTTTATTTGAGGATTTTCAGTCAGGATTTAGAGTTCATCACAGCACAGAGACAGCTCTGGTTAAAGTTAATAATGACCTTCTGATTGCTTCTGACAATGGACTTGTCTCTGTACTTGTATTATTAGATCTTAGTGCTGCATTTGACACCATTGACCATGATATTCTTTTACAGAGACTTGAGCATCAAATTGGCATTAAAGGAACTGCCCTAACCTGGTTTAAGTCATACTTATCAGATCGTTCTCAGTTTGTACATGTTAACGATGAATCCTCCATAAATACTAAAGTTAGTCATGGAGTTCCACAAGGTTCTGTACTTGGACCAATACTATTTACTTTATATATGCTCCCTTTAGGCAACATTATTAGGAATCACTCCATTAACTTTCACTGTTATGCAGATGATACGCAGTTATATCTATCAATCAAACCCAATGAAATTAATCAATTATCTAAATTACAAACATGTCTTAAGGACATAAAATCCTGGATGACCTGCAATTTTCTGATGTTAAACTCAGAAAAAAACGAAATTCTTGTTCTTGTACTGTCTCCAAGTGCTTGCTCATGGTGGTACTGTTGGGTCTCTGTAATTAATGTTAAGGAGTTCGGTCTAGACCTGCTCTATTTGAAAAGTGTCCTGAGATAACTTCTGTTATGAATTGGCGCTATAAAAATAAAATTGAATTGAATTGAATTGAATAAGTAGGTGTTCACATAATGCAGGGTGCACTGCGTCAAGGTGGTACAGTTTGATACAGGGCAGACATATTGGAGTTTAGAGTTTTATGGTTTTCCTCCCCTGGGTGGAGTTGTAGAGCCTCATGGCGTGGGGGAGGGACGATCTCCTTAGTCTTTCAGTGGAACAGGACAGTGACAGCAGCCTGTCGCTGAAGCTGCTCCTCTGCCTGTAGATGGTGCTGTGCAGTGGATGCAGTGGATTGTCCATGACTGACAGGAGCCTGTTCAGCGCCCTTTGCTCTGCCACAGATGTCAGTCTGTCCAGCTCTGTGCCCAACACAGAGCCCGCCTTCCTCACTAGTTTGTCCAGAGGGGAGGCATCCTTCTTCTTAATGCTGCCTCCCCAGCACACTACTGCATAGAAGAGGGCGCTCGCCACAACAGTCTAATAGTTTTTTGCAGATGTTGAAGGACGCCAGCCTTCTGAGGAAGTGTAACTGGCTCTGACCTCTTCTGCACAGGGCGTCTGTGTTGGCGGTCCAGTCCAGCCTATCATCCAGGAGGTATTTGTATGTCTATACCAACTCCACATGGTCACCGTTGATGCTCACAGGTTCTGGGTGAGCCCTGGGCCTTCTGAGGTCCACCACCATCTCCTTGGTGTTGAGGCGCAGGTGGTTGGAGTCACACCATGTGACAAAATCCTGGATGACACACATGAATATGTGTGTATCAAAAATGATGATCTGAAATTCCTAAGCTATTGTTCTAGAGGTATTTCCTATCATTAAAACAAAAACGCAACCAGTGACTAACGACTAAAAGAACTATGTTAAAAAAAACTTGCACTATTGTCTCATACTTTGACCAATTTGGAACATTTTAATGGATTTGTTCTTAGATCAGGTATCATTTAAATGTTGTAAAGGAAATTATAAAGTTTCACTGTGGACATTAATGGATTAGTGGTTCTTGCTTTTAAGACATGTTAGAAACCTTAAACATATACACAGTAGGCCTATATCTCAGCATTTGGTTCACTTATGTGAAAAAAAGTAAATGCTAAGTAAATTGTCTAATAAAACAATGGTCAGGCAACAAGGAAAAAAAAGAATCCTATTAAATATGTATGAATGTTAAGATTTGTGAAAATAACATAATACAGACAGAGAATTGTATATAGTATATAGTTCCCTAAACAGGAAATAATCTGCTCAAAATTCATCCAAATCACTCGCTTTACACAAACTCACTATTTGTTCTGAATATAATATGAAATATCCATAAAATATTTCTCTCAGTCAGGGGTCATCAGGTCAATACATGATAGAAAAGCAGTATCAGGTAGTTTTATTTACACTTCTACTTCAAGTTGGCAGATAAAATAATAAAAAATAGGCTGCAGTCTGTACGGCTGGAGGAGAACAAAGTCAGCTTCTTTCCCAGATTGCCATTCTGACACTTGGCCACAGCTGCTCTGGCTCTTGTATTGAATCATAAAATAATAAATGTCACTGTTAATATAATCCCTGTCTCCGGAGCATCCATCTGTGGTATCTGTTTAGTTGTGATTCATCATCAGTAACAGCATTCGGTCTCTATTTTATCACTGTTTTGGCTGGTTTTACATGTTGATTTACATAATGCTGTGTGGATGGTGACACCAATCATTTTGATTCTAAATTCTATCCAAGTGTTGACTTCGAATTATTAGGGGTATGAAACAAAGTCATAACACACAAGCATAAAGCCAGAATTTTAAAAAATCCATATCAAACACATGCATGGCATGGCAGAAACTTTGACAGTGATTTGTCTCCACCTAGTGGTCAAATCCGATTCTTAAATTCAGCTAACTGCTTTCACTTGATGTCCTCAGTGCTTTCACTTTCGATTAAAGTTTAAAATTTCACTAGCTGCAATTCAGTCAGACATTTACATCGGTACCTGCCAATCACATGAGCCCTGTCCTGTATGAGCACCACCCCCTTTTATTATTCCCTAATTAAGCCTATAGTTAGTATATACTGTACACTGTATGCAGTAGCAGTCATTTTACCACTCCCATTTGTTAAGTCACCCTATGTAACTTACCAGATTACCAGTACGCTGTTTGACTATCCAGACTTTAGCCTCCCTTCCTTAGCCCTTCTAGTACTGTTGATTGTACTGGGTATTGGTACAGTGGATTTTGTTTACCACTCAAAGACTGTCTTATTTACCTCTGCCACCCCACCTGCACTTGGGTTCAACTCAGTGCTCTGTGGACTTAGATAACACTCTCTTACAGACTATTTCCCTTTGGAACTGTGTCAGATTGATATGTCCTACAATAAAGTGATAATAGATGTTTTCAGTGCACCTTTCAAAATCTCACCTCACCTCAAAAGCTCACCAATATAAATTTGATTTACAGAATGTTATCCAAGTTCAGTATCTTCTATAAAATATATCCTCTTCTAGACTGTAAATATCGTCCCATAAGAACCTGAGTTCGGTATAAGTGAATTATAAGTAAACGAACTGATCTTTTTTGGTAGTAGTGGTTTCTTTTCTGTGGCGTCCCCCAAGGCTTCATGTTCCCTTTTTTTCTGTGTGTACATGTTGCCACTGGAACATATCAGAATCTCAGGAAGAGCTCTTCTGACTGTTCTCAAAGACTCAGCTCAAGACTAAAGGTTGCTGGGCTTTTGCAGTCTGGGCTCCTCTACTCCGAAACTCCCTGCCTGAGGATCTTCTTATTGTCCCGGTTTTTTATCAGTTCAAAGGCAAACCAAGCCAGGAAATACAAAATCCAACAAAATAGAACATAAATTCCAAAAGTAGAAAGTCCAAAACACTGAAAACCGCTGGGGAAAGCGCTGGAATATTTGATTGAACTGACAAAGACGATCTGGAATTGAAACAAGGATACAGACAAGTAAATACACTTGTGAGGGAAAGATAAGGAGGCACAGGTAACACTAATCAGGCAGACACACAAGGAAGGACTCTTTCAACATAAAACAGGAAATAACTAGACTAAACCCAAAACCATGACATCTTTATAGGCACGTTGTGTTCTCAGATCATGGTCAGAACTGTGAAAGAAGAATAGTCTAATAGTCATGTTTTTCCTGTCAACTGGAACTTGGACTAATCTGAATGTGAAAAATATGAGTGAGATTAAAGGTCCAGTGTGTAACATTAACACATAAGAGAAGCACTGAACGCAACAGAGACTAGTGCTTCCACAGGATACACACTAAAGGCATGGCGGATTATTCAACCGAATTTGAAGACATCGACAACGAGTGCTTCTCTTATGCGCTCAGAATTTTCTTCCAGCAACAACGCAAGATTCACTTCACATCTCAGAGAGTTCAACTGGTCGCATGACTGTTTTCCCAAGATGGCTCCCGCCTGTATACGTGAACGCTACTGTTGTTCTAAACTATCTTTTTAGTAAACTGTCTGTACACTTACAAAGTTCTCAATGCTTCGGTTTACAGGTAGGGGCCCTCATTATGCTACCGTGTAAGCGTGGTGCTATTTTGAGTCTTGTTAGTGGTATAGAAATAGTGATTTCTTTTCACTTTACTCTGTGCCCCATTTACTAGCCTGGCAGATTTATACATGACTATGATGATTCCATTAAGATCAAACTGTACTTCAGGTCCTGCATTCATACATCAACAGAGGTTCGCTGACTGTTTTGCTTTGGGGTAATGTGTAGAGAAAGAATCTCAGCTCTCTCAGCCCACCACAGAAATCACTGTTTAACATCAAGTGAATCACCATTTCCCCTTGAAGTTGACTATATTCCTTTCTCCACATCTGTCCACCAAACACAGACCACCAGTGTGTCCACCTGGCTCTAGTTGCAGTGATTTAGCATGGAGTATGTAAACATAGATTACTCATTCAGACTAAAATAATCTCAAGCATCTGCTGATACAATAACAATAGCTCACCGGGCGAGACGGTATCCATGAGCTGCCTCTTCCTCACCACAGATCATTTCAGACAAAATAGTTCTCATGCTTGGTTTTTCGTACACTCAGCAAAGCTGCAGAAGCAGGCAGAGTGAGTCAGTATATTTTGATTGGAAACTGCAGAAACATGAACATTTAAGCATGCTCTCAGCTTGCTACAGCTATGGATTTCTGCTGCCTGTGTACTGCTGTCAATGCGCAATTCTGCCTTTCTGATACTATGAAGTGAACACATGTTATTATTCATATTTGCTCTAAGAAGCATCCAGATCTCAACAATGAGAAGAATCCTAAAGAAGACATGCAGTACTGTAAACTCCTATACAGACAGGGCAAGTTATTTTTTAAATAAGCTTCTTCGCACACAATTTCAAGTCCATTTATTTTCTGTAATTTCTATTTCTTTCATGCATATTGATATTTCAGCATTTGAACCAAGTCTTTCTTTTAAGGTATTACATTAGCCAAAACATCTTTTATGTAACATGTAATGGCCTCACTGCATTGTAAAACCTGATGAATCAACCTGAAACTGATCGCCTTAAATTTCATGTAACTTGGGTAAATTAAGTTTATTCTACCAATTATATTCACTTAACTGAAGTTAAAATTAGTATGTATATTATACTCATATGCAACATTTCTCTGAACTTATTTCAAATGTTTGAGCAGAATGTATCTGAATAAACTCACCTAAATGCATTTTCTTTATATGTTACCACCAAGTTGAATTTACTTAGTTTTCTTCCACATTACCTGTCAGCTGACATACAATAAAAACACAATTTTTAATTAACTGATTATCAAAATGCTAGCACATTAATTTGCTGTTTTTTTATGTGACTAACATCAAATCTTTACACTTTGAGGGATCATTAAGAATTATTTGGCTAGCATAATTGGGCTTATGAAATAAAGTGAAAGAAAAACAAAAATGGAGCTAGCTACTAAGCTGTACAGCATTATAGTTTCCACAATTAATTTTTCAGTTGGGTTTAATTCATGTGAATGAGTTGCTCCAACTGTTCTGGAGGATTTATTTATGTATAGTTACTTCTTTTATTTATTTGTATTGTCAGGTTTTACAGCGTGTGTTGAAATAATTTCTTCATTGGACTTTTCTTCTGTTTCGATATATATGTGTTTTGTTACTGCATAATGGAAAGGTACTCTATCATGCAAAAGGATGGATTACCAATCGGGCAAAGCATATAAATGCCCCAAGAGCCTCAGGTTTAATGTGTTAGTTTGTTGTATATTATTTGATTAAATGCACCTGCATTTGTTTTGCCTCTTCACTCCCAATAAGATAATCATTTCAAACTCACACAAGCCCACCAAATTGTATTTTATAGTGGAGATCCCACAGTTTTCAACAGAATGTGTTCAAAATAAAAAAACATGGATTCTCAAACATGGGTTTCACAACAATCCAATACAGGATGAGATACGGATGCAGAATTGTTACTTTGTGTGACTATATATATATATATATATATATATATCTGTGTGTAGCATTAAGGGGCTACAACTTTACAGGGGGGCCTTCTTGATTTTAAGGGTTGTAAAACTTAATTTAAAGTTTGAAATATTATTTAAGATAGCGTCTATCAAAAATTATAATTTAAACTTTAAAAATTACAAGACCTGAGCACAAGCTATATTCACAGAGCCTTTAGTCAATGCTAAACTGCCTCATCCTGCATTAAAACAATGGCCAAGTATCAAGCAGAAGAAAACACTGAATTTGTCAGAATTATTAAGTATTTATAATTGATAAAATAAAAAAAATAAAAACATAATACAGACAGGTGTGCAAAGAAATCCTAAAAATATTAGAAAAACTCATCAGTGTGAAATGTGTCAATATCTGTACTCATAAATATAGCAACTTTCAAAAAACTTGTTTTGTGAATAGTTTATCAATTTCAGGCTTAAATGAACAACTTCCAGTAAGCCCAGTTTAAATGGTAAATAGACCTGTACTTGTATAGCGCCTTTCTAGTCTTCCGACCACTCAAAGCGCTTTTACACTACGTGCCACATTCACCCTTTCACACACATTCACTCAGCGATGGCAAAGTCCATCGAACCGAAACTAATGCATTCATACACATTCACACACTGATGCACAGCATCGGGAGCAATTTGGGGTTCAGTATCTTGCTCAAGGATACTTGGACATGTGGCAGGAGGAGCCGAGGATCGATCCAACAACCTTCCGATTAGTGGACGACCCGCTCTGCCTGCGAGTCACAGCACGTTTCTCCGAGTATGGATACAGATAATTTAGTTGGTTGAACAGATACAGATAATGGCGTATACTCAACTCTCCAACTATTTCATACTTGACACCTTTGTAATCTGCTTATGCGCACTCAACCCTCATTGGACCCGGTTATATGAGTCAGCCGACAAGTCTCTTCAAACAACCTGTTGATAGAGAATTGTAGAGTACGTCTTTTCTGCCTCAATTGAATATCAACTACATACAAATACATACATACATACATACATACTCTTAAGCCCTGTAGTCCTGCCGGTTATATGATTATGACTAAACATGAGGGGATCCTTCAGCGAATCATTCATTAAAAATGCTTCATCCAGTAAAGAATGTGTACCTGCAATTAACACTTCAAAGATCTACACTTTGCTTTAGTCAGCCACTGATTTTCTTTCTGTGTACCTGAACAGAAACCCCACACTGAACACACCAAGTTGATTCCTTAGAGCAGGGGTCAGCAAACTTTACTTTCGTTTTTGCCCAAAAAACAACAAAACAAATAGGTCTGGAGCTGCAAAACACATTTGAGCCTTTAATATATTGCTAATAGACACCCAAAAAGTACCAGTAAGCACCATTCACTGTAAAACCAGAGAAGTTTATTTAACTATTTTTTTAAGTTAGAAAAAAACAATTCTTGATCAAGTAGTTTTAGTAATTTTAAGTAACAATGATTTAATTTTGTAATTTTTATTTGTACTGTGAAAACAATATACCTAGTAAAAAGTTGGCACAAAACAAAGTTAGTGTCACTTGAAATTACAAGGAAAAGTGGCATAATCAAAAAGAGTTTGTATTCCTTAAAAATTCAACAATTTTTCGAGTTAAATGAACTTATCTGGTATTACAGTGTTGGTGGTGAAAACAAACAAATGCCATGTCCATGCACTATTTAATTCTCTCCTTTTTGTTTTGGGGATTTGAAACCATTTTTAGGGAGACTCAGTAATCACGGGACATTCTGATAGTTCACCTAGAACTGATACCATTCGTTTCCTACCCCTGCCCTATAGCTAACCGCTTAGGAAACTCCGCCATCTGCTGACAGAAAGCAAAAACGACAGCAGAGGGACACCTGGACTGCACTCCTTACTGACGGTTTAGCTGTTAGTGTGTTTGTTAATATACTGGCCGGAGATAGTATTTTTGTTTCCACAATGCCTTTATATGGTCTCATCATTTACTGTGAACTAATGAACTGCTGTATACTTGCTGCCCAAGACAGGATCTTGAATATTTGAACTGACTGTAAAGAAACATCTTGAGCCTGCATGTGGTTATATTATTTTCTGTCCTTATATGGATATCATATGAAATTAAACTTTTCGTATTTATTTCCCCCGGGGCAGTTAATTGACAATAAGTTTTATCTGTTTCTTGTATTTGTATTCTACCTCACTTCTATATGATTTTAATTGTCTGATTTTATTTTACCTCATTGCTTCCTGAAACGTTTATAATGTAAGTAAGCCACTTTGTTTTGAAAAGTGCTGTATAAATAAAGTTTTTTTTTTATCATGGTTATTATTATAAGAACCAGGAAAGCCTTTAATGCCTAGTACCACATGTACCTGACATCATGTGCACATTAGATTGGCAACACTTTACTTTAAGTTAACTTATTTAAAAAGCAGTAAATAAAAATGTAATAAAGGGCTCAATATAACAAATTAAAAATTGTGTATTGCATTTCAGATAGAAGCAGAGACATGTTAATATTATAAATAATAATAATAAAATAATGTTTTAAGGAGTTCGATCTAGACCTGCTCTATTTGAAAAGTGTCCTGAGATAACTTCTGTTATGAATTGGCGCTATACAAATAAAATTGAATTTAGTTGAATTTACTTAAATGCATTCAATGTTTTCAATCATGTTTCATTTTAAAACACAAAATTAAGATTTTGACAGACCTCTGTGGTTTCAGGGTATTTTTCATTTTATGAAATAATCAAACATACGTTTGAATATATATCTCTTAAAATTTTAAATTAAACTGAGTAATTACTAAAGCTACATCGTTGTATGTTGTGAACAGTTGTGTGTATGTTGGGTGCATCATCTCGCCATAAATATGTATATTTAATTTAAAGACATTTTAGGTCAATGTATCTTTTTGTCAGTTTTTAATTGATCACTTTTAGTGCTGTAAAGTAAAATGTGACATTGCAGCTCAACAAAGAAACAGAAATAGCTTTGAGTGAACTCAGCAGGTTGGAGGGAGTCACAGAAGTATTCAGCGTTCAGTGAAATAAAGTTGTGTGAACAAAGTTGATTCCTGTCCTAAACTGTATGTTAATCATTACAGATGTGTGACGTGCCAGCTTACTTCCAAGACCACAGCTACTGGAGGCCACCGAGCACCGACACCAACAAGATGAAACACTTGGCTTTTGCCATGGCAGCCGGTCACATCACAACCCTGGGTTGTTGGGATGTGTGTTGCTGTAATTAATTCCTGTCCTGGAAGCAGCAGTGTCTTCAGTGTCTCTGGTTGTGTGTACTGCAGGAAGCTGACCCACTGACTGACTGTCCTCCTGCAGGTCTTCGGTCTTCATGCGCCGCCTGGAATGGCCACGTATCGTTCTGCTGACTGTGCGTTTGGTCAGTGCCGCGGTCCGTGTGTTACATTGAGCGATCAGTAAGTTTGATGTGTCTAGTTCGCGGACCATTCTGGGCTGTTTGCATAATGGGAATTGTGCGTGTATAAGTGTAGAGTGGAAGTGAGTGCTGGAGTGTCAGTGTCTGCAGATTGGGCTCGAACAGGTTCACCAGACATCCTGATCCCAACACATCTCATCTGCTGATCAACTGAGTTAGTGTTTGAAAATTGAATTGAATTGAATTAAAAGTTGGCTCACCTGCAGGCTCATTGCCCAACTCAGGGCGTCTCCAGCCAGCAGGTGGTCACTGATGGGGGGGTCCACTGAAGGCCAGTTCCCAGCTGTTCAGTTGTCCACAATATAAGTAAACCATAAGTTAGTTGTCCAACGAGGTCCGTTTATCTGTAAGTTTCCTTCCGCAGCTTCACTTCTCCAACAGCTCTCTCAAAGTGAAGGTGAGCTTTCAGCTTCAGATTTTCCTGCAGGCCGACCAGTGTCCAAATGCACAGAGAGAAAGCAGAATGTCTGCAGAGCTTTATAGTTGACCTCGGTCGGGTCATCATTCTGCTGCCACGACATTTTACTGACGCACGCCTATGAGCGACAGACAGACATTATAGTGACATTGAATCTATATTTTTATCATATTCTTAAAATATATAGTCAACAACTTTATTTTCATAATGAATTTGCAACCTTACATTGCACACCATTGTACTGCATTGCACACCATTGTACTTGCACATTGCATATAGTGTATATATTTTTCATTTATAGTTTTATATTTTCTATTATATTTAGTATATCCTTATTTGTTATACAATTGTATGTACACTGTACTCTTTTTATTGCACTATATTCCCCAATGATGCTGTGTTGATTTGAATTTCTCTCCTACAGGGGATTAATAAAGGTACATCTTATCTTATCTTAACAGACTGTGGCTGCAGGTATCTCACCTCACCAATATCACTGATGCTGGGAAGCTGAGTAACAATGATCTATTGGGAGGTTTTAATCACCTGCTGCAGAGTCCTCCAGTCCTGAGCCGTGTACATCCCATGATGCCAGTTTGTAATGTTTCCAGTCAGGATGCTTTCTATCACTCCTTTGTAAACGTTAACAAGAACTTGGCACGGGAATGTTGCTTTCTTACGTTTCCTTTAAGAAATACAGTCGTTTCTGTGCTTTCTTATATGTGAGAGGACCATGACAGGTTCTCTGTGATGTGGATTCCCAGGAACCTAAAACTGTGCACAAGCTCCACCTCAGCTCCACTGATGTAAACAGGGTTGTGTGTCTTTGCCTCTTTTTCCCTAAAATCAACAATGAGCTCCTGGGTATTGCTGACGTTGAGCAGTAGGTTGTGTTCTGTGCAACACTGTACAAGACTGCTGGTTTCCTCCTGATATGAAGTCTCATCATTGTTTGAAATCCAGCCAATGACGGTAGAGTGGAGGAGGTATGACCACCAATCCGAACTGTCTACCAATCAGTTTCATGGGGAAGATTTTGTTCAGTGCTGAGCTGAAACCAACAAACAGCATTCTGACGTAGGTGTTGGGTTTCTCAAGGTGTGTGAAGACTGAGTGGAGGGCAGTGGAGATGGCATCCCCTGTGGATCTGTTGGTTCTGAATGCAAACTGGTGAGGGTCCAGACAGGCAGGGATGTTGTTCTTTATGTGCTGCAGAACCAGTTTCTCAAAGTCCTTCAGACTAGATACATTGAATAGAACATCTAAAGGTGGTATTAGAAATCCATAACTTTGTTCCCCAAATACATGTTTTTTGTCATTGAACTTATCACTTAGTTTCCAAAGTTTCCAACTTTTTTTCTTAAGGGACCCTTTTTCTATCATTAAGTAAATTGACTAAGTGACATATTTTATGGATAATTCCAATTATATTCAATGCATAACAATAACAGTAGAGAACAACGGATCAACCACAATAAATAGTGAAAAATAACTTCAGGAATTTTGTGTAAACTAGTGCAGTGCCCGTAGGAAGTATGTATTGCTATAGAAAAGTAGGAGGTTAAGTAGCTTTTTCATGGATGGCCAAATGAGGTTGTGTTTGAAGGTGTAGCAGCTAGCTACAGACGAACATCCACAGATTCCGATTCCAGTTTGTTGCCCTCGCGTATCCGGATCTCCTCAGACCGGAACAGCCTCGGTCTGGACTCGTTCAGTGTCAGTAATCCACAACAGTCAGTTTAGATGCACAGAACGGGACCGAACAGCCGGCAAAACCCGCTGCAGGTATCGATCAGCGTGTTTCTTAAGGTGTGTCGTGGGGCTGGGCTCTGCTGTGATTGGCTCTGGTATGCACGTGGCTATGGTGGCTATGGTTGACAATGCTAGCGGAATTCGTAAATCATTTATGAAATAATTTATTAACGGTATCTTTATAGTCGACGTTGCACACCCTTAAACCACACAGCAGCCATGTTGAAACTCTCAGGTCAGTCTGATCCTGATCTGCAGAGATACTGGAGGCACACACACACAGACAGACAGACAGACACACAGACAGACAGACAGACAGACAGACAGACAGACAGACAGACAGAGATTTCTTGCTTTTATAGAGAGATGGTCTCTCATAGAAGGTTAATGACACCAAGAGACCACATGATGGTGCTGTTAGCCACATCATTCATGCTATCAGTAGGGTTTACAGTGGATTAATGTTTCCCATCATGCTCCAGCAACATTTCAGGGGCATTTTGTTTTCTTTGTCCCGAACGTAATCAACCTATGTGCACTGGTGTGTTTCTCTGATTGTTTGAACTGGATTCATGTTTGGTCTGGTCCTTGTGTGACAGACATGAAGCTGCCAAGCAACCTATTTCCTGACTGACAATGCCAAATTAAAAGCATGAAAAAAGACTTTCTACAGCTCTGACACTATACCTCAGTGATATTTAACTTAAGACATTCATTTACTACACTATACTATAAATGAATACATACACAATACACAGACTGATGAATTTGCCTTTATTTTGCCCTCATACCAAACCTGAACCACTGGGTTTAATTTGCCAATGACGACTACTCTATGCTAGGTTGCTAATATTCCGCCTGCTAGCACAGTCATCTCATTCTGCTTCCAGCTATTCTAATGTGTATTCATTTTATCTGATCAAATCTCAGTACAGTCTATACACTGTATATATGTAGGCTACATGAAGTGTGCAATTAGGCTAAATGTTATGAGTACTTCATTGTTGAATATATATAAATAAGATCTGATTGAAATGTAAGTCCATTTCTTCCAATGTGAAAAAAGATTCTGTAAATCATTATAATAAGAAACATCCTCAAAATATTGATTAAGTGTCCCAAAATATTCAGATACTAATGCTAAATATTGAGAAAGTTTCTCATTATAATGTCTAACAGGATCTTTTTTTTTTTTTGGCGGAAATGGGCTTCCATAGATATGGAACTGATTAGTAAATAGAACAGATCAGTCCACATGGCGCGCTGCTCGGGTCGCTGTACAGTTGACAACATGTCGTAATGACGTAACCCAGCATGACGCACTCATGCACGCACTGAGCGGAAAATCATAAGTGTACCACACGAGCCAACCTCACTGAGCTCTCACATCCAGGGTTCATAGAGAACATATGAGCTGTTCTACCGCGCTTCATTTACTGCTGCTGTGTGAGAACTGCGGTCCTGGAGGGACAGAGGAGAAGTAACGGGGAGAACTACACGGATTTACGGACTGTCCGCTCCTGTACTGAAACTGGACAGCCATGGGAGCTGTTCTGGGGGCCTTTTCCTTCGCAAGCTGGGTAAGTTCGGATATTGCGAATGTGGACAGTGTTATTTACAACCACGCTGTTTTAAACCGCTGGGAAATGTAACTTACGGTGACACCATGGACAAGCAACAGGTGACATCGCTCCTCAATACAGTACACAGTACATGCACCTAACGCCAAACTCCATTCAAATATCTGCCGTTTCTAGTCCTTCTCTCCTCGCCTTCCTGCTACAGAACGTAACTTAGTCCTTAAGCTAACGGCTTATTCACAAAGCAGTACTTACTTCGTTAAAATGTCAGCTCTCTAGTCGTTTCTTTCTGTTCTCATCTGTCAGACAGTTTGTATTTTGGGGGTAGGAACGGAAAGCGGAGCTCAATTCAAATATCCGGCGTTTTATCGAGCTTTTCTCTTTTACTCACTTTTGGGCAGAGATAGAAAATAACTTAATCTTTGAAATGAACTGCGTTGGTTTATTGGTTAATTCCGCGTTTACCTTACTCACTTAGCTGAGCTTCTTCAGAATTATACTCTAACTATATTTATGGTTGCGCACTGCTTACTTCCCACCACCACCGTGCTAACCTGGCGGAAGAATATTTATCAGCCGAACCTTCTTAAATGGTTCATATTAAGGTGGTCGAAACCTCTATCAACACTTCACAGAGACAGTTCAGATTGTTAGCAGCATGCCAAATCGACAAGCACATAGTTAAAATCCGTTTATGTTTCCATTAAGAGAACCTTAAAGTTAGTCTCGGTGTCTTGTACAGTACTGTTACAGAAACCTGTAGTTCACCTGCTAAATGTTGGTGTTTGTTGTAAAATATAAAATGAGGGATGGTAAACAAAAGTTGAAGTCCACAGCACAGGAAAGGGTTAATCATCCTAACTCACTTGGTCATCTGTTTACACGTGATTAATTGGATTAAGTCTGCTTTGTTGCCTTGTTGTAAGCCCACAACAAGCCCCTATTCAGGAAAACTGTCAACATATGGATATATGGGTAACATGAAGCAGGGAGAGAAATGGGAGGATTATACTACAGAACATCTTGTATAAGGATGAAAGGCTTAAGGCGCTAGACAGCACAAATCCTTCACTCAGTTATTTTATCTATTTATATTTATTAATTTACAACTTCACAATTTATTCCAACTGTAAGACACAAAAAACATACATGAGTTGTCCACTAATCAAATACCCCCGGTACTGATAGTGTTTTGAAAGAAACAGATCAGTGACATCTTTTAAATCACTTCTTAAAGCAAATCTCTTTTTTTTTAAAAAAAAGCCTTTTATTTATTCTTGCATGCTGCTTCATGTCTCATATTTTATTAGTATTATTGTTCTTATTAGCTATGGGTATTTTATTCTTTAATTTGTATATTTTTAACTGTTTATATTAATTGCCCCAGTGCAGATACTTTTGCAATATCTTTGATCTTATTATTTTATTCTAGCTCAAATCCATAGGATTTAAATTTTTCTGATTTTATTTTGTAACTTTGTTTTGAAAGGTGCTGTATAAATAAAGTTTATTATTATTAATATTAATATTATTATTATAAATCCTCACATTTCTAAAGCTGTGACCAGAAAATATTTGGGATTTTTACTTGAAGAATAAAGTTAAATGATTACTATATTACGAAGGTTATCATCAATTTGACAAATGAATGAAATATTTCAGCACAGTCTTCCTCCTGTCTGTCCCTTCCAGTAGAGGACTGTCAGAGCTCCTGCGGTGCTCAAACAAAATGTGTAACACGCTGCTGTTGATTTTACGCAAAGCCCCAGAGTTTATTTTGGTTCAGTCCAGGACGGAGCGTGGCCTGGATGGTCATGTGCTGCCTGCGTGGTATCTGGCACACATTACCATGGCCTAGTCTGGTTGCACTAAGTCGACCTTGTCTGGCTGGCGGGGGGTATTAACTTGTTGACAATCTTCCTCCTTATCTCTTGACTCAACTCAGTTGTCAGTGTAGGAGAGACTAAAGCAGTGTAGGTAGTGGTTTATAGTAAATGAATACACACACTGTTTTGGTAGTAATAACCTGTGCCTGTTTTTCACTGAAGTGAAACTTAGTCTGACTAGGATATTAAAGGGACTCAGACATACCCCTCAGTTTTACATGTGTTTCTATAGTTACAGACCTGTTTCCGGATCAGAATCAGTAATTTTGGAATTAAAAAGGAAGTAGTAGATTAGAAAACAGTGTACTACCACCAGCGTAGAGACAGAAACTACAATCAGTCTGGACTAGTGCAAGCAGCTTTACAACAGGGTCCAACAAGGGCAAGGAAGTAAAGGAAATACACGCCTCAGACAGCTTTTGAAGGATAAGGTGTGTGCTCCTAACTGGCTGCTACTATATTTACTATTTTTGTCTCTTCATTCATCCGTGTGCCCCATAAATACAACTACTGCCAATGTTTCAGCCTGACGGTTTAGGGTTTGTTGTTGCGTATCTCTTACTTTTGCACACATCTCAGTACAGTCAGACAGCACGATGTGCCACAATGTCATTGACATAGTAGCAGTCCTGTTAAAGTATAATACTAACAAACCATACAAAATGAATACATTGAAACAATTACAGATGATAATAATAATAACTTGTAAATAACTAATTTAATTTAAATATTAGGGTTTGTTTAGGGTTGTTTTAAATGATCAGTGTGTAGGATTTAGGGTAATCTAGCAGTGTAGTTGCAGATTGCAACCCCCTCGCTCCAAGTGTGGAGAAACCATGGTGGCTGCAAAATTCTCAAATCAAAATAATAACAAAACAAGTTTGATCAGGAAGTAGCGTGGGATCCTATTAAATTATTGTTGTTGTTTGTAACTGTTATGCAGCCTTTATTTAATGTGATTGTGATCCACATTACTAGAAGAAATGTTGATTGAACATTGCATGGAAATTGGAGTTCTTTAGGTGGAATATTTCAGTCTTTTCACAGCATATTTCTTTCAGTTTACACTCCAGTGAAGATCGTACAAATGGTAAATGGACCTGTACTTTTAGAGTGCCTTTACTAGTCTTCCGACCACTCAAAGCGCTTTTACACTACATGCCACATTCACCCTTTCACACACATTCACTCAGCGATGGCAAAGTCTATCGAACAAGCATCGGGGTTCAGTATCTTGCTCAAGGATACTTCGACATGTGGCGGGAGGAGCCGGGGATCGAACCAACAACCTTCCGATTAGTGGACGACCCGCTCTGCCTCTGCACCAAGCAGCAGACTTTAATTATTTGATGCCAGCAAAACAGAAAACGGGCAGAACATCTTGTCCATGAACACAATGAGCACAAGTCCTTCTCCCCATCCCATCGTCGTTTCATTCTGCAACCATGACTTCTACCCCTGACATGCAAGGTCTGTTCTTTCACCAAGAAGAGATTCTCTTTTCTGCATCCTGTGGGAATCTCACTCCCTTATCACTGAAAAACTAACCATGTACTGTTGGTAAGTTGGTTATTTCAAGAGCTGAATGGAAGAAAGGCCACATAGCAGACTCATTCAAACCTTTGGTTCAGACACAGATGCAAAGTTATCATCAGATGACTTTCAGATGATGATTTGTTTCTATTTATGATTTATCTTGTCCAATCTGAATAGAAACATTTGAAATAGTTATAATTTAAGGGTCAGTCAAATTACAAATGCTGAAAGAAGTTGAATTAGCAGTTCAAATGGAAGCGCTTAATGAAATTGAACCGGCCATTTAAGTGGAAGCATTGAGTAAAGTTTCAGTTAAAGTGCAAGCACTCAAAGGCGCTGAAAGTTTTTGTTGAAGTGAAAGAAGTCCTCTGCCAGCACAACGTTACGGTCATTTGTCTCTGTCTCTGTCCTTCTGTTGTTACCTCTGTTGGCGTTATACAAAATTGAATTGAATTGAAATTGATTGGTCGAACACTTAAGCCAGTGCTGCAATGGCAACCACCATTTTTAAAACCTGTGTGAAATGTTAGCCATCTAAACAACAGCTTGTAACGGTCACCTTACAAAATGACAAAACACGGACAAATGGACCGACGGTGAAGACCAGGCTATATTCTGTGTATACTGCATGTCTTACAGAAGTGACGTTGCTATACCAGCTTACATCACTTCAGCGTTCCTATTGCTGGTGCAAATGCAAGCAGAAACAAAGCTCTTGAAGGTGTGTACTTTTGCAGGGAGCTTCCCAATGGACATCTTTTCAGGGAGTCCTTGGGACTGTTTCCGAATACACCTCTTGTCATATACTCTCAAAGTCTCTTCCAAGAAACTTCTTCTGGAGGGGTGAAGAGCATTATTCCAAAATATATTCCCTCATTTGGTGTTGTGGTGATTATGGTGAAGAGCGCCTTCTACAGTAACATGTTGGGCTGACTACAAGCGTGAACCTATCGTGAAGTCACACATGATACGTATTCCAAAAAAACAGTTCACTCAAATATTTTACTGAAACGATTTAAAGAGAGAAATAGTCAACGCAGTAACAGAATCTGGATCCATATCTGATCAGCACTGCCTAGTTTGACAGTTTGATCTGAGTTTGGTGCATTGAGCTGGACGGACTCACTGAGAATGACCTGTCAATCACAAGGTAGCCCTGGCCTAAATCATACCCTGCTTTATGGTCTATTTTACTGTAAATGGGACCATCATTTACTAAATGAACATCATGCTGTATGGAAGAAGACTGAAACTAGAGATTGAGACCATAACCTCATTAGGAAACTGTTTACTGAGCTCATAAATCAAGTCAGAAGTCGGCTCAGTTCTTCGTAAGACTGCATGGTATCAGGTTTTATTGCAGCCAACGGAGCTGCCCCCTGCTGGCCATTACATAGAATGCAGATTTAAGATTCTGCGTTGGCTTCACTTTTCAGACCCAGAAGCTCTGTCCATTATATATACTGTAAATGGTTGAGGGTCTGTGAAGGCTATAGCATAGGATGATTTGTATCATACAGTATATTTGCTGTTTTTGTACACTCATTATTTTCTTAAATGTCTCACCAGTTGTTCCTCCTTTTACTGGAAGATCCTAAAATGTGTGATTTTTGTCTGTGCCCAGTTGCCGTGCCTCTGCAGCAGTGCAACCTGCCTGACGTGCAGCTGCTGTCCAAGCAGCAGGAACTCCACGGTGACCAGGGTCATCTACGCCTTCATCTTGCTGCTGGGGACCATCGTCGCCTGCATCATGCTGTCGCCGGGTGTAGATCAACAGCTGAAAAGGGTATGAGTGCAAACACAGTAAATATATACACAGAAGGGACATTTCCATTCACACTATTTCATGCTATATTACTGTGTCAAATTCAGAATGGGAACTAATCATATGTGTAATGAATTTCATTGAACCACTACACTGATGTTGAAGTAGCTAATGTCTGCGCTTACTAACGGATAAATGATGAAACTGTGACTTGTTTCTACATTATCTCAAACAAACCGTTGGCAATTCTGTACTGCAATTTCTTGTTACTTATCGATCAACATATACAACTATACTCATATATCTGTATTAAGCTAATATGCCGTATATATATGTAGGGGCTCTAGTAGACTGTGAATGTGGTATAGGAGCCCTTATTTTATGAGTTCAACCATAAAATGTTTGAGATGATGTTAGGCAAGAGTGTTATGTATTATGTAGTCAACTTTAAAATCTCATGGGTAACTGCAAATAAGACAGAACATAGGTTTAATCCCATCAGTGATTCAGCTGTTTTAACCTGTGCACGAGATTGTCCATCCTCACAGTGGAGATCTTATTTACCTATTTTTAAATTTGCGACTCTAAATTGCCCCTACAGGTGAATGGTTGTCTGTCTGTGTGTCAGCTTTGTGACTGCCTAGGGTTTACCTAGCCTCTCTCCCAATGACTATTTTCAATGTCAGTTATTCTTGCTATTTCTTCTTGAAAAAAACACGAATCATTTAGTCAATAAAATGTCAGAAACAGTAAAAAAGACTATCACAAGTTCCCAGAACCCATTGATTATACTATCAAAAGAGACTAAGAAAAGTATTCATTAAAAGGTATTGAAATTTTAGAAGCTTTTGACTGTTGTCAAAATGATTTGTGATGTTCTGCTGTTCAATCTGCAGGATGATTGAATGCATGGTTGGTTAACATTAGAAAAGTGGGGCATCTAAAATGTGCGTGTCAACTGTGCCATTAGGTTTTTTTTGTTCTGTTGTGTATTGTGTTTACTAAAGCCAAAGTGTCACCACACAACCGACATGACATTTTTTTCGTACCACATCTGCACCAGTGTCCCCAACTGCAGATTCTAAAAACAATTAGGTCAGTTTTCTACCAGAATTAGATTTGGCACACACACTGTGGTTTCAATTGTTAGGGGTTTGAGTAAATATCAATACACTTGATTATTGAGATATGATTTTGTGATATTGTATCGATTCTGAAACACTCGATTTTTGTGTTTAAACCCCCAACAGCAAGATAGCAGTGTTATTAAAGTAAACTGAGGACTGTGATGGTGGATGTTACAGAGACTGTGGTACATACTAATACAGATCCCACTATTCTGGTTGCATGAAAAAGTCAAATTGTATTACTCATTCATTACAGTGGTGTGTTCTTTATACTATTACTATACTAATACTAATTAGACCCAAAAAAATATTACACAATATTTGACCTTGGTTACAGTATCACAGTATATCACAATATATGGAATATAATGCCAGGTACATTACAGACTTGACCCTAAGTCAGTTAGAGGTCCACAGTGTTGTTGTTGTTGTTGTTGTTGTTGTTACTAATTCTGGAATTAAAGTTATAGTAATAATAGCATTTTTTTAAATTGCTCAACATCATGAAGTTCAGCTCAGTTGCCCCCGTTTATAGGTGCTTTGTAAAGTTCAAATCTGACGTCCTGTGATTTGCTGTAGGTTCCAGGCTTCTGTGAAGATGGGGCTGGTCCTTCTATCCCCGGCCTGCAGGCCGGTGTCAACTGTGAAATGTTTGTGGGCTACAAGGCAGTGTATCGCGTCTGCTTCGGCATGAGCATGTGGTTTCTGGGCTTTTCCATTCTTATGATTAACATCAAGAACAGCAGAGACACCCGTGCTGCCATCCACAATGGGTAAGCACCGCAGTAACACCGGCAACACTGTGCAGAGAACAGTGGGTCCTGATCTTTCCAACCTTCATTTATCTGTAAAGCTTTAACCTGCTTGACACAAACAGAACACTAGGTCAGAGGTGTTATATAAGTTATACAACATGTCATTTAGCAGATGGCCTTTGTCCTGCACAGTGTGTTACAACAAATGCGTATCAAGTTTCTCACTTCCTCTGACCAGCAGCAGAAAGCATTTGACACTTTTATAAATGAATTCTGATCCCATGTTGAATACCCAGAGGTAGAAAGGGTAGCACACACACACAGATTTCCTGTACAAAGTTGACAAATCTCTGTTTCACCAATTTATTTTGGCCATGTCAGACATATGTGCTATCGTTTTGGCCTGGTGGCCTTCATCGGAGCATGAAAGGAAATGGTAGCTGTGTCTTTTATATACAGACGTTAGCAGGTGATTGGCTGAAAGGGTCACATGATATTCAACTTCCTATGGTCACATATATTTTTTCTTAACCCATGAACAATGACTAAACAATGACTAACTAACTACAGATTAAGTACATTTTATGTTTCCAGATTTTTAAACTTGTTCAGAGGAAGCATTTAATACTGAAATCATTATTCAGTCCAGTGGTTATTATTAGTATTATCCCCTGAGTCAGGATTGTCAGGATATGTATTTACTCTTTAGACATGAAACCATTTATTATACTCAAGAAGTTTCAGATGTGTTCACTCTGGGCGGCATTTGCAGTTTGAAGTAATATGTGTTAATAGACACACTACTGCTTACTTACTTACTGCTCTGGGCTGTTGAAAAAACAACCATACAGCCATGTCCTGTAGTATGTTTCACTGTGAGGACACAGGAAAAGATATTGTCAAGAGGCATTTATTTACAGGGTTCATTGAGAAAGTGAAAGAACACTCTTGTGCATGCTGTTACACTGATACACTGAGGCCCAGTGGTCCACCCGTCCAGTGTGAATGCACATGGGCAGCTGTGGCTCAAAGGTAGAGCTTCTTGAGCAAGATACTGAACCCCAAATTGCTCCTGATGTTATAACTTATGTAACACCTGTGCATCGGTGTATGACTGTGTGTGAATGCTTAGTTTCCATTTCTGGCACCTGCATGGCAGAAAGGCACAGCCATCAGTGAATGATATGGTGAGTGTGGCATGTAGAGTGGTTGAAAGGCTAGAAAGGTGCTATACAAGTACAGTCCATTTGCCATTTACTGCCTAACTCAAAATGACCCTAGGATGCAAAAGTTACTACAGAAGTATTTTCAGCTATAGCATGATTTGTAATAATGTCCAATTTAGTAGATATGTGATAAATTATAATTTCCTTCTTACAAAAGTTAAATATTTGGAGAATATGAAACAATAATGTTATTCAATAGGAAAATAACATTTGATAACATCAAATAACATTTGATAACTTCATATAACATCAAGTTCATTGATGTTATCAAATGTTATTTTTCTACAAGAGATAATTGCTAAATAAGCCAAACGATTAGTCAGTTTCCATTACTGTAATCATTTATGTCAGTCAGTTAATAGTTTAATCATAATTCTTTATTTTCTATAACCATTTAATTTTATTATATGTTTTGCATTGGTTGCAGTGTTGCCTCCAGACTAAAGCTACCATTTAACTCCAAACACAATATTTGATGCAGGACACATGCTTGGCCACATGTTTGTGATGCAAACAGTTTTTGACTGCGGTTAGCTTGCCCCAGCAACATTGGCAAAGCCTTAAGACAGTGTAGCCAACATGGCGTGCTGTGCGTCTGTGGTGTATCAAAATGATCTTTAGGACATAAGACAAACAACTTCTCTCAGTTAAGAAGTTTATTTAGAATTGTATGATTAAAATAATACTTGTACAAGGATCTTGTTGGATTGAGAAGCCACAGTCAGCGGAGTGCTGTTACTCGGTCTTTCCTTGCCCCAAAAAGAGTGATGACCAAAGGTTACATGAGGTTGTGTTTGATTATAGTAAGCAATGTGATTGGTTGACTATACGATGGGAAACAACCGTGGTTTAGACTTGGTGCTTCCTTGTTGGTGCACTGGCTGGTCCCAGCCTCTTGGCACACGACCCAACCAATTCCGAGGAGACAGCGCCCTAAAAGACAAATTAGTAATTCCGCCCTGCTCCCCCTCCTTTATCATTTATGAAACTAGAGTGACGGTCAGAACTGGGAGGTCCTGTAGATAACCCGTTCCTCCTCCCACGCTCAGGTGTTTGTAGCTAGTGTAGCTCGCAAGCAGAGATGTAACTATGTGTCTGTGTTTTTTATCTTTGTGTGTATTAGCTTTATAAAATGCAGGCTTTCACATCTATGTGTATTAAAATATATTGAAATGACTAATCCCTAACACGTCAAAAACCCCCTTACCTCTCTGTTCTGTGTAAAGTCCTACACACCGGCAACAGATGGACACATTTTAATTTCTATGCAGTGAGTACATCACCAGCATACAATTTTTTACTTTTATATTAAAGCATTGCTCCGTAAATAGTTTTCTTGTGATTAAAAAAATTCTGAACCACAATTCTGAGGCTGTTCTGTAAAGAGTTTTCTAATAAATATAACAACTTCTGACCAACCCATATCAATTCCAGGGTAAGCTACGCCCATTCAGAGTACGGATACGGATACGAATACAGATAAAAGATACAGATACTGATAATGGTGCACTCTACTCACTCATCCATATTGTAAGGGCCCCATTGTTATACCCACTTGAGTCTACAGCTATGCCGAAGAGGAGAAAGGTCGATTTTACACCATTATGGCTTAACATTGCTGCTGTCGCCTTTACTGGGAGTACTTGTATGAGTACACAGTGGTAAATAAACAGTCTAGGACACAGTTACACATCCCTCCTCTGCTGATCACTGAGCAGCTCAAATTGTTTGTCACACATGAAACCTTGCTGTGCAATTCTGTTGATCCCCCATTTGACAATCAAGTGACCTCAGTGTTACAAAGAAATGCTTTGGATGTTGTTTGAGGTTTTGCTCTTATATGTATTGTATTAATTTGTTTGTACATTCCGCTGTATAATCAGCCATTAACAATTTGCTTTCAGATTTTGGTTCTTTAAGTTTTCTGCCTTGGTGGCAGTGACAGTCGGTGCCTTTTACATTCCAGATGGGCCTTTTAATTACAGTAAGAACTTTATATTTTAAACTTTTGGTACCTCAGATCATCACATCCAATATACACAGACAGACAGTATATGATTGATAGAAGTAATTGAATGAGCTGTGTGTCTCTGTGTTTTTGCAGCATGGTTTATCATTGGCTCCGGCGGAGCTTTCTTTTTCATTCTGATCCAGCTGGTGCTGCTGGTGGACTTTGCCCACTCCTGGAACGAGTCCTGGCTGGACAAGATGGAGACTGGCAACTCCAGGGGCTGGTATGCAGGTCAGTGACACAAGCTGCGTCACAATTAACCTTCCCCGCCCCTTTTTGCTCTGTGTGTGGGAACCTAGCCAGCTTTGCTACAAAGCAAAACACTAGCTAACTACCTAGCTAATCTAAATCAGTTGTTAGGTAGCTAGTTACATCTGAAAGCTAATGTTAGCAAAACACTGGCTAACTAGCTAGCTAATCTAAATCAGTTGTTAGGTAGCTAGTTACATCTGAAAGCTAATGTTAGCAAAACACTGGCTAACTAGCTAGCTAATTTACGTCAAGCTAGTTAGTTAGTAAGCCAGTTAGCCATTTTTATAACAGCAATAAGACAACCACATTGGTGTATGTCTGTCTTTTCAACTTACACTAGCCTAGCACATAGCATATCTAAGTAAAGGAAAGGAGGAAGTTGACAGAAGTTCTGACCGAGGCTTGCTCAACTATTATTGGAGCACAGAGCAAAAAGGGGCCGGACTTAGGGAGAGTCAATTACATGCTTCTAACACTTTAAAATTCTAAAATGAAATAAATTTAGAAATGACAAGTAGGGATAATAGGAAATGTTATTATGAATTATCGGGACAATTAAAATAAAGCTGATAAATTATCAGTCCATAATAACAAAAATGTATTTTGAATTCTTATGCAAAGCGATTGATAGACTTTATGTTCTATTAAAGCCAAAGTATGTTTTTTGGGACTGAACTCTTACACTGATGTCTTTTTAAGTATCACATATTTACTTTTTCTACCTTCTGTTGTATTTAGCTTTGTTGGTGGTCACAATCCTCAACTACATCCTGTCATTTACTGCTGTGGTGCTGTTCTTCGTCTTCTACACCAAGCCTGATGGATGCTTCATCAACAAGTTCTTCATCAGCTTCAACGTGTTGTTCTGCATGGTGGCCTCTGTTATCTCTGTGCTGCATAAAGTACAGGTACAGGCCTCCAGTGTCAAACATTCAGTCTGGGATAAGCAGTCTTTCAATGCTACAATGCAGAAATGTGCTTTTGAGATACAGGAAGTGGAAATAATATGATGAACACCAGCAAATTCGCAGGTCTCAGGTCACTTCAGTTCAACTTTCAAAGGGAACCCTGATGCTCTGTGTCTGGAAATGGAGACATTATCATTCTAGCTTGTTTCTTCCCCATTTTTAGTACATTATCAAACTCCACACTATAGCATCACTCTTATACATTGCTATTTAATAGCTGCTTCATTTTCAACACTGGGACTACTTTCTCTTAAACTGAGAAGTTGTGCAAGTGGTCTTACTCTTAAAATAAGGAAATGGGATATTATGAAAGCCATTGTTGTAACTTGTTAGGGTTAAATTGAGCTCAATATTAGCTGTAATATCTTAAAACCAGATTACTTGTCTAATGCAAAACATGCCTGAGAAGATTATTTTTCTTCTTAGACATTGAGCTCATCAGTACATGAAACAGCACGCCTCCACCAGCTCCCTGTTCTATTTTAACACAGGCCTCTTCTCTGTCAGAAAGCCGTGAATGTAGTTTTCAAATGTAGTGCTAGCTGGTTGAAAAGGACAAAGTAAAGTAACAATATTCCATATATTGCCACACACATTGTTAGTTATAACACAAAAGCATTTAAAGTTGGGACGTTTTAAAGAATGGAATCATCCCCTTTACCAAACTGTAAGCAGTGAACATTGGATCACAATTTATCTCATAACCTTGACTAAATAATCTTAAATCAAGGTCCACGGTCTAGTGTTTTTTCCATACTTTCCACCACATCTTACAGTCTTCATCAGTGAATGGAGTTTGTTCAGTTATCAGTGAATATTCATGTTATGAATGTATTTATTTCTGACAACTCTATGTGTGTGTGTGTCCTCAGGAGTCTCAGCCACGTTCAGGTCTTCTACAGTCCTCCATCATCACGTTGTACACCATGTTTCTGACGTGGTCTGCCATGACCAACGAGCCTGGTGAGAATGTTTGCTGGTTAATATTTAATATTGACATAAGAAACAACAATTTGGTCTTCATTTGGAAGAAATACTGTCCTTTTCAAGTCATATGACTATGAGTTCTTGCTTTTGTTAGTTATGCTTTTGGTTGTTCTGTTCAAAATTCATGGTGTAAGTTGCACTTAAGGCAGTGCAACATGTAGTTAATTGATTCCTCTACAGAATGTATGAAAGTATCCACACAGCATTACCATTGATTTGGAATGGTTCAAGTATTATTTTCAAGATATTTTCATGGACCTCATACCCTGCACTCACACACATTTTTTCCCAAGAACATAAAGGCATGTGAAAGTCAGATCTCTCTGTCACCATTTCTGCTTACACACTGAGCTGTAGATTTCAACTTTGTGCCCCCTCTCAGACCGAGAATGCAACCCCAGCCTGCTGAGTATCTTCCAACAGATTGCAGTCCCCACACTGGCCCCTCTGGAGATGGAGAACCAGACAGCTGTGGTGATCATCGGCACAGAGGAACCTGTCCTGACGTCCCCGTACCTACAGTGGTGGGACGCTCAGAGCATTGTGGGGCTTGCCATATTTGTCCTGTGCATCCTTTACTCGAGGTAGGATTACTGTCCCCGGGTGAGATATGAAACACTGGGCCTCATGCAGCAATATTTTGTTAAATTTCTCTGATATTTCTCTTAATTTTCTGTTAAGAGAAAATATAAGAGAAGTGAACTCCAAATGTACCAAACGTTCCTAACCATTCACATTTGTTGTTACCCGGGTGTGCTTGAATGATGAATCCCACTTGATCATAGATTGGAAGCGGGAGGCTGATGATGTTATTAGCATGCGTAACACCCCTTAAACACTGTATAAAGGCAGGTAGTGTGCCGTGTGCAAACACTCAGTGTCAGTAGATTGATGCACAGTAACAATAGTATAGCAGTTGTGGGGGGATTTGACCTGTGTCGGTTGAGGCTCCGAAGTATTGCACAAATCTAAATGCAGCCGTTCATCTGTCTCATCCAACGGAAGTCCAAAAAAGGATTTTTGGACTAAGTATCTCTCTAGCCCACAAATGTAATAATCCCATCACTATCATTTGTGCCGATTGGTGCAACTGAAGCATTCTGTGAGAAAGGACTGTTTTGATTGGACTGTAGGTTTTGTATATTTTGCACTGACTGTATAATACACTGTGGGGATTTAGAAAGTTTGCTTTGTGTTTCTTGCCTGTTGTATTTTGGTGTGTGTTCCTGCTAGAGCAAGGGGTTGATGGCAGTTTGAGCTCCATTGTAGGGTTTTGCTGGTTGTAATACAAAATTACCTTTTCTATCAGACCAAGAGTCTGACTGGCCCCATGGTTTAACGCAAGCGATCGGTACTAAAACATCAAATCTAATCTGGATATGTGATTTTTTTTCCTCAAATTTAAAACCCATGTTTCTTTGCTTCGGACAAACAATTTACGGACTAGAAAACTAGATGATTGTTCTTATCTTGGTAAGAGTGCCCTTGACCACTCGTAAAATGCTCTCTTACCTAAGAGAAACATTGGTGAATCAAAGGGATCAATGGAATGGGTACTGACAAAATAAGAACAAATCATGGATACAAACAAAAATAAGAAAATAGTTTGAATATCGCTTTTGGCATAAGGCCCAGTATGACCAGTCTACTGTGGTGGTCATTCACAAGCTTCCTGTCAGCTACAAGGTCCACAAATGCTGAAAATCACTGAAAATAGTGTTGGTTCTGGGTAGGTTGTCATGCAATAAACCGGCACTGATAGGCTGAATCAGAGGATTTCGAGCTGATTATTGATAGAACACCATCTCTGGTGCTCAGGCGGTGTGACTGACACATTTTCAAAGAGCAAAGAAGGCACTTCTTTTGAAAAGTGAACCCAGTCATTCAACTTAGAAAATGTAATTAGTATGGGCTGTCTATGGGAAAAATGTCTTTGTCACAGGACTTCACAGCTCAGCTCAGCACTGTCCCTGGAGGCTCGATGACATTACATGCAATCCCTCTTCACTGTGATAAACAAATACATTTACCAACATGAACAGTTTCAAAGTTTAGTCTCCCCTCAAGGTCTGTTCAGTCTCTGTTCTGGAACAATGTGGTCAACTGGGAAAACTCCATCTGCTGAGAAACATCATGTGATATGCTCAAAAGCTCCATTGTTTTGTCAGCCACACAAGTTCAGTTTGCTAGAAAGATATTAGGTATCTACCTACCTATCAGTTTGAGAAATGTAGCTGCCTTTTAGTTAGCTCAGGTTATTTCCTGTGCCATTGTATCTGTAAATGGATGTGCGGTACCCATGTTTATCTGTTTTGCCCTCAGCATTCGTTCGTCCAGCACCAGCCAGGTGAACAAGCTGACCATGGCCTCCAAAGACTCGGCCATCCTGGCTGAGGGCGGCAGCAGCCCCGACCTCTCAGAGGAGTCAACAGGACCCAGGCGGGTGGAGGACAACGAGCGGGACATGGTCCAGTACAGCTACTCCTTCTTCCACTTCATGCTCTTCCTGGCCTCGCTCTACATTATGATGACCCTCACCAACTGGTACAGGTCAGTACTTTTATTTTTTTTTAATACTGTATTAAAACATTATTCCAGCACTTGTCAACTTTAGCAGCTGCTGCAATGACAAAGTTTTAAAGAAGAAGAGAATAAGCCTGCAGTTTTACAGTGGATGTTATTTTACAGATTAAGTATTCCTTAAGGCTCTATTTTGCAGACTGCAGCTCCAAACTGACACAGACTGGTATCATGCCCTTCATGTCCAAAGCAAGATTTACTTTATTGTGTAGGTTTCTTGAAGGGGACAGATTCCACCTAAACCATCTATATGTTAGTCCATCTGTTAATACTTTCTGGATTCCTACCCTGTCTGTGGTCTGTGGTCTGTGGTCCCAAGCCCACTGGTTCCTACTGAATGAATGATGTGAATCTTAAAAGACTTCAAATGTATAGTGTGGTAGTAATTACATGAAACAGTTGGGCAAATTCTTGCAAACATCATACAAGCAGTTTTCTGTGTAATCACCATTTAAGGAACCAGGGAAAGTTGAATGAGGATTTAACTTAATATTAATAGTTTACAGTGTCAGGGCAGGTGATCCAATCTTACTCCTACATCTCAGCCTGCTCCATTATCAGCTTAATGCTGTACTTCACATGGTTCATAACAGCCAAAAACTTCATCCATCGATCCAAACCTCCGCTGACTTCTCCATATATTAGTATTTACACCCCGCTGTCCAAAACAATATTATGCATGTGCCTTACAACAGTGGTTCCTAACCTTTTCCTTTAAGGGATACCTTTTCTATCATTGAACTGACGAGCCCTGACAAACTGTACAGTGAATCCCAATAGTGAACACAGTAACTGCAGGAAGTTTGTGTAAAACCCATCCGTGAACTCAGAGTGCTGTGCTGTCAGTATGTTCTGTGACTTGAAGGACTCTAGGCTGAAGTTAAGGGACCCTTTTGCTATCATCTCAACCCCTGACTGTGACATATTTTGAGGCTATTTCATGTTATATTCAGTGCATAACAACAACAGTACAGAATAACAAACAGTGAACACAATAACTGCAGGAAGTTTGTGTAAAACGAGCGCCCCTCTGCTGTAGATTAAAGGTTTTGTTTCCACCTTGGAACAGATAAATGTCAACAACTGAAAGACCTTTTGTTGTGTTCTGTCCCCGGCAGCCCTGACGCAGACTACACCGTCACCAGCAAGTGGCCAGCAGTGTGGGTAAAGATCACCTCCAGCTGGGTGTGTTTGGCCCTGTACATCTGGACCCTGGTGGCCCCCATGATCCTCACCAACCGAGACTTCAGCTGATCAGCAACACCATGTGTGGCTCCACGTTGTCCTCTCTTTTTACACAATCTCCAACCACATTGCCTACATCTCACTTTCACAGTGTACTCACGTTTTATACTTTTAGCTCATTTCATCATTTCTGCTTTTATTCGGTTAAAAGTTGGGTTTGGTTTCAGAGGTGCCAAAACAGCTGCTTCAGGTATGTCCTGTAGTGGTTTCATACCAGTGGGTAGCAGCTGCTCATTAACTGGACATCCGACGACAATCACATATTTCCTATTGAAGCACATCATGAAGAAAAACACTCCATTTGTTTTTTATGTGAGTTGTATATCAGATTAATCTAAATTCATTTCTGCTGTAACTACAACAGATGTCAGATTTAATCAGATTATTTCCCATTGCTTTAAAATATGAATGCTCTATAAATTTCAGCATTAATAATGAGGGTTGGTTTATGAGGTTTGCTGTGTACAGTAATGAGCTTGTATAGTTTGCTGCTATGCCTTCCAATGCCTTATATGTCTGTCCAGTTTTTCAGATATGTGACTATACTGAGAGTAAGAAGAAGTACATAACTGTAGTAAACTATTGCTGATAAACATAATACATTCCTGCAATATGACTCAATCAAGTTTCTGCCAAATATTTATGGACCAATGTAAAGGTGTCTTTGAGATGTTTCAGGTTGTAAAATAAATCCTTACAGTGACAGAACGGCACTCAGATCCAGTCAATATATTTATTTAAAGCTGACATATGGGTGATTGTATTATTTTCTGTGCATCGTTGTATGACTCCAAATAGTACGGAATAGCTTTAATATTTATTGTGATTTTATGTTTTTTCAATGCATAAAATAAGTTGTAAGAAATGTCAGTGTAAATTGAATGGTGGAATGTGTTGAAGAATGATTTATGAGATGAACACTGACCAAATGCCTTGTAAGCCAAAGTGATTGACTGTACAGTAGTTAGTATGTGAGTTCTCAGTAGTGCTGCTGCAGTTTCTGTTAAACTGCTCACACCTGATTTCAGTGAGATTCAATGTGCAAAACTCTTTCAGTCGATAACTCATTCAAACAGAGAAAGCAGTGTCTGTTTCCTCGTGTTCGGATTGTACAAACAGCAGAAGATTTGATTCTAATAGCATCATTAGGAACAATACATTAGACCACAATTTACAAAACATAAACTTTAAACAAAAAAAGAAATGCATTGTCCAGTAATACGCTTTTGAGCACTGCCAATATGAGATGTCTATTTTGAAATATATCAATTGATATTTGGTTTTATATTTGTTGTGAGTGGCCTGTAAATGTTAGAATTTAGCTAATGTCTGTACACTGAAACTGTTGTGACCAACAGCGACCGTGCAAATACTGTAAAAGAATAAAGGCACATTTACAACCAAGCTTGTCGTAATTTAATCTGCTGTCCCTGTCTCATGAGGCTGTGATGGCAATTTGTTTAATAAAGCATACAAAGTATGATCTTGTCTTTCTTTAAGGTTTTATTCAAGTCATCCATGAATGGTCTCGACGCAACCGTTACACACTCTCGTATGTGAAAGTCCGAAAGAGTTCGAGATTGTAAGAAGCAGTATGGTTTTATCCCTGTTGGAGCGTCACTCTAACACAGTTACACATTCCTGAGTTCTGGGACAGTAAACAGACAGATAGTGTGGTGAGATGATCATGTCCTTTGCTTCTTAGTGAAGTCTCAACATCCCGCTGTTTACTTGGACATAGTGTAGTGTACTAAGGGTATTTCCTCAACCAAATTATTATTGTGCCTGTTGTATGATTTACTTGTGTATTTTCAATTAATTATGCATTTCTTATGAACCATAAGAGCTATTTTTCCACCCATTATACTCAGTGACCTGAAGTACACTCTTACACTCTTTAAAATCAAGGCTTCGCAATCCTCCATGAAACTTTGGCAACCCCTAGTTGGTTGGGAACCACTGCCCTACACTATGTTTTTAACAACCAATATGTGACTGTATCTGCACCTCTTGGTCAGACTCACTGAGATCTGTCCTTTCAGCTGACAGATTGACTGTTACTCTGATAATATCTTGATTTATTAAAAAATACAAAAACAACTGTTGTATCATTGTTTATTTCTTCATTTCTCCACAAGAAAATACATAATTTACTTTATTCTATCTATAGTGTTCTTACAGGAAACAAATATCATTAAAAGACCAAAACCCTCTATGTCTGTCTCTAAATACCTTCTGGATTCCTACCCTGTCTGTGGTCCGTGGTCTGTGGTCCCAAGCCCACTGGTTCCTTACTGAATGAATGATGTGAATCTTTAAAGACGTCACAAATGTATAGTGTGGTAGTAATTACCTGAAACAGTTGTGCACATTCTTGCAAACATCATACAAGCAGGTAGAAACAGTGCATTTGTTGAGGCCTATTTTCAGCTGCGGATTAATCCATATTTGATACAGTAGTGAGTATTTGGAGCAGGGCAAGTTTATTTGTATGGCACTTTTCAACAACAAGACCATTCTAAGAGCTTTACATAAGACACACTGTATACTGGCATTAGGACAAGATATAAAAAAACACAACACAGTATAAAAAGACATGAATAGGATTTTAAAGGGCCAGTGTGTAGGATTTAGTGGCATCTAGTGGTGAGATAGCAGATTGCAACCAACTGAAACCCCATTTGTTCTGGTTTGGGCCTCTCATGTAATCCTGACTCCAGGATAGACATATAGTGTTTCCGGTCTGCAGCGGTCAGTACCAAAAGTATCAAAAGTGGTCCAAGGAAGGAAAAGCAATGAACCAGAGACAGGGTCTGGCCAAGGCTCACTGATGCACGTGGGGAGTGAAGGCTGGCCCATGTTGTCCGATCCAACAGACGAGCTACTGTAGCTCAAACTGCTGAAACAGTTAATGCTGGTTCTGTTAGAAAGGTGTCAGAACACACAGTGCATCACAGTTTGTTGGTATGGAGCTGCAGAACATTATGACCACCAGGGTGCCCAGGTGTTCTCAATGTTATGGCTGATCGGTGTATGTTTGTGGTAACTTCTAACCATCTGGCTGTGTGTTTCTCTGTGCAGTGAGGCATTACAGAATAACAAACTTTCAGGAGCCAGAGTCGGCCAGGTAGTTTTTTAGTTGTTAATCCTGACAGTAGTACATGAGACAGACAATCTGTGAAAAAATCAGGTTCCTCTGGCTCCTCCTAGAGCTCCTAATGGTATCTGCAATAATCCACCAGGCCTGAATGAAAACAACCAATCAGAGCCAAGGAAGATAGTTGATTGTTGAGTCTCATTCCCAGGTTGTCAAATACAGACACTTTGGAACTCAGCAATCAACTATCTTCAAGCCACCAACCCAAAGTATCTTTCTATCTTTCTCAGTTCTGATTGTTTTTATCCAGACCAACACTAAAATCTGCCCATATGCAGGTAACTAAGGGGTTCTATGTTTAGTCAGAAACAAAAGAGACAGCAGACAAATCTCTGTAGGGCCTAAAGAGCAGAGTTTCTGGCTGACAACATCCGAAATATGTGGACAAAACGCACCCGCTGAATAAAGCAGTTCCGCCTTCAAAATCACTGCTTCTCCCACGCTGTTGGGCAGACAAAGGACGTCCAGGAGGGACTGCGAGCCGAGCTGCTGCTAACGTGCGCTCAGCTTGTTTCTCTGATAACTTAAGATTCAGACGTCCAATAACTAAAATCCTTCATCCGGTTCAAATCTAGAGGTAAAAAGCATCACGATCTAAACATTGGATGGTAAAAATGTTGCTTCAAACTGGATAAAAAGACACTGTATGACAGCTTCTGGCAGACAACCGTTGTGGCTGACGCATGCACAAAAGGGAAATGGTAAATGGACCTGTCCTTGTAAGGTTGTAAATATCCATGAATCCTTGAATCACTGCTTTACTAATGTGCCACAATACTGTTTGTGAGTTCAAATATCTTCTTTTGGGGGCTTTTCCAAGCAAAGATTGATATATGTGATTGTGATTAAATGGTAAATGGACCTGTACTTGTATAGTGCCTTTCTATTCATCCGACCATTCAAAGTGCTTCTACACTACATGGCACATTCGCCCTTTCACAAACATTCACTCAGTGGTGGCCCATTGTAAAGGATGTTTTTTCAATGCATAAAATAAGTTGTAAGAAATGTCCAGCCCATCAAACATTAACTAACTCATTCATACACATTCACACACCGATGCATGGCATCGGGAGCAATTCGAGGTTCAGTATCTTGCTCAAGGATACTTTGACATGTGGCACCAGGAGCTGGGGATCGAACCAACAACCATCCTATTAGGGGACGACCCGACTCTGCCTCTGTGCCACAGCCGCCCCATATGACGCCATTGACAGGCAACCAGTGAAACGCAGTGTTACCTGAATAAAATTACAGAGTTTGAACATTGTTGGAAACATTTGGGATAATGGAAGAACACACGTAAAAAACGTTTTCCCTTGCAGGGCCAAAACGGGAACTTGATGGTGTCACTCTGCCCACCATGCTCAGATTATGAAAAATAATTCATAATCTGTGTTTATATATTGTATATATACATATTGTAGCTTTACCTCTACTGTTCTGCATTCCCGCTGTTACAGATGAAACTACTGTGGACTGATCAGTTTACACCGTGAGGACATCAGAGGACATCTGTCAGGTGCAGGTTAGGCAGTGTGAAGAACCTCTCCTCAGGATCCCTCTGGGCGCTGTGGACTACCTGGCAGCTGAACTTGGAGCTCTGGTCATCCTTGTTGGGAGTGAGTTTGAGGAAACTGAACATGGAGTAGAGACCGTTGATGTTCAGGCTTGGGGGAGTGTTGAAGACGCCGGAGCAAACCATCTCTCCGTCTTTAGTCCAAATGACTGACACGTCCTCAGGACAGAAGTCTTTGATACACAGGTGCAGTGTACACTCTTGGTTCAACAGGGGACACGGCGGGTCACAGTCGATGAACATCACAGTAGGAGGAGTTCCTGTTCAGACGAGTAGAGGGTTAGCATAAACTAGCATGAACTCCTGTGGATGATGCGTCTCCATCAGTATACAATTGAAATGAGTGCAGCTAAATCCTTCACACTGGTTCTTTTAGTTTTGAAAAAAAAAAAAATGTAAATAATTAAATTGCCAAAACGTGGTCAACCTTGGATCTTTCTCTAACAATGAAAATGAGAATAGTAGAGAAACGCTTTTGGATCCAAAGCTTGCCACCCTGCCAAAAAGTGATGTTTGTCTCAGTGTTTTTACGTAGGTCTCCTGACATTTATCCGGGATCCGGACCATCAGCACCGGAAACCCCCAAAGTATGCATTCTTTCTTTTCTGCTCTCCTCCTTGCCCACAAACAGCTGCACCTCTAGTCACCAGTCCATCAGGCTCTTGAAGTTCCCAGATAACTTTTAACTTCTTTTTTAACTTCTTTTTTCTGTCCTTGCTCTCAACGAAGGCGGACGCATCTCTCTCTCCCTCCCGTCTCCCTTATCTTTCCTGCTTTGCTTCTCAAGTCTCGTCCTGTCTTGTCTCTAACTTTTAGGAGACTCTCCCCGCATTGCTCTCCACACTTAAATCATGGAATTGGTCAACTGGTCTCTCAACGCAATTGACAGAATTTTCTCGACGAGAAGCTCGGGTTCGGGGGAACCTGTCTGCCCTGAAGGAACGTTTGCCGCTGGTTACACGATGGACTCCTGGGAGAAGTGGAGGGTTGTGTGCCTGGCGATTCTTTCCATAAAGGACATCGAGGATCTCTACATATTCGGAACCATGATAACAGGCTATCTGCTGATTGGATTAGGCATTGCCCTGGTGTATCGGAAAATTCAGAAGACGGTGTCAGCAGTCCAAAGCCCCATGAAGCTGCCCGACATGATTGATGGAGTGAGCAGAGCTGTTAGCGCTCAGACTGTGGGTATAAAACGCAACATGGAAAACATCTTGGAAAGAGCTGTCAGCGCACTGACGGTGGTTATACACCGCAACATGGAAAACATCTTGGATAGAGCTGTAAATGCTCAGACTGTGGTCATTAACCGCAACATGGATAACATCTTGGAGAGGTTTTCGGCTTTGCAAAGGAGAATGAATCGATTTGAAGACCAGAATGGACAATCAGAGTAAGTCGTGTCTATTGAAATGCGACTACTCGCCCTAACCCAAACACTCAATCTGCAAACAATCTAATCTGCATTCTGGCCCTCAGTAGCACCGGCCTTGGAACAACTCCTCCAGGAGATCGCTGCAGGAAGACGCTCTGCCCTATTCCTCCCTCCCTTCCCACACGGACACCTGTTGATAGTTGACTCTGTTTAGGACCCGATCAGGGACGTCTCCATGGACACTTACACATGCGCATATGCAACACGACAACACTCATTCGATCTGCTGAGAAGGTGATCGGCTGCAATCTGCCATCCCTCCAGGACCTGTACGCCTCTAGGACCATGAGGCGTGCAGGCAAGATTGTGGCTGACCCCTCCCACCCGGGACACAAACTCTTTGAAACACTTCCATCTGGTAGGAGGCTGCGGTCCATCAGGACCAAAACCTCTAGCCACAAAAACAGTTTCTTTCCGTCTGCAGTTGGCCTCATTAACAAGGCCCGGAACCCCCACTGACACTGATTCTTAAACCCACCCTGTTTATATGCATTACATTAATGCACTCCCGTTGGTTTTTCTATTCTACACATTGTAAATATCTCTCCTGTATGGTTTAGATTTATCTTTATCTTTATTTATTTATATTTTAATAAGTACTTTATTTTTCTTATACACCAAGACAAATTCCTTGTATGTGTTATAACTTACTTGGCAATAAACCCAATTTTGATTCAGATTCTGATTTAGAAGACAATACATTATTGTGTTTAAAATCCTATGCAGAAAACATTTGGTGATGCTACCTTGAGTGTTGATGTGGTACAGGACATCTTTGTAGCCCGGAGCAGAGAAGCTGGAGTGGTAAACACGGCAGGTGTAGATGGCCCTCTCATCCTCTCTCGCCATGACCAGCTGGATCTTACTCCACACGCTGTAGAGGCGGTTGTGATCGGAGAAAGGTCCAAAGTGTGTGACTTTGCGGACCTGCTCCCCGTCGTTCCTGGACCACTCCATGTCCACGTCCTGGGGGTAGAAGTTCTCCACCCGACAGCATAGAACCAGCATCTTCTCCACCTTGGGGATCTGAGGGATGCTGGAGATCTGGAGGAAAGACGGCTCCACTGGAGGTGTGTGTGAGTGTGAGTCATGTTAAATCATGTAAGAGTCAGCATATTTGCATATTCACAGATTCTGTAATATTTAATGAGGTAGAAGGAGTAGATGACTTTTTAAGGATGTTAATGTAAATATTGTACCACGCATTGTTGTTTCAATGCATATCCTAATACGGATCTTTAAATTTCACATATAATGTATATATATATTTTATATATATATATATATATATACATATATATTGTCCCTATATTATTCAGATATTGTTATTTATATTTTTTATTATTATTTATATATAATAACAATGTATCAAATGACAGTTTGAAAACAAAGAAACAATATGAAAGGTGCCTCTGTTGAACACACAGACAAGTATCAGCTGAATCTGCAGCTCCCTTCTGCTATGACTTGGTTCTACTGCCCCCAAGTGACCAAAGAAATAAGTTATTGCAGTTTTCATGGCACTGGATAAATCAAATGAATATTAAAAAATCAGCCTGTGATGAACAGCTGTATTATGTCTTCTATCCCTGGGCATTAAACAATAATGCAGGCATTCACCAGGCAGTAGGCTTTAACAAAGGGATGGTGATGGGAAATGTAGGACACTAATAGTAGGACATTAATCAATTCTGTAGGGAATTGGTTCCCATCTTGTATATGATCTTGTATGTTGTAGTATGTATTTTTTTTATTAATACGATTTAATTGGTTATTTTGCAAGATCCAGGGCTATAAATGTAAAGTTTGTTTCAGAGGGTTGTACCACAGGAACAGCCATAGACACATTAACATAAGGGTTTAGAGGAACATTTGGGCAGATGGTGAAACTAGATAGAAACACAAGGATTCCTCCCCTGAGGATCATGAATATAACATAATTACTGCCAATCTGGCCCACAGCTGTCAGATATTTCACTCCAAACTGTTGGACAGACTGAAGTGTACAGTGATGATAATATGATGCTCTTAGAGCCACAGTTACTCACCTTTTACCTGGACTGTGGTCTCTTTGCTGAAGCTCTTGCCCCTGCACAGTACTACACACTGGTATTTGGTCCGGTCTTCAGTGACTGTCAGACACACAGTCAGGACAGATGTGTGGTGTCTGCCGTCTGACTGGAGACAAGCGTGTTCGCTTAGATCCTTGTTGCCCAACAGAGCAACGGATTCTGACTGGACCACTGGGTCCACACTGCCGTTTAATCTAAACCACTTCACTTTGAGCTCTCGCTGTCTTGCCCCTTGGATGGAGCATTTGAGGTTGAACGGCACCTGAGCGTATATGATGCTGGGTTGGCTGATATCAGAAACACTTGGAAGAGCTGTGGAGAGCGATAGAGATGCATGTTGTTGCACAATTAACAGTAACAATCTCTTCATTCTGATTATGAGTCAAACTTGAGTTATACAGATCTTAATCCAACTTTGTTTAGTTGGTAAGTGAAGTACCACCATCATCAAGACAAAGAGGGAATATTTGGGAATAACGCTTCCCTCCAGAAGAGTTCCACGCTGAAACCTTTCTGGTAACTTTGCAATGCAGCTGGACTTGCAAGATCACGCAAGAATCAAGGTTACCAGGCTTCAATCTGTATGTCTGTGGCCAAACTACAATGGTACCAGACCAATTAGTGTCCTATGAGGAAGTACTGGCAGCTATGGGGATGGTTAAACAACTATGGTGGCTGCTAAAGAGCTTAGCATAGATGCTGCTGGCAGATGTTTTCTCTTGTCTAAACCTTAGAGACTCATTGTCTAAAGATATAGTCACTCTAGATGGCATTAACTTGGCCTCTAGCACCACTGTCAGGAATCTTGGAGTTATCTTTGATCAGGATTTGTCATTTAACTCCCACATAAAGCAGACCTCTAGGACTGCCTTCTTTTATTTACGTAATATTAGAAAAATTAGACACATACTATCACAGACAGATGCAGAAAAACTAATCCATGCATTTGTTACTTCAAGGCTGGATTACTGCAACTCTTTATTATCAGGTTGCCCCAATAAGTCCATTAAAATGCTCCAATTAATTCAGAACGCTGCAGCATGAGTACTGACAGGAACTAGAAAAAGAGATCATATCTCTCCTGTACTAGCTTCTCTGCATTGGCTCCCTGTAAAATGTAGAATTGAATTTAAAATCCTCCTCCTCACCTATAAAGCTCTTCATGGTCAGGCCCCTTCATATCTTAAAGAGCTCATAGTACCCTATTACCCCTCTAGAACACTACGTTCTCTGAATGCTGGGCTACTTGTGGTTCCTATAGTCTCTAAAAGTAGAACAGGAGCCAGAGCCTTCAGTTACCAAGCTCCTCTCCTGTGGAACCAGCTTCCAGTTGTGGTTCAGGAGGCAGACACCCTCACCACATTCAAGAGTAGGCTTAAGACATTCCTCTTTGATAAAGCTTATAGTTAGGGCTGGATCAGGTGAGTCCTGAACCATCCCTTAGTTATGCTGCTATAGGCCTAGACTATCGGGGGATTTCCCATGGTGCACTGAGCTCCTCCCTTCTTCTCTCTTTATGCACTCATTCATGTCCCATTAATGCATGTTACTAACTCCACTTCTTCCCCGGAGTTCTTGTGCTTTCTCGTCTCGCAGGTTCTCATGGATCCTGGTGGAGCCTCCTGCCATGGTCCTGCTTGACTGCCATTGCCAATACTGTTGTTGCTGTGCACCTGTCTGTCTGTCTGTCTCTCGCTCTCTCTGCCTCTCCCTCTCGCTCTCTCTCTGCTCTCTCTCTCTCTCTCTCTCTCTCTCTCTCTCACCCCAACTGGTCGAGACAGACGACCACCCACCTAGAGCCGGAGGATCTGTCCTAGGTTTCTGCCTTTTAACAGACAGTTTTTCCTTGCCCTTGTCGCCAAGGTCTTGCTCATGGTGGTACTGTTGGGTCTCTGTAATTAATGTTAAAGAGTTCGGTCTAGACCTGCTCTATTTGAAAAGTGTCCTGAGATAACTTCTGTTATGAATTGGCGCTATACAAATAAAATTGAATTGAATTGAATTGAATTGAATTGTCTCCTGACAAGACTGTAAGAATTTGACGATGTTAAATTGTTCATTGATCTTATTAGGTGAAGGTTGTCCGTGATAGATGGTGATAGACAAATTCATCCAATCACCTGCCAGTTGAACTGAATGTCACTGTGAACATTTTAGTGTGGAAAAATAATTTCACACCAGGTTGAGGTGTGAAGCTCTCTGGATAAAATCAAGTCTGTTTCACCTCTGAATCACCCTGCTGGTTGGGGAAATGGTCATAAGTGTGCTTTGTTGCACCTGTAACCACACCCACCAGTGATGTCACAGGGTCCTGCAGTACACCTCTACATCACTTCAGCAAGGTGAAAAGTTAAACCACTGGAGCTCAGCAGACTGCTACTGGTACAACTACCAGTCCTACTACTACTATCAACTGTAAATAATATTCATGTATTAATAAATCAAATACAATTGTGGCATTGCAATGAATTCAGGTTCAGGTCTTTTCATAGACAGATGTTGTACTGATGGATTACAATGTTAACATGCAATCCATCATACCCATTAAATTGTCTCATCCACACTGAGCTGTTTTTAAAGGACAATTTCAGTGTTTCAGTTTAACTGCAATATTATTAATCTCAGCTTGATTTAGCTTTAAAAATAGACCCTGTTTAAATAACACAACATGCAACTTGTTCAAAATGAGACGTACCTCTACAGAAATACCTGTAGAGAAGTAAAGTGCCTCCAATAACAGAGGTAACCAGCAACAAACTGATGACACTGGTGACAGCTATCAGTGTAACAGCACTGTAAAGGGGCCGTGGTGGAGCTGCAGGGAAAGGATGCATACAACATTTAGTAAACATATAGTTCAACACAAATAATGATTTTAATGCAGAGTTTAAAAAATTAAAGAGTTCCCACCTTGAACGGTCAGTGTAACAGATCTGTTGTAAGTCCGACTGTAGGTCTGGTGCTCCACCTGGCAGATGAGTTGTATCTCTCTGTCTTTCACTGCTGATGAGTGCAGTGTGATGCCACTGCGAATACTGTAGGTGCCGTCTGGGTTGTGGATGGCCATTTCAGTGCAAACACGGGAGAGGTGGCTTCCACCAGCGTGGACAGTGCGGGAGCCATTTTGGATGTACCATGTCATGGTCAGTTTCTCTGGATAAAAACCTGCAATGTCGCACTGTATCGTCCTCTCCTCCCCCTCTATCACTGCTGCCTTTTCTGGGAGCATCACTGAAGGCCGAGCTGGGAGAGAGGTCAGAAACAGTACCTTTATGTGTTTTTGGTTGGGTGTGACTCCTTGAATTCTTTAACATGCCTTCATGCACCAACACACATCACACAGTGCAGATAATTGCTGCTGCACTGCTCTCTGAGAGATAAAACTGGCAACCAGCTAGCTTTGGTGCACACATTAGTATTAGTATTTTATTCTATTGTATTTTATTGTATTTTAATGTACCTGGCTGCTATGACGACCCAATTTCTCTCTGGGGATTAATAAAGTCTATCTATCTATCTATTTACATTGTATTAAAGCATTTATCAGCCAAAGAGTCAGATAGTTCCACATATTTTAGGAGGTGGTGGAGACTAAAAAAGCTAAAAGGAGAGTGAATAGTGGACCTGCATTCAGTAGGTAGAGAGAAACACAACTGCATATGTAAATAAGCTTAGTTTGCTCATACATTAGCTGTAACAACAACAATGTGCTTATTCACTCAGCAGATGACAGCAGCAGATTTCCCAAAATGCCCAAGTATTCCTTTAAAGGCATACTACGCAGGTTTTTTCTGTTTCTGTTTGTAAATGCACCATTTAAAGTTGGCCCCTCTTCCATGGTGAGCGTGATGGTGCAAAGTAGTGAATCCAAGAAACAAAATGTTATTTTGTCAATGTTCATAACAGTAACATTTTAAAGCACTTGTACACACCCAAAAATATCCTAAACACAACAAAATAGGCCAGAAAGTAAAGTGTAAAGATATATCGCAAGACATTTAAATCGCAATACAAATATGTCTCTTTAAACAGCACAGGGCGCAATCTACTTTTTGTTGTTTAGCGTCCTCCATCACTCGTGTCAGTAGCTGTATCAAGGCACAAAGACATCAGTTTCACTTTTACAAAGAAAAAACAATGTGCATTGTTTTTCACCATTTATACCCTACCTAAAATAAAAAAATATTCTATAGTTTGATAAAGAAAATATAAGTGAAAATTAGTGCTGTCAAACGATTAAAATATTTAATTGTGATTAATCACATTAATGTCATAGTTAACTCGCAATTAATCGCACATTTTTATCTATTCTAAATGTCCCATTATTTTTTCTCATTTTAATGCTCTTATCAACATGGAAAAGTGGATCAGCTTGCTTTGTGCAAATGTTGTTTTTATTGAAAACAACATTGGCATATACCGTAGTGTTCAATTTCACACTAACATTCTCACTTGGAGCAAATAATCTCTCACACAATGTAACACTGTCCATCAATAAAAGGGTGAACAAAATACTGTCACACAAACAGCCCCTTCAACAGCCCTTTCTAAGGGATCAAAACAGGGCGATACAAAATAAAATTACAAAGTGCACATGTAAGGTAAACTGGGACTCAGCCTGTAGTGCAGTTAAACCATGGCTTAATACTTTTCTCAAGTTTGCTTTGAACATAGCAGTCAGGCTACTGCTCTTTATTCACCAGAGGCTCAACCCAGCCTCTTATTTCAGAAAGAATGAACAGTAACGGTTACCAATAAAAGGTAAGCCTATTACTTCTTTGCCTTGAGCCAGTTACTCAAACAGACAAGCCTGTTGACATTTTCAGACAACAAGGAATCCATCCATTTTGGCGTCTCGCGCTCGCCATCCACTCAAAACGTAACGTCTACTTCTCTTAAACAAGTGTGTGCGGCGTGCCTGTTGTTTTGTTTCTGGTCTAGCTAGATCCGGTGTGGTGTTGTAGTTTTTCTAACGTTACTAGTTGTTGCAACAGCATGTGAAAAAAACTACAACGTGTGCTAGGCGTTAATCTCATGATAAAAGAACTGACGCCGTTAAAATGGGTTTGCACTAACGCCATTAATAACGCGTTAAACTGACAGCACTAGTGCAAATATGTTTTATAGATTTTTATCTGTAAAAAAAAGGAATCTTTTCTAAATAATCATATAATTAAACCACTAGTAACAATTATAAGGTAATGATTATTCTTGTGGCACATTTGAGCTTCCATACACAACAAAAATGTCTGCCACCTACATGTTAAATCTGTATGCGACAAACATTAACAGAATAGAAACAGATTATAATACCCAGCACTTCCAGTGCAGTGGTCTCTGTGTAGACTACAGGTGTGATGATCCTGCAGGTGTACAGGCCTTCATCTCCCACAGTCACATTGCGAAGCTGCAAAGATGCATCGCCTTCTAGCAACCGCTTTTTATCCACCACAAAGCCATCTCTGCTCACATACGCTCTACCATCCTCCACAGTGTACACAATGCTCTTTTCTGCACGTTGGTCCACCATGTTCCACTCAACGGTGAGAGCGCTCCACTCCACCAGCTTGGACAGTTTATCAAACAGGCAGCCCAGAGTCACGTCTGTGCCCACCAAGACACTCAGCCTTCTTGTTGTGTCAGCCGAGGAACCTGGAAACACAGAGGAGATTACCTGGAGCGCATGAAAAGACAATTTTAAACAAAACAGACCTTTCCTTTAAACTTTACTGAAACAGTGAAAAATATGCCTTTACCTCCACAGTGCAGAACAATAGCCATGACTTTAATCAGAATTTTCACATTCTGTAGATGCTCCATTCTGACTTAGGTGTCACACTGTCGGTACATGATGAAGTAAAAGGAAACGCCAGTTTCAGCCGAGGGTGTTCGCACGGTTCAAACAGATTCCCTGGACTGAAGATTACATGGCAGTTATGTCACTGAACTTGTAGAGTAGGGCTTGGCTGTTAAATATTCACCTGGCTGCTCATTACTTGTTGATCACCTGTTTTCTAATGCACCTCCTCCTGGACTTTGAGCTGTGGCTGAAATCTTCTGCACAACTACATGTGCTGTAAAACAGTAATCTGCTGGGACTCCCAGCCGCACAGAGTGCGTATTCATGAGTCATGAGTCAATAATATTTCTATTGTCATCAAGATGAATCATCTATATTTATCACAGTTGTTGAATAATATACTTATAAGAATATCGCTCAATTTGGCAAGATAATCTTAAAACTTATAGAAAGGCCCTCCGTAATGCCAGAGGAGCCTATTATTCAGCACTAATAGAAGAAAATAAGAACAACCCCAGGTTCCTCTTCAGCACTGTAGCCAGGCTGACAGAGAGCCACAGCTCTACTGAGCTACTTATCCCTATAACCCTCAGTAGCAAGATTTTATGAGCTTCTTTTATAATAAAATTATTACTATTAGAGACTAAATTAATAACCAAATGCCCTCAACAGGTATCGCTGTCTCTCCAAGTCTAGGAACTTTAACAAATGTAAAATCAGATATATATCTAGAAAGTTTTTCTGCTATCAATCTTCATCAACTAACTTAAATAATTTCGAAGCCATCAACCTGTCTGTTCCCCATCCCAACTCGGCTGCTTAAAGAAGTCTTATCCTTAATTGGCACTTCTTTACTGGATATGATTAATTTTTCTTTATTGTCAGGATATGTACAACAGTCCTTTAAAGTAGCTGTAATTAAACCCCTTCTTAAAAAGTCCACTCTTGACCCAGGGGTTTTAGCCAACTATAGACCAATCTCTAACCTCCCCTTCCTCTCTAAGATGGAGAAAGTAGTCGCCAAACAGTTGTGTGACTTTCTACACAGCAACAGCTGTTTTGAGGATTTTCAGTCAGGATTTAGAGTTCATCACAGCACAGAGACAGTGCTGGTTAAAGTTAATAATGACCTTTTTAATAGCTTCCAACAATGCTTCCGAACTCTGTACTTGTATTATTAGATCTTTGTGCCGCATTTGACACCATTGACCATAATATTCTTTTACAGAGACTTGAGCATCAAATTGGCATTAAAGGAACCACACTAAGCTGGTTTATGTCATACTTATCAGATCATTCTCAGTTTGTACACGTTAACAATGAAACTTCCATAAATACTACAGTTAGTCGTGGAGTTCCACAAGGTTCTGTACTTGGACCAATTCTATTCACTTTATATATGCTTCCCTTAGGCAATATTATTAGGAATCACTCCATTAACTTTCACTGTTATGCAGATGATACCCAGTTATACCTGTCGATCAAGCCCAATGAAATTAATCAGTTATCTAAGTTACAAACATGTCTTAAGGACATAAAAACCTGGATGAACTGTAATTTTCTGATGCTCAGAAAAAAAACGAAATTCTTGTATTGGCCCCAAAAACCTTAGAGACTCACTGTCTAAAGATATAGTTACTCTAGATGGCATTACCTTGGCCTCTAGCACCACTGTCAGGAATCTTGGCGTTATCTTTGATCAGGATAATGTCCTTTAATTCCCACATGAAGCAGACCTCTAGGACTGCCTTCTTTCATTTACGTAATATTACAAAAATTAGACACATCCTGTCACAGACGGATGCAGAAAAACTAATCCATGCATTTGTTACTTCAAGGCTGGATCACTGCAACTCCTTTAAATCAGGCTGCCCCAATAGGTTCATTAAGACACTACAATTAATTCAGAACACTGCAGCAAGAGTACTGACATGAACCAGGAAAAGAGATCATATATCTCCTGTACTAGCTTCTATACACTGGCTCTCCATAAATTTAAGAATAGAATTTAAAATCCTACTCCTCACCTACAAAGCTCTTCATGGTCAGGCCCCTTCATATCTTAAAGAGCTCATAGTACTCACTCAGGTGAGTCCTGAACCATCCCTTAGTTATGCTGCTATAGGCCTAGACTATCGGGGGATTTCTAGGTGCTTCCTAAAAGGAAGTTTTTCCTTGCCGCCGTCGCCAAGTGCTGGTGGGAACTGTTGGGTCTATAATGTTAAAAGGAGTTCGGTCTAGACCTGCTCTATTTGAAAAGTGTCCTGAGATAACTTCTGTTATGAATTGGCACTATACAAATAAAATTGAATTGAGTTGAATACTGTGAATCTCACTTAGATTCTGCTGTGTCCATTTGTGAATCAAAGGAACCACCTTTAATTTCCAACTCGCACCCTCATTAGCAAAGCACTTGAATTATACAGTGGACTTTCTCCCATCTGCAGTCAGCCATGTTTAAAACAAAAATGAAAAAGGTGCTAATGCCACAATCACTTTTTTGTCCTTTGTTTAGCTGCAGCACATTTTAGTGTGTTTTTGCCCCCTATCAGAATGTTAACGTTATCTTAGATGTTAGAGAACTTGCTAAGCTTGTTTTAACTTTGTTTTAAGAGAAGAATACATACAAAGTCCCATATAGAACATAGGTTGCAGTGCACTTCAGCCTCTTGTGGCCTAAATGAGTATTACAACAACAAACACTAAAAAATTATCCTGACTGAACATTTCTCTCCTCTTCTTAAGTCATAAACACAAAAGAGAAAGCAGTTTAAGTCAGACTTAGAAAATGGATCACCCAAAGTTTTTTTCTCACTTACTTCAGGGCTTCTGTACTGAAAGCCTTGTATTAGCTTTAGCTAAAGTGGATTTTTTGTCCCTCATCAATTGAAATTTAAATAGCATTAGAAACAGTGGGTCAGATTACTTTGAAATGTAGTCAGTTACTGCATGAATACATAATTTGTCTGTCCAAGAGATGCTCATGTTCCATGCATCTGTGATCCGATTTGTTAAAGAACAATTACAATGCATACGAGCTGCATACTGTCCATGCAGTACGAGGGGAACATATAACACAACGTAGCAAAGGATTCTGTGATTTTTGGGTTGAAGAATTAAAAAGGAAGTGATGTCTGAATAGATTGCAAGGCTACATATATGCATTGTTTCAACAAGAGATAAAATGGTATTGCTAATTGCTTTATTAAAATAAGTGTTAAAAACACTAGGCATATTATATTTCATTTCTGACAACAGATCCTCCTAAATGTTACACTGGACCTTTAACAGACATTTAAACTTTTCTGCCTAGTTTTATCCTAGCTGTCAAGACATCTTTTAACCTGAAAAGTACCAAAGACAGGCAAAAAAAAAGGTAAGGTGGGGCAACAGGGACTCATATCTCTGTAGATTCTTAATATATGCTACCACTATATCTGCAATAATATATGTGAGGAAGCTGATGCGTGTCCTAATGAGCATATAGTCTGACGCTGATATTTAATAGATGTCAACACTCAAACTGTTCCAAAATGTGCTAGCGTCATTACAAAGTCCATTTTCTTCATCATATTAGCCTTACATAAGAAGAAAACTTCCTATTTCATAACAAAACATTTTTTATTTGATCTTTTTACTTTACATACAACAGTCTTTGTAATTCTAACGTGTTTTTGTCCCTGTACACAGCAAGCATCATCACCCCACCATCGACCTCTTCCTCCCTCTCAACCGAACCTCGTCAAGCTTTTTAATAACTGCTGACGACTTCTTGGACGAAGCTGCATAGCTCTTCAGCAGCTTCTCAAACAGCGCCTCTGTGTTGGGGTGGGTGCTGAGAAAGGCTTTCTCCAGCACGTACAAGTCGACCCCCTTGTCCTCGGGCAGAGCAGAGATGTAACTCAGGCCGAAGTCAATGAGGACCAGGTCGGGCTCCCCGTCTTCCACGCCGCATCTCAGCAGCATGTTGGAGGTGGTCAGGTCTCCGTGGATTACGTCCTCATCGTGCATTTTGGCAAGGATCTGGCCCACCTTCCCAGCCAGCTCCTCCAGCTCCTTACAGGAATCAGACTGCTGCTGAGTGGATGCGATGTGGTCACGCATGGTCGAGGAACCCATGATTTCCTCCAAGAATATACAGTGAGAACTGTAGTCCACAAAATACACCACGGGGGCAGGTATGCCTGAGGAGAAGAGAAGTTGAAGGAGAGTCTCATTCAACAAGCTCTTATAAAGAGCAAAAGACATTATCTAGTATTAAAGGATCAGAATGATATCATGTATTTTTCCAAACAAATCTCATGAAAAGACTAAAAGTAATAATGTGTTTATTGTGTCTCTAAATACTGAATGACTCTACCCTGTTTGTGGTTCTCAGCCCCAACCCCACTGGTCCCTAACGAAGTCAGAAATCTTTAAAAACCTAATTTTTAAAAAGGTCTAAATAATTTCTAAAAACAGCTGGCCACTGTGGTTTTAAAAAACATTACTCATGCAGGAGGAAATAATGCTATTTTTTGTTGGGGACTATTTCCAGCGGTGGATTAATACACATTTGGTGCTCTGGTAAGTATTTGGGGCAGCAGGAAGGTGTATGTTGGACTTACCTATGTATGTTGATTCTTTAATGTGAGGATGCTTTTGTCCGTTTTATGTCATTGTAGATAAAGTGTCTTTTAAGGGTTTTATTCTTGGGCTGCAACTATTTTACTATCGACTAATCTGTTCATGTTCTCAAGCAATTGATTAGTTGTTTGGTCCAAATAAATAACTAATTTAAATAGTTTATTACAAGCTAAAGAAAAATAATATAGTGAAAATTATTATAAAAACGAATGAATAACTTATTAACTCATTAATTACAGTTGCTTGTATTATTAATACAATTTTAAATATATATATATATATTTTTAGAAATCTAATGCTGTCCGAACCTGAGCAGTTTTGCTTTAAATAATTTCCCCCTGGGATTATTAAAGTATTTCTGATTCTGATTCTGATTGGGTTCGGGCAGACAAGCTCTGCCCAGGAGGTGTCAGAGGGGAAAAGATGGTAGTCTCGAATTTGTTTTTGGTTTTTCTTCTGACACCTCCGGGGCTCCATAGGTTGAACACTCCGTTCTCAGCTGGCAGGTAATTGGTCAACCCATCGCCCTCTCACAGAATTTTGAAGGGTGACGGATTTTGTTGTAACACCAGCCGTACAGTGCTCAGGCTAGCTGGAGCTAACTTACGCTATTTGAATGAACCGTATTCATTAAATAAGTATGCTGCTCTCCATGAACAACCGCAGGAGGCCCAGGCCAGCAGAGGTGTCTGCGGGTAAACTTGCCTGCTCTCCGGCAGCGCAGTATGGAGCGGACCTCCTGCACCGTCCTCCGCTGTGTCAGTTTTTCATCCAGCGCCGGGTGTCTGTAGCGTTTCGGGAACCTTTCTTTCACAATGGTCGGCTTCCCCAGAAACTGTGCCCGGTACACCCGGGCTTCTGCTCCTTGTTTTAACAACTCCGCTTTACTGAGAAACTCCGGCACCGCCATGCTCTTCTCCTGAGCCATGTTTACTTCCGCTTTCCTCTACTGTCCGCTGCCCCACTGCTTCCTGTGCTCTGCTCCTACAGGCTGCCACCTAGCGGCCACCGCGAGTACACACCAGCTACAGAGGGAACTGTCCCGCTGATATGACTGCCAAATGAAAAGCCTTCAGTCTTACCTTAACCATCCCTGACTCTGTGTACACACATATTTACATCAACTAGCACTCCTTTAAACTGCTTGATTTTATGTCTCATGTTTCCCACCATTCATTTTGTAAAACTGTTTTAGAACTGTATCCAACATCAGATGTCATTTCCCCCATTAGTAAGTGAGAGTTCGAGCAGCTTATAATAATACACATTTACGCATCTACTGATACTAGATTTCTGAATTTATCATTGATATCACTGATTGAACAGACTCAAATGAAGTAAAAAACAGGCCTACCTCAAAATCATACTTTCAGTAAGTACAGTAGTCTAACTTGAGTAGCTAAATGCACTCATTATAGACTACATTCCACCTTTTTCACAGCAGCCATTTTGACATGAAATAGTAGGGTAAACATAGGTGTTACCAAAGATATTAACTAAGGTTCCATTTCATCCAGATCAAACCACATCAAGGTGCTGCTGTTGTGTATGCAGGGGCATATATGGAGGGGTGGCATGTGGTGGAAGCCGCCACCTCAGTTTGAAAAACTGAAATGAATTAAGTGATCTGTTATGGCCGCATTTTAGACTCAGTGAATTTTAAAGAAAATGACATGTATTTGGATAAATTTGCTCCTCCACTCCCACACCAGAGATCACATCAACCCGGTCCTTCAAAACCTCCACTGGCTCCCCATTCAACAAAGAATCCAGTTCAAAATTCTCCTCATCCTTACAAGCCAAAAACCTCCCTTCACCTCGTACACCACATCCTCCTAGCTGCAAGTTGTTTTTTCTTACTTATATTGCCTTTTCTATTTCTACTATTGTGTTTTGTTGCCATGTAACATAATGGTTCCCAACCTGGGGGTCGCCAGAGCTTCACAAGGGGGTTGCAAGGGCTTTGTAATTTTAAGGAGTGTAGGAAAACGTTTAAAATATACACAGTAGGTCCAAATCTTATTGTCCTGCAGTAAAAAAGTACACAGTTATACCAACCAAAGAGCTAACAGAACACACACTGGTGAGAAGAAACGGCAGAATTTGTCAAAAAAGAAGCCTATTAAGTATGTATGATTGTTAAAAAAAACAAAAAAATACAGACCTTCCTAAATATATCAGGAAAACTCATCTCTGATGTAATATTCACAGGGAATAACCTGTGTAATAATTTTTCATACATTTCCTGCAGTTATTGTGTTCACTGTTTGCAGTTGTCCTCTCCCGTTACTGTTATGCATTGAATATAATATAAATTAACCATCAAATATGTTTTAAGTAAGGGGTCGCCAGTTTAGTCTATAATAGAAAAGTTATTCAAGGAGAAAGGAACCAGTAATGTAACATGCCTTTGACTGCCTTTTAAGGCTCTATAAATAAAAGATAAATGTATTATTGTTAATATTATTAGATATTTCTATTCAAGGCTTTACTAATGTGCCACAATAATGTTTTTGAGTTCATATATCTTCATTTGGGGGCTTTTCCAAGCAAATACTGATATTTGTGATGATCCGCCCCTGCTGACTGGAAATGCTCTGCTCTTTTTAATTAGTATCATTGGTAACACATGTGTTTACCCTACATGTCAAAATGGTTGCTGTGAAAAAGGTCTATTGTGGGTACTGCTCAGTCTTTCTGTATCAGTCCTTCAGTCTCTTGTGATCCGCAGTAAATGAAATGTTCAGCCGTGCTGTCGGTGGCTGTGGCCGGTGTGCGGAGCCTCTCTTCCCGGTGCAGTTGGACAGTTGTCGACCTCTGGCGTCAAAACTTCGCCAACAAGTTTCCCATCTTGCAATTTGACACTGCGGTCTGCCACGTAGATCCAACTTCCTGAAGACCCTGAAGTTTCCCAGGAGCGTCTCTGGCTGCATAACCCGTTCTCCGGAGGTCTCTCAGCCGGTAGCGTCCACAGCGGGGTCCGGTGGGCTCTCCGTGAACACAGCGGGGTGGAGGACGTCTTCCTGTCCCGTTTAACAACAGCTTACATTCCTGGACGGACAGACGGTGAATAACGGCTCTGTCGTCCGTAATGCAAACTGCTCTGGGATCTGTGAACGGGCTCTAAAGACAACCGTAAGTAGACAGACACAGGCTCTGGGAACCACTGTCCTCTCCACTGCTCTGTATATACGGGACAACGGCTAACATAGGATGCACTGCGATATTAAACCACCACACACTATATAAAGTAGTTCAGTAATACACACACACACACACACACACACACACACACACACACCTTCATACATAGATGTATACGTATATGGAACACACTGTAAACTGAACTTTGTTTGTTATTTGGGCAGGGACAGAACACAGCTACCTAACTGCAAACTCTTCTCTTCTGTAACATCAGTTTAGTGTATTTCCATTTTCAGACTGTTCAGCAGTTAATATTGTAGTTTTTACTGACTGCATATATGTGACAACAGCTAACAATGCTGCTTACAAGTTAATGCATCAGTAATAATCACAAAATGTCTGTATATTAATATTTTGATGGCTTTTAGAAGGACACGACTACATTAGTTGAGTCAAAAACAGTTAAAGAAGCTAATTTACATCTGTACACTGCAGGGAAATAAACACTAGTCTAAAACAGCAGGAAGGAAATGAACACATTAATCTGTGCTCATGTTCACGTCTACCATGGCAGTGAATAAACTCAGGGCCTGCTGATGGTCTCAAGGGTCGGGCAGTGGCAAACCCATGTGATTTCCTTTCCTTAACATCTCCGGTGTCATCAGAGCTTTAAAAGTTACCAAATATATTTTAAGTTCAATTGAATGTCACTGTAAATTGTCAGAATTTTGAACTGTGATGCTAAAAGTGTGAGAGGAATCTGTACAGGGACAATTAATGGGAGAGACTGTTTGTCCGTATATTGTTTTGTGCCTAATTGTCCAAAGTGAGCTAAAACCCCAATAAGTTCAGTCGGTAGTGAACTACAAAATATACACGAGGAACGTCCTCTGGAATTTCCCTCAGTGCTTTAACTCTACATCTCACCCAGTTCATTTCTGTGGAACAACAGTTATTTTGCAATGGGAGCTGTGGAGGTGGTGCTTCCTGGTCACACTGCTGTGAAATTCCTCCTGTTGTTGTTTCAGAGATGCACACAAACTTCCCCACTGCCCTGTCATTATCAGGTGATGGGATATTTTAATTAAGACTAAACAAGCTAACTGATTGCTCCACAGCCGTGTGCTTTGTTGAGTCCATCTCAAGTGGACTCCCTAATGAAATCATGGCAATCAACAAGATGGTTGTCAGGGCGACAGAGCTGCAACAGGCTCTTGTGGGCTCCCTTGTCTTTTCTGTGAGCAGGACACAAGACTCCCAGTTGGTGCTAGACCAGGAGAGCGCTGCAGGAACTGGAGATTATCTGTATCATTATTATTATTATTATTATTATTATTATTATTTAGGTTTTTCTCATATTTCACAGAGGACGTCTTCTGAGAAATGAATCCAGACATGATGCACAATTTGACTGAAATGTTCACGTAACAGGACAGAAGCAATGGGTGAGTTATTTGTAAATGAGTGATTTTTCATTGTAAAGCAGTTATGAGTGTTTATTGTTACTGTAAATGTAAAGTAAGGTAAGTAATAGTGTGACCTGTTTAAAGTCAGTGCCCATACTGATGGCTGACATTTGTACTGCAGCCTCTGAAAGATAACCAAGGGTCATTCAAAATCATAAAACCTATTAACATCAATCAATCAAATGTGCAAAGAAAATGAAACTGTCAGGTTTTATGGATGGAGTGTGTCTGCAGTCAGTAAGGAACTGCTTTAAGCTTCAGTTTTGCCACATATGAATGGAAGACTGGGTAATCTTTAATCAGCAGTTGGATTCAGTAGCTTTCATTTGCATTTCTGTCAATAGACAGTGCACATGAAAGACTCAGGTTAATGTGAGGAGCAGCTCCAGAGCGGTGCAGTGGTGAATGTGTGCCATTTATTTGGAAACTACAATATGATAGATACTGTAAACTAAGAGACAGACTTTAATTTATTTGTAAAGCACAATATTAAAGGGATAGTTTGTGGGTAATAGAAAGTGGGGTTGCAGTGGCGGACTCAGGCTGTTTGAGGGCAGGGGCACAAAAATAATAAAAAGGGCAGCTGTGTGCAGAAAGCTGTGATGCATTTATAGTGAATGAATTTGAATTTGAATTTCCCTCAGGATAAATAAAGTATTTATCTATCTCTATCTAGTGAAACAGGTTAGTCAAGGTTAGGATTAGCATGCTAGAGGGCACTTCAGTGCCTGAAATGGGCCAGTATGCACCAGGCCCTTCTGATTTTTGTCCCTTACTTCTTACTGAGTACCGCCACCTCTGGTGGGCATTGCTGTACCCACCACTGAGGCCAACAAGGTCTTGACCTCAGTGTTCTTTGTTGTGAAACAATTGAGTAAAAATAACTACTTTGATGTCCCAAACCCCCCTAGCAAGTTCAGTTTTTGGACCCCCCTATTTCTAAAATCCTGTGTAGAGCAATGCTGGTGGGGTACTCCTAAAAGCCTGTGTAACTGTGTCTCTGTGTCAAGAATTTGTGAATAAAGTTATAAACTTTGTGTGTTTTTGTACAGTAATCAGTGAGGCCCTGCCCACAGAAACATTGCTACTTAATTCTTGTCTCATTTGTAGTCTGATAAACTGTACATTTATCAAATTCAGAGCCATATATTGCTAGTTTCACCAAAATCAGTCAATGAAGTTGTACATTTCTGTTTTTGTACAGTAGGACCCGGCTGCACAATGCAAATGGTTCTCGGGTAACGGGGAAGTATTTTTTTCCCCCCCACCTATGTCGTCTAAGGGGCTCTGTACTATAGCAAGTAAAATCTTTTATTGAGACTGTAATGCCTTGAAGAAAAAAAAGAAGAAAGAAATTTTTTTTGATTGGATATTCATGGAGCTGAAGATGTTTTGAATTGACATCTAGTGGCCACTAGTGGTACTGCATCTTAAGACATGCATTTAAAAGATTAACACACAAATTCATAAATTCATAAAATGTAATGTAAATGTATGTCTTCGGTAAGAGTGCTCTTCTAAAGCATCTGAATGTTTCCTATCTCCTAGGTCGCTCCGTCCTGCTGTTGGCCATTGTGGTGTCCACCCTGGGTGGCCTGGTCTTTGGTTATGAGTTGGGCATCATCTCAGGTGCTTTGCTGCAGCTCAAGGCAGAGTTCAGACTGTCATGTGTCCAACAGGAGGCTCTGGTCAGCTCTTTATTGATAGGAGCTCTGCTGGCTTCCGTCATTGGCGGCTGCCTCATCGACCATCAGGGCCGCAGGAACTCCATCCTCCTCAGCAACGTCATGATTCTGACCGGCAGCCTGGTCTTACTCATCAGCTCCTATTCTGCATTGGTGGTGGGAAGGATGGCAGTGGGCTTCGCCATGTGTATATCCTCCATGTCCTGCTGCATCTTTGTATCTGAGATGGTTACCCCCGATCGCAGGGGCTTCCTGGTAACACTGTACGAAGCTGGGATCACTGTGGGCATCCTGGCAGCTTATGCCATAAATTACCTCCTGTCTGACTCTGAAAGAGGGTGGAAGTGGATGTTTGGATTAGCCATTGGGCCGACTTTAATTCAGCTGGTCTCTATCTGGTTTCTTCCATCTAGCACTAAGGAATCTTTAAGCCAAAGACATTGCTTTCAAGCTGAAAGAGACATTATGAGCACCATCGAAATCCAAGAAGCAGATGACTCAAAAGTCAGCTCCAGCATAGAAAACAAGAAGGTTCAGTATAGCATTATGTACCTTTTCCAGCGTAAGGACAACATGAGAACCCGGACTGTCATTGGCCTTGGTCTGGTGCTCTTTCAGCAGTTCACAGGCCAACCCAATGTTCTCTTCTACGCCTCCACCATCTTCCACTCGGTGGGGTTTCAGAGCAATGCCTCTGCGGTGCTGGCGTCTGTGGGCTTGGGGTTCGTCAAAGTGATCGCTACCTTGACCTCCATGGTGTTTTCAGACAGGGTGGGCAGGAGGCCTCTGCTCATCAGTGGATGCTCTGTTATGGCGCTGTGTCTGATAACCATCGGACTCCTCAGTGGACATTCGTTGACGAATGCTAAGAGGCCTTGTGATTCCGAAGACTTCAGCGTTAACAGAACAGATGTACCTCATTTAACTGTTGGTGATCGGTCGGTTTTTGATTTAACTTTCCATGATAGCCAAAGACTCCTTAATAACCACACACCAGGTGAAGATGTAGTACGTGATCAAGTTAGACAAAGACCACTGAACACTTCTCTGGCATCTTCTACTGGCGTCCATGGCACAATTGTGAACTGGATCATTCTTGTGTGTATGATGGCTGTGGTCAGTGCATACTCCGTTGGATTTGGACCAAGTTTGTATATTTACTAAAACTTTTTGATTGATATAACAATTAGTATAAATTTTTTGGCAATATATATTCAACTACAACCATACTCTCAGCTAAAGGCCTTCACACACCGGCAAGATGAATAAACAACACGAAAATATGATATACTTGCCTGTGAATATGTTGCATCAAACTATTCATACTGGCAGCGAGGCAAGTTAGCCGTATATTAAACCCACACACCACAGACCAAGCAGAACAGGGACAGGCAGAAAAACGCTGCAGGTTGCAGACCTCCTGGCGGTCTTGGGGGGGTCACACTGCAGCACTGAACGGCTCACGGATAGAAATCGCATTCACCAAGTTCATCTCAGCTGCCTGTCCAGGGGCTCCGGTCCAGTCCGTTAAGATGTATTAAAGGTCCAGCATGTAAGATTTAGGGGGATCTACTGGCAGAATGTGGCAGGAACAAAATATAACTTCAAAGGTATTTATCTTCCGAGTGAGCGGGCCCTCTTCTATCAGTCCTCCAAGTTGGACCTCTTTGTTTCTACAGACAAACCAAACAATGACTGTAGACAGGGCCTTTCGCGTTTTTTGCGGATTTCATGAACCAACATTGGAAGGGGATGGTGGGGCTGGTATTTAGTTGTTGCAAGATTGCCACTAAATCCTACAACTGGACCTTTTAATACGTTAAAACCAAAGTCACAAGAAGACAAACTATTGGAGGTAGTGGTAGCCCAGCAACTCCTGTGTTCTGTGAGCTAAAATTACTTTTTTGTGGGCATTGAAGGGAGCATAGATGGCTCCAGTACCCATCGGTAAATTCCACATAGCAGTCTGTGCAGAGGGAGCAATCACCATTCCAAGTCACTTTTGTCACATTGTCTTTATAATTTTTGTGTTCTTTGTCATATAATATAGGGTGATGAGACACATAAATAGTCAAAGTGTGTAAAGCCCTTAAACAACACGCATTTCGAAACTGTTGGCATGCAAAGGTTCCCTATGTAGCTTTACTCATCCAACAAAGAGCCTCACCTTTTCTAGTGGTTTATTAAAGCTGGGAAATACAGCGTTATTTTTTTCTCTTTGACTAGTGACCTGGCTTCTCCTCAGTGAAATATTTCCAGCTGCTATCAGAGGAAGGGCATTCGCATTCACCAACTGCTTCAACTGGGCTGCCAACTTGCTGGTCACATTCACTTTCTTGAATTTCATCGGTGAGTTCCCATACACAAGACCATAATTTAGGGCCCTGCACACTCACACAGGTGTTTACTCTGGCTGACTAGAGTGCTAATCAGATAGAAGTTGGGTGGAGCTGTACTGGCAGTTATTTAAGGTCAACAGACTCACTGTTAGACTGTTATTTCAGCTGACTGATCTTTTCTAACTGATACTCTTGAAGCTGTAAAATAAGATTTCCAAATAACTTTGTAGAGCCTGTTTCATTGCTGAATTAACTCCAAAGGGATAGTTATACTGATAGTTAACTTAGTGAAGTGATCGCCATCAGAGAGTGAACTGTTTTTTTTAATTGACAGATTCGATCGGTCTGTCGGGGATATTTCTTCTGTATGGGATGAGCGCTGTAGGAGCTGGAGTTTTCTTCTACTTCATGCTACCAGAGACCAAAGGGAAGACTCTAGAGGAGATAGACAAGGAGCTGCGTGTAAACAGGTAGGATCTATATTTGTCTGATGTTGAGATATATAAACCTAATGGCGTCAGCAGATCCACGGTGAGGCACTGATTTTTGCCCTCGGCTTCATCTTGCAGGTTTTACCACAGTGAGGAGTGCTGTGGCTGGAGAAACACTTCCCAGCAGTACCAGAGAGTGCACTGTCATGTTAGCACCTCAGGGTGACATTACCATACTGACAGGCATCACTTAAGTGTTTGGTACACTTGCTATATAAATATATGCGTGGTATGTTTGTGAAACATGTAAATAGTGTGTTCTCTAGGTTTTTCTGTGTGATCATGTGTGTTGCTCTCAAACTGACACTGTGTTAGGCATTTAAAATTTTTTAGAACATAGACCAGTGGTTGTCCACCTGGTGGTTTGGTCTCCCACTAGAGGTCACCAAAGCTTCACAGGGTGTCGCGAGATCTTCTTGATTTTAAGAGGTGTAAAAAAAAAAAAAAACTTGAAAAATATATATAGTAGGCCTGTTTCTCAGCATTTGTGAAGAAAACTAAATGTAACTGTTATTTATAAAGTTTAGATTATGATTTAAGATTAGACTTTGGAGATATGAACTCAGCTTCATCCTGCATTAGAAAAGTTCAAACAACCAAAGAGCTGATAGAACAATGAGAAGAAAACACTGAATCTGTCAAAAAAGAAGCCTATGAAGGAAGTATAAGTATGTTGTACTGTATGTCATCAAATCAATCATCTCTGATGCAACATTCACAGAATATAATCTCTCTGGCCCCAGGCTAGGTAATATGAAGAAACACTATGTCGGCAAATCTACCACATGAGCACACTATAAATTAAATTAGATTAGATTATGTAATCCTGCAGGACCAAAGGTACCAGAGTACACACATTCCTTACTCAAGTAGAAGACTCAGTAAAAGTAGAAGCACTGACTCAACTTCTTTACTATGTTCCATCTTGTTAGGTCTTTTATGTTGTTTTGGTCCTGTCTGGTTTGCATGATATGGACTATGAGCTAAGACTGTTCATGGGAACTATGTGTCAACATTGAGAGGATGCCCAAACCCATAGTCTAAACCCTGAAGATATGTACGTTTGTGTACTGTACAATTGTAAATAAAAGAAGTTCCAAAATCAATTCTTACTTTTATTATTGTATTAGGCTTTTATTCCTTACACACTTCATATACTTTACTCTATTGTTATTCTACATTTACTGTTATGTCATTTTTGAGCAATCGCTGGCAGAGGAATTTGCTTTGGGATTAATAAAGTTTTATCTTAATTTAGTTTGTCCTTTTGGTAATCCAGCTTTGCTTCTGACATTACTGTAAAATGATTCACATGGTGCATGTTAGCATTTTGAAGTAGCAGTGGTAGTTCAACATTCTGCCAACTTGGTCCAACATTTACAGTTTCATGTTTGTCGTGTTGCAACCCTGGGCTTTCAATGTCAGAGTAATTTCTTAAAGGATAGGTGGAGATATTTTTAAAGTCGGTCTTAATGGAGTACTGACAAGTCTATGTGTACGTTAAAAAAAGTTTAGTCGTAAGTGATTTTCATTATTTTAACGATTAATGCTTTAGTCTGTAAAATATCACAATATTGTGACATCTTTAAATTGTTTTTGTACAATCAACATTCCAAAACACAAAATATTAATTTACTATCATAAATGCCAAAGTAAAGCAGCAAATCCTCACATTTAAGTCCTGAGTCTTTACAGCTTTTTCTATCCATTAAAGGCAATAAAAGCCCAAAAAGAAATGTAGTCAGAATTTATTAACTTTACCTTTTTTACTCTACCCTTACTGTATATTTAATCAATAATCTGCACTTTGTGTGTGAGAAGAGGGGTCTACATGAATGGGACAGACATAAATCAGTCAGATGTACCTGATAAATAAAACACGTGTTTATTTACACAAATATTTTCAAATACTAGTCTTCTACATAAGGACATAAAAATATATACAGTGATGTAGGGACTGCTCCGTTCTCAGGTCAATGTATACATGTTCTGATTTATTTGCATTTTTAGGTTTTGAAATGAAAAAAAAAAAAGAAAAAGATGCATATGTACAGCAGGGTCTAAAACTCACTTTCAAACTCTGGCACTAAAACACTGGGGGGGAACTTACCCTTCAAGTGCTATTCAACATTTCAACTTCAATACTTCTCTCAACATGTTGGTGAAAGCAGTGCACTGTTAATACTCGAAGCTTCCCCATGTCACCGCACACTCAACTTTCCTCCAACACTAACAGCACTTCAGCCACCAGCAGACTATTGTATCACGTGGTCATCGTATTCACTAGAACCCACAGTGTCAACCTGCATTACAGCATCTCCATGAGCAACTCTCACAAAACAAAACTAGGTTTGGTCAGTCTCTTCTTCCAACCGACTGAGTAAACTTTGGTTATGTCTTGAAGTAATTCAAGAAAAGCCACTTGAAGTAATTCAAGGAACTGGAAAGCAGCACGTTTGAGAAACCATTTCTTTGAGAACCTGAATGAACCTTACCTGGCTTCTTTAAGAGATCGTAGTACGACTCTAGAGTCGATTAAACCGCTTGATGGTGATGAACCTTAATCCAGCAGTCCGCAAACGTTTCAATACAAAACAAATTAACGACGGATGACATGATGGGGAGCCGCATATCAAAAGAAGACTGGTGATCTGGTTTGGTAAGAAAGGCAAGACAAAACTACTCAGGCAGAGAAAGTGTTGAAGTGTCATTGTGTTCACATACACCTGGAGCACAGAACAGCACCAAACACTTCCAAAACTCCGGGGTCTGGAGGCTGTTTAGACTCATCTGGGGAGGTAAAGGTCTGTTTTTGACGATGCTGCAGTAGTAAACTATACAGGATGTACTCCTTTTGGTCCTGATGGCCAACATCTTTCTTTTTGCCTTCTGCTGATGTACTTATTGACCCCTGCCTTCACAATCCAAACTAAAAACACACAGGTGGGAGGGGGGCTTGCTGAGACCCCGAATGAGCCGTGGATGACTCTTGCTCTCAGACTTAGCGCACACAAACACACACCCCTTTGTATTCACTACGGCTTGTGGGGAAATGAAAGGAATACCTGTATATTTCATTACACAGAACATTCATTTCAGATGTCAGGTTAACACGTTCATTCAAGGAGGATAAGGAACGGAAAAAAACAGCTTTCTTTTCATAGACGACGGCGTCCTCCAGCCGGGAGGTTGGTGAGGCGCAGTCACACTGAGTTAGGTTGGATGTGGAGAGGGCTGGCAGAGTGGCACCTGTCTTAGTATCCCCGCCACCCCCAACCCCGGGCTGAGTGGTGGTGGAGGTGGGAGAGACTGGGGAGAGGGAGAGGGGGGAGTGAGAGTGGGGATTTGGGTGTGGTGTCACTGCGGGGCGCCGGCAGCAGCGGGCACCGGGGTGCTTAGGGCGTTGGTGGCAGCAGACAGGACCGGCGAGCCAGTGAGAGGGCCCAGGGCAGTGGAGGCTGGCAAGGCAGAAATACCTGAGGGAGGACAGGACAGAGAGAAAAATCATGTACATGGAGGTTGTGGCGAACGGCTTAAAATCAAGAATGCAATTAACATTTGAAGTCCATACTGCCAAAAAAGCATGAAGGAAAATCAGTACTGGTTCCATGTCAGTTTCGTTTTGTAGTCATTACTGCATGATCAAAACATTTTTTTTGCAACTTTATACAAGTAGCGTCAACCAATAAATTTTTAAGACGCTGTCCCGTTTCAAACAAAGTACCACCTAGGGTTATGTAGGCGAGTAGTATTATGTAGTGGCGGCTGAAATACAATACATTATCAGAAGTACTGAAGCTTTAAAAAAATTAAAACAAAAAAACATGTAAAATTTTCAACACATGGCTGCACAGATGAAACGGGGGGGTCCTCACTGTGTTCAGTGACTTTTTTCCTGTACTAGCACTGTGTGCAGGCTGTTCACGGTTTCAAGAAGAAGAAAATATGATGCTACTTTGTGTGCCAAGGGCCATCTTTTTGCTGTGGTATTTTTTAAACTAGCATTGTATTGAAGTTTTTGTATTTGAGAACCATAGTATAATGCGTGTGTGTGTGTTCTTACCAGTGATCATGCTGGCTGTGCTAACAGCTGTGTTCCCACTGGGCAGGTTGGCTGATCCGGCCACACGAGACTGATCTTTCACAATAGGGACTGTTGGAACAGCACAAATAAAGACATCCCTTAGTTTGTAACTGCTGTTACCCATCATGAGCTCATTCCTAAAAACAAAAAAGCACTGGCTGCTTATGAGAGCTTACAGAAGTACGGGTGATCCATGGCCTCGCGGGCAGTCAGTCGGGCCTGGTGGTCGTAGCGCAGCAGCTTGTCAAGAAAATCCAGAGCCTCAGGGCTGACCAGGTGCTGGTTCTCACTGTGGACAAACCGCTCCCACCGCTTACGAGAATGCCTGAGGGGGGGAAAATTGTGAAAACACTGAATTCTGACAACAATTTACACTGAAGCAGCTGTTATAATCACAACCACAGAGCAGCCTGCTGTACATGATGTATGCACGGAGCAGGGATCAACTGAGAGTATATCATTATTTTTCTCCAATATAAGTGCAAAGAATAGTTCCAAAACAAGCCTGCACAGCGAAGACTATTAAGACCTGTGAATGCAGTTAGAGCTCTCACCTTCCCAGAATGTCGTTGAAACGAGGTTCCAGTTCAATATTGTACTTGTCAATGTAGTCGTACAGGTCTTCAGTCCCCAGAACCTTGGCTATTCTCACCAACTACACAAGCAGGGAACAAACAATTTGTCAGTTTTCACTTTCAGACACAAACCTACATTGATACAGTCAAGATAGTTACAGGAAACACTGGGTGGTCGCCACCTTCACGACATCTGTGTCTAAAAATGCCATTCCATACACTCCAATGCTGTTAACAAAACAAGAACCAAAAGAAAAGCACTAGAGCAAGTCATAGCTTGTATGTAGCTATGTACATACTTGTAGTTGCCTCTACACCTCCTCCAATGTGAATTGTGTAGCAACAGCATGTTTAAATACATAAGGTAACAGCTTTTTTAAAGGGCTTACAGTGTACCATAAACCTTTGGCTTTACCTGGTCATAGTTGTCATGGCCGTGGAAGAAGGGCTCCTTCCTGAAGATCATGCTCGCCAACATACAGCCCAAGCTCCACATATCCAGACTGTAGTCATACATCTGAAACACACAGCACAGTCTCAAAGGGAGCACAGGTGGGATGAGAGCAGAGAAATCGAATTTCAACTCAAATCTAACTTCATGAAATCCAGCCAGACACTGTTTTAAATGAGCACTGATGTATCATGAAGAATAGAAACAAAAAGAACAAGTATATGACTGAACCTGCAACTGCAGCAGAGTTGGTCAGCGGATGAGGTGCATCATATCACCAAGACTCATTAAATCCAGTGTTTCCCCGACAGAGCTGTCTGTGGCATGCTGCCAGTTTTACCATGGACGTCATAATTATAAATAATTGTAAGAATCTCAATATGAAATCTTAAATTCATAAAAAGTGAGTCATGAGGTGCGGAGGATAGCGAAACCAGGATGTACATTGTTAAAAATGTTTCTGATGTTGTCTTCAGATGGTTGTTTTTTTACTAGAGCATTCACTCATAACTTAACGTCTAATCCATTCAAACTGCAATAATTAACTATATGACATCAAAAGTGATTTTATCACCCATCACTCACAGTGACCTGTGGGAATGTGCCAGCGATTGAGGATAGAACCAGAAAATGGTTGACTTTCTAGCACCGAAGACATAGCACTGGACTTTCATGTTCCTCCATCACATACACACACGTGTACGGGAAAACAACGAGTATGCCAAGAAAGGAGGATTCCATACCCAAAAAAAGCTTAGTTCCTACTTTGAAGTCTACTACTTTGTTAACATGGCTGCTATATAATTATATGGTAAATGGACTGTACTTAAATAGCGCCTTTCTAGTCTTTCAACCACTCAATGCGCTGTACACTACGTGCCACAGTCCACTTACACACACATTCAGACCCTTCAGTGTCTTGCTCAAGGACACTTTGACATGCCGTGAGAGGAGTCCGGGGATCGAACCGCCAACCTTCCCATTGGTGGATGACCGGCTCTGCCTCTGAGCCACAGCCGGCCCTATATTTAACTGCAAGAATCTCATTTTGAAATCTTACATAAATGAAATCTTCTAGACTTAAGCTTCAAGCTAAGTGCTTGTGTCCAACCACAGTGATTCACACCAATAAATATAATTTGAGGAACTAACAGCGTGCTTTGACACTAGGTGTGTGCGCGGACGAGTGCTCAAAAACAACAATGGTGGATTCCATAGAGGTTAGCATAGAAGCTGCAAATAACAGTTTGACTATGTTGTATGGTTCACTGATCTGATTGGTTGAAGTTTACCTGTGATATACAGACGGTTCATCCAATCACCTGACGAGTGTTTTTTGAACGTGTCTGCCATTTTCCACAGGCCTGTGTAACAAACCATTTTATCTAAGATTGTGCGTGACAGATAATTAAGACTATTTTTTCCCCCTTAATTAACTAACTACTTTATCATTACCATTATTGCTTTCCTTATTTATATTATTATATCTATTTATTGATTGTTTTTATTTATTTCATGTGTGTTTTTCCATTCCTTCTGACCTTTATGCGGAAAATAAAGCATAGCCAACACCTGGTTAGTTATGTTTCAAATCGATGTTTCACAAAAAAAAAAAAAAAATACATTTGAAACAGGTAATGAAGACAAATGCAAAGCAAAGAGCATCCCAGAAGGATCTCCAGTAACATCCATCAGATATATAAAACTAAATCCAACTAAAACATATTAGCCTACAGCTGTACCTGATAGTCCACCAAGAGCTCGGGTCCTTTAAAGTAGCGGGAGGCGACTCTGACGTTGTACTCCTGTCCTGGGTGGTAAAACTCAGCCAGACCCCAGTCAATAAGGCGCAACTACAAAGAAATTAAGCAGTTAGCAACTACAGGCAGCATGCATGTTAGTGTCCAACAGAGCAAACTAAACAGACATTTACTCATTTATACATATTACTGAATCCATGAATCCAAGCACACAATGGAAACAGCCAAATAAGAAGTACAGTTCCATTTAATAATTCAGATCTCTGTTTTGACTACAGGGACTGTGTTCATTGCTTACCTTGCGGTGTTCATGATCAATCATCACGTTGTGTGGCTTCACATCTCTATGCATGATTCCCATGCTGTGGCAGTAGTCCAGGGCCTGCACACAAGAGCAAAGGGACTTTGTTATCCATTGGTCACACTGTTTTTTCTTCCCAGTAATTCCAAAACAGCAACAGATTACGAGGAGCTGCCTACTAGATGACACACACAATGTCGATGGCCTAAACAGAGGCTTGACAATGTCTGAGTAACAAAGCATGTACAAAAAGAGAAAAAAAGAAAGCTGAAGAAAAACAAGGAAAGAATCAAAGACAACAACATGTTTAGGGAGTTAATGCTTCACCACCCTCAGGACACTTGAGGTTATAGCTGAACCACAGAGAACTCACCTTGAGGATCTCGTACATGTAGAACCGGATGTCATAATCTGTCAGGGTCTGGTACAGTTGCTGCAGAAAAAAACAAAGTCATTAAGCTTTTATAGCAATGTCTTACATTAAAAACAGGCACAGAGACCTGTGGGAATGTGCCAGCGATTGAGGATAGAACTAGAAAATGGTTGACTTTCTGGCACCGAAGACATAGCACTGGACATTTTAATATTCCTCCATCACATACACACACGTGTACGGGAAAACAGCGAGTATGCCAAGAAAGGAGGATTCCATCATCTTATCCAACACACAGAGTAAAGAAAAAGTTTAGTTCCTACCTTGAAGTCTGTGTTGTTAACATGTTCAAAGACCAAGGCAGGCGTCCGGGACTGTAAAAAAACAATGTTGTTTATTTATTATGTTGCAGTTTGAACCAATAATATCTACAACTAGGCCCAGATAAATCCATCTATTTGAACGAAACAGCAACAATACACTGTAATAAGCTATGGCACTAATGCAAACTCTGTAGGGACTAGCCAGGCAGCCACACCGTGAGCAACAGCCTACAAATGTCCTTTTATTTCCTGTACACATGAGTAAGCAAGGAAACTCGGACAACAGCTGCCACTAGCCAATCATATTACACCAATTCCAGTTTCTCTTATTTTGATCTCACTGACAACAGCCTAACCAGCTTCACCATTGAAATGGTGGAATACAGCCATTCTTTTTTTTTTTTTTTTTTTTGAAATTCTAGTTAGACAAAACAAGTTTGGAAGAGCAGTTCATTTGTTTTTTTTTTCAGTCTATGAAACAATACACCCTATCTAGCTAATAATAGTTTGACACTAAATGTTAGAAAAATACACAAGTAGTCTGACAAAAGCTTTATAGCTGCTGACCACAAATGATGACTTGTTGCTTACAGTGTGAAATAGAGCTGCAACTAACCAACCTTCTATTAATCAGCCTCTAAAACCAACAGAGCCCATGTGCTGTCTTACAACTGCTTTGTTTGTCTGAGCAACAGTAAAAAAGGCATTTTATTTACCCTGACATAAACACAGAGAATCCAAGAAACCTATGGTGTTTTTACTTTATGAATACCTTGTGATTCATAAATTATCAGCATAGTCTGCATATCTTGTGTCAAATGGTTCAATGGGTTAAGTGTTTAAGCAAATGTTTAAAATACCTGGCAAAATGTGCTTCCAGGATCTTTAATTACAATGGGGAAACTCTACTGCTCCAACAGTTACTCATCTTTTACGAGTCTGTCAATTGTTTTTACAATTAATCATTTATAAATGACATAGCTATAAATGGCAGAAGATAGACAAATGTGTTAATCAAAAGTCCAAAGTGCAACACCCTTGAATGTTTTGTCTGTTCAGTAGAAAGATATTCAATAAAGAATAAAAGCTACAACACCAAGGGTTAGGCAATTTTCCTTGACAGACAACCAATGAATTATCTAGTTTTCTGTTGATTGGCAAATTGTTTCAGCTGAGAGCTAAAGAAAAAGAGATTTGTTTGTCCTTTTAAGCAGAAATAACCATCAAACACTTTGCAAAATCTCCTGTGGTAAAAGGAGTTTTCTGTCTCCCTTTTCACTTCCGCACGTCTCGGATTGCCCGCTAAGTAAAGCTCCACCTCGCGCAAGTCAATCTACCAAATCACTTGCCCAATTGAAACATCTTTTTTTCTGGAGCTCATGATAGAAGTAACCCAGGAGTGAGCCATGTCACATCCTTCTCATCTCTGTTGAGAGTTGCACGTGCTCAGTACGATTGGGCACTTGCGAGAAAACTGCCTGGGTAAAGGCAAAGTTTATGAGCTCAAGTGCAAGTGAGCATTTTAATTGTCCGGGAAACCAGGGTTTGTTGTGTGAAACTCCAACTATGTATTTCGCAGCTTACCACAAATTTGAGACAAGGGGGATAAAAAAAAAAGTTGTCTTTCTAAGGAGCGTAATTTTTTTTTATAAATGTCACTGCAGTGCCATAACAAAAGCCAATAGCATCTGGCTTGCATGGCAGCTGAGAGGGTGTTTATGGTCACATGAAAACTGCTAATAAAGCAAAACCCTGCATCAGTCAACAGTAAAAACAAAGAATAGGGTGACTTTGTTGTTCCCGTGTGGGAAAACTGTGATTCAAACCCTACCATCGTTTTTAATCCATCAGCGTAATCTTCAGAGTTCATGAAATGTGGTAGAAACACAAACAGGAATCTGCAAAGGACTTTACTTCCTCTGGTTCCATAGTTCCCGGGATTGCTTACCATAAAGAACTTTTCAGCTTTTGAGCATCACCCAACTAGCAAAAAACATTTGAGAGCCCTGAGACAACACAGGAACACAAGGCTGTAGAACTGCTTGGATACATCTATCTACGTTAAAGCCATAGCTGACTAAGTACTTACAGACACATACTTCGCAAGCCCAAGTGAAATCGATATGCTTGCACAGCTGGTGGGCTCACCACGCTATTGATACAGTAATGATATTTCAGAACATACAGTTTATGCTTCTGTGAAATTTAAATCATGTCATACACACAAAACAAACCTCTGCTGCCACAGACTCAAAGTTTTCTTGCAAATCCATAAACTGTACTTACAACTGGGTCTTTCACAATATCGATGAGGGAGATTATGTTAGGACCTCCACGTAGGTTCTCCAAAATCTTGATCTCACGCTTGATCTTCTTCTTCTTCACAGGCTGAAGGGAAAACAATGAGGCAGAGTTAGTTAAATTGTTCAAACAGAGCCACTGACTTGATCCAGTTTTCAGTCTCTGTATAGATTTACCTTGAGAATCTTCACCACTACCTTCTCATTATTAGTGATGTTGATTGCCTCAAAGACTTCGCTGTACTTGCCACGCCCTAGCTTTCGCACCAACTGAAAGTCATCCTGGTTTCTGTGAAGGGGGGGAGAAATCACATCCAAACATCAGCGGGGTTGAAGAGCTGTCAAGCATCACGCTGCAAATGTTGTGTGAGGGTCAACAAGATATTTACCCCCATTCAACCACGTGGGACTCGTAGTCCCAGTACTCCCTGGGCCGATGAGTGTTGACCTCGGTGTACACTCGGGCCCGGCTAGGCACGGGTCCTGACATGTCCGACAGCTTGGCAGAGATGGTGGGGAGATCTCACCGCAGCGGAGGAAGGTTGGAATACAGGGAGGATGGGTGGGAGGGAGGGAGGAAGAGGAGGGAAGGTAGGGGATGAGGGGGACTGATCCCAACAGGGCAAGGGGTTTGGGGGGGGAGGGGGCTTTGCCTGAGGACGGGGGGAGGGGCCACCAGGGGCACGGTGGGATAGCTGACAGAGAAGTTGGGAAAGAGAGTAAATTAAAGATTAGAGAAATTGAATTCCTGCTACATCACAGGTGTCTGCGGTATCTCCTTCCATCAGTTTACAGTGATATGAAATAAAGAAACATACAGCACGGAAAGTTTGGCAATGCCAATAAAAACCACACTTAGCTGGAAGACGAAGCCTAGCTTAAGCTAACAAACCATCTAATTGCCCCTATCGTTTACCTCCATCTCACAGAGTGAATGTGAGACCATGTAGGAACGGTTTGCTGGGAATGATTACTTCACATATATCTGTGACCCTGACACACAGTAGCTGGTAGTTGAAATGTTCTGTTTTTCTTCAAACAGCAGTGGCAGTTGTATCTTGTCCCTTCCATTTAATTAAATGAGAGCAGGCAGAATTACTAATTACTCTGTGTGTAACGCAATACAGTCCAACGGTACCCCAAGGGGTGTAAGACAATATCGAAAAATATAGTATTGTGACATTTTACTTTGTGATATTGTATAGTGTCTCAAAAACACTACCAATTTTTGTGCTGAAACCCCCAACTCTTAAGATGGCAGTGTTGTAAACTAGGGATGCACCCACCCAGCAACTTGGCCAACGTCGATACCAATGTTTTTGGTTGATATTTATTTGCCCTTTTGTGCAGGGGAAACAAAGAAATCTACAGAGATGAGCATCTCTGCCATGTTGCAGATCTGTACTTGCATGCAATATGTGTCAGTGCTGGAAAACTGATTATTTCTCCAGTACCCAAGTTGGAAATGACCCACACAACATTTGATGCAGCACAACAGATGAAGATCAGCCACTGATGTTTTCATATGTTTAACCTATTAAGATGACAAGACACATTTATTTTAATTGTAAAATGTATGCAAAACTGTTTTTAGAATTAGATTTTATTTTTGTACTATGAATAAATAAATATCAATCAATCAAATCTTGGTTATTAAATGTAATGTTTTCTATAGATTACAAGTTGAAGTTATATCAATTATGACTTAACTACATAGTGTGCATTGTAACAACTTATGGTTGCCCAGTCTTTTTTCTTTAAGACATTTTTGTCACAAGATAAAACTGTTAAAAGTTGAATCTCAGAACTCAATGTTGAACAAAATTAGGCAGTATAATAACGTTAGTCCATGTGGCTTGGAAGCCAGAAAATGAAGCTCTCTGGGGTTAATGTGTCCATGAGAAATGACTAACGCCAGATGTTAAGCGGTGTGTTTGCTAGCGTTAGCTGTTCATTCACTATCGCGTTAAACCTACTGCTAGCTGGCTAACGTTACATGCGCAATGAGTGTCGTTCATTAGCGTCAGCCATTAACAGCCGCCACACATCGGAACTACTTTATTTGACTAATAACCACTCTCTATTCATTGGTATGATGCAACCGGGATATTAACATGTCAGCCTCCGACTTCACCACCTTTTGACAGGCGAAGTCTTTGGCTAGCCAACGTAACCCCACATCCATAGAGAGAACGTTAACGTTAACTTCAGCTAACGTTAACACAACCGGCGTCTTTCACTTCCGGTGAGAAACCAAGGAAACGCAAAGACAAATTGAATTCGCTGTCACTTATTTATCATCAAGTGTGCGTTAATAACTGAATATTTCATTCCGTGTGTTCCACAAAGACGTCGTCATATAGAATTAACATGAACGAACAGTTGACGCTACTCCACATTGACGGGATCAACTCCATTCAGCATTCATACCCATAGAACGTTAACGTTAGTTCAACCAGTCAGCAGTAAATACAGTGACATTTTAACTTCTACAGAAGCTCCGTCTTGAATCTTAATGCCCAATTATCGGGGCAAAAGTCATGAGTTTAAGTGTAACGTTACACATTTACTGACTCGAAATGATGCGACATCCGTGATGTTAACGTTATGCCGACATTCGAATAAAAACTGTTGTAACGTTAGCTCGCA